GTTTGGACACATGAAGAAGAACTGCCCACAAGCATGTGCACAAGCGAATGCATGCACCAAAGATGGAAAGGCCACTCTGTCCACGATGCGGGAGAGGAAGACATTCTGTGAAAGAATGTTATTCTCAGACGGATGTGGAAGGAAATCCCTTGCCATGTCTGGGAAATGCCAAAAAGAGCGCTCAGAATCGTCAGCACATGTTGACACAAGTGATGGCGATGACACAAGAGCAGACAGGACAGTAATCGGAGAACGTCAAGCAGACGCCCTCAGCAAATGATTGGAAGGTTCTCTTTTGAAAGAGGCCAGCAATGAAGTTTTATATTCATACCTGGCAAGCATGAAAACATTGCTAGAAAGCAGGGAACATGAATATTTTATCACTTACATCAGAGCACACACATCACTTCCAGGATTCTAGCAGAAGGGAATGCTCAGGCAGACAGGTTGACAATGCCCATTTCACAAACCCTTACGGACATTTTTGAGCAGGCAAGATTAAGCCACGCATTTTTTCACCAGGATGCACAGGCGCTGATGGAATCCTTTTGTCTCACAAAGAGTCAGGTGAGGGAAATCATTAGTGCTTGTCCAGACTGTCAGCTCGTGCAGCCACCTGCTTCCACAGGAGCAGTCAATCCATGGGGACTGCAAAGTCTTCAACTGTGGCAAGCTGATGTCACAAAATATCCATCATTTGGGAAGCTCAAAAATGTTCATGTTTCAGTTGACACATTTTTGGGAGCAGTCTTTGCTTCAGCACGTACAGGGGAAACAGCAGAACACGCTTGTCGACATTTTCTGTGAGCGTTTGCATCATTAGGTGTACCTCAAGAAATAAAAACAGACAATGGCCCAACATATACAGGCAGGGTGCTTGACAAATTTCTGAAAAAGTGGGGTGTCAGACACACATTTGGTATTCCATACTCTCCCACAGGTCAAGCAATCATTGAAAGAACACATCATATCCTGAAATCCCTTTTGGACAGACAGAAAAGGGGGGAGCCAGAGGCGACGCCTCACATGAAATTGAACAAAGCGTTGTATGTGTTGAATTTTCTTAACAGTTCATTTTCAGAGCCCAATCTGCCAATCTTGAGACATTTTTCAAACAGCTCTCAGGCAAAACTGAGGGAGAATCCTTTGGTTTTGATCAGAAACCCAGAAACTGGACAAATAGAGGGTCCCTTCAAACGAATCACGTGGGGCAAGGGTTTTGCTTGTGTTTCCACAGAACAAGGTCTGAAGTGGGTGTCAGCGCAACACGTGACGCCATATCGGACACAAGAGCAAGAGAGCACTGATCCCGCAAGCAGAGAAACAGGCACACAGACGGAAGAAGAGGCTCAAGCTGCAGACAACGACTCGGAAGAAAAATAAAAGAACAAGGACTTTGAGGGTTTTCCTTTGGGGTTTGAGTGACAAAAGTGGCAATGCTTTTCAACAAGAGTGAAGTCATGAGCTTCATAATGCTCATGTGCCTCATCTCTTCATCTGTTGCTTTAAGCAACGAGACAAATTTACCTATTGATCAACCAAAACAAAATGTTTGGGAGGCTTTAGCCCAGGCAGCAAATTTAGATAGTATTTGCCTGACACACTCAAGACCAGGGAGACCATTCTCGACATGCATGGTTGGATTGCCAGTGGACGAATGGCCAATTCCAGGACACTCTCCAGTTGAGATTTTGCAGGTCGTTAAAGATCCTGTGAATGAGTGGTGTTCTTGGATACGTCTCCTTCCTGTGGCTTCTACTGAACCTCAGGAATTGGAAATTTTCGGGTCCACGACAATGGAACTATGCATGAAATTTGAAATCCCGGATGTGACAAAAACAAATAAGACCATTGATGTCACTCCGAATCATGCTTTTTATAGAAATGCATCGGCTTGGTGCAAATACACCAAGGCGACAACCAGAGGATCGCTCCAAGTTCCAGTGCAATTGCCACGAGGATTCTTTTTCATTTGTGGGGACAGAATTTGGCATGGCATCCCTGCAAATGTCAAAGGCGGTCCATGCAGCATTGGGAGGATTTCAATGTTGTCACCAGATTCGAAATTATTGAGAGAACAAAAACATAAAGAGAAAAGACCCTTGCAACATTATAGTGCGGATTGTGATGATGGAGTGTACACTTGGGACAAGGCACGGAGAATTGCAACAGCAATTTTCTCACCTCAGACAGCGTCGGGGGTGGCCTTGACTCAACTGGACCACATGGGTTGCTGGTTGAGCAAACATGCTCAATCCGTCTCTCTTGCGCTGAGTGACATGTTGAAAGACACAGACAGTGTAAGACAGGCAACTCTTCAAAACAGAGTGGCAATTGATTATCTGCTGCTTGCACATGGACGTGGGTGTGAAGAATACGAAGGAATGTGCTGCATGAATCTCTCAGATCACTCGAGGTCAATTCACAAAAATATTCAAAAGATAAAAGACAGTGTAAAGAAACTTGGTGAAATCACTGGGTCTTGGATCGATGGTTTGGTTGAATTTTTTGATCTTTCTCCTTTGTGGAAGGAACTTCTAAGAATAGGGTTTTATGTTTTAATAGCGCTCTTAGTCCTCATGCTCATCGTGCCATGCATCTTTTTGTGTGTGCGGCAACTCTTGAGTTGAGTTGCAAAAGAGGTGTTTTTGGTGCAAACAGAAGGGGGAAATGTGGGAATTCAGCACATCCCTCTGGATGTCCAGAGTTGCTGGAAACCCTCTTGGGGGGCTCAGAGACCCTGGCATGTTGCCCAGAACACCTGGTGGCTTGACTTTGATCCTTCCAGCGAACTGCCACCTGTGTATGAGGACATGAGAGCCACACGGGTTTGAATGGTGCAAGAATGATGTGTTTACAGGGTGGAAATATAGATTTTGGGGTTTTTTGGTATAGGGGTTATGGAGACAAGATGGAGGAATCAGGGCGTGTCTCGTCCTTCTTTCTTCTTCTTGTTCTCCATTTTCTGCTGTGATGTTGGCACTTGGGGATTGGTTTAGAGTAGAAGTGCACTGTCTAACATAGGTGATAGGTACTGGGAATTAAAAGTAAATATGATATATGTAGTTTGTAGTATATAAAGACGACACCGCCTTGGGGGTGGTCAGAGTGCTTGTGGCTGCCTTGCTATGCAGACCTTGGCTGGGCAGAAAGAAAATTTTGTAGATAAGAAATAATAAACAACCTGAAGACTGAAAAGTGAAGAGTCCAGACTCATTCTTTGGAGCGCGGGCTGCCTCAGAACCATCCCATGAGTCTTGGGGCAGAGACAGACAGCCGACCCAAGAAAATAGCGTGGTTTTTTAGGTAGTGGATGATCTGGTTTCCTACCTACTGCAGGTAGTAAAAGCCACAGCTGCTCCAAAAATAATGGTTCTGGGCCAGGCCTTTTTTTTAGAAACTGGTGAATAGGGCAACTCAAGCCATTGAGACAAAATGACACTCGGCCAACAAACCCCTGAATATCCCTGGCCTCTTATCAGGCTCTTTTCTGAGACAGCTCCAGTTCTTAACTCTGCAAAAAGCGTTTCCTGCACCCTTAGGTTTTTTTCAGTGAGCTGTAACCACCAGCTCAGGGGTGGGTCTGACTGCCGTGAATGCAGAGAGGGCACAGATTGTGGAAGTGGAAGAGCAAGTCTTGTGGGGAGTAGGTACTCTTGAAGGCAGGCTCAGCTGTGCCATGCATTATGTATTATGTCTAAGAGACTTCTATGCTGATGGGCTGCCTGTCTCCTAAACTAATTGTCAGACTTGTTTTGCCTTAGGTGAGCTCAGAGCCTTTCCTCCTATGCCTGCTGCTGCAGTGGTATTCTCCACAGTGCTAGAGATGTCCTGAAGCTTACCTGGAGATTTGCTTCCTGCTGAACTGTGGGTTTTGGGCAGGTTGTGCTCTAAGCTCAGAAACAGAGCCAGCTGGCACAGCTGTCCCAGAAGCACTGGCTTCTCAACCAGATATGTAATATAAGCATCTAACAAGCAGGCAGCTGCTCTGGGGAGCTGTGAGGATCTCAGGCTGTGAGTTAGGGACCAACAATCTCTGTCAATGTGTGTTCAGTGCTTGCAGCATCCCAGCTCTGTGCTGGAGAAGACAGGGGCATGCTGTGCCCTGACTTGGTACTCACTAAGCTCCCTGGGCGGAGGACATGGGCCCAGAGGCCAGGAAAGACCTGTGGTATAGAAAAAAACCAAACAGGTGGAAAATCAGGGACAGGACTGCAAGGAGAGGCAGAGTGCATGCCAAAACGGGGGTAGAGCCTTTGTGGCTCTGTAAAAGCTGGCAGGGCTGCAGAGCTGCTAAAGCAGCCAACAGCTGATGCAGAGTCCTGGGAGCAGAGCTGGAGATAATTGTGGAGATAGGAGATGTAGTAAACTTAGGCTTACAGATGGCTGAACTGAAAAAGAAGAGTTAACAGCATTTAACCTGGCAAGGAACCTGAGAGACATCATGTAAAATGGGTGTACTCTAACTCCTGCAGACGGCCAGCAGGTAGGAAAACTCCACGGGTGTAAGGGGAGGGTGTGTCTGGAGGGGAGGACTCAGGGGCTGGACTCAAATCAGGTGGTGAACTCAAAGTGTCCTCCCTGTTGGAGTTGGCTCAGGGCGGTGCTGACTTTACAACCCTCCAATGTCAACTGTTCCTGAGGTGCTGGTGGAGACTGAATGCTGTGGTTCTGGAGCTAAAAATCCTTTTTTACCTCCTTCTGAGAGAAGACAAAGAAAGAGCTGTGGCCCCAAAACAATTGAGACCTTTCTCAGGTCAGTGTTAAATTCTTACCTCTCCCTGCAGCTGCTTCTCAAGCCCTGAGGATTTCACTGAGCCAATTTAATGCTGGTGGTCAGACAGTTTAAACCCATTAGCTCCCAGCTATCTGAATAATTTTCTCCTGGGATCCCAGCACACAGGCAGACTGCTCTAACCAGAACTGCAGAGCACTGCCACGGGACCTGGACTTTGCTGACTGCTGTGGCCTGCGTGGTGAGCACTCAGGGGCTGAAGAAAATGCCACTGGCAAGATCCCTGTCCATGACATCTCTGAATGGGCTTCTTCAGTGTGAGGATGAAGACCTGCCCGTGGAGGATTTGTTGCTCTTTGAAATTTCTTGGGAGGTTACCAACAAAGGTTTGTACCACACTTGGGGGGTTAGTATTGCTGTTTTCTCAGAAGTGGAGGGAGGGAGGGAGAGGATGGAGAAGAAAGGCATTCACAGGGAGACTGGAGAGGGCTGCAGAGCTGCTGGACGGAGAGAAGTGCAGGTGTGTAGTTGTGCATGCTGAGCGTGGGCTGCATCTGCCTGGGCTTGTGTTGGATGGGCAGAGCCAGGATATCTCTCTGTCTTTTTGTGTTCCACCACCAGGGAGGGAGGGGGAGGGGGGTTGAACATCTAAGTGATAAGTCTGAGTGTGCAGCTATCTAAATTGCTTTGTACATACTTAGGTTTTGCCTTCCATGCAAATTCAGTTAGGAATGTCGTGCATGGAAATGAGCTGTACAACAGAGATCAGATGCACAGCAGTTTAGCAGCCCCCCCTCAGCCTTCTAGAGCAGTGTGGACAAGAGGCCAGGCCTGGAAGGGGAATAAATAAATAGAGCTGTGTACAGCCACTGAACAAAACCCAGGAGTCAATGACCAGCGGCCTTTGTGTGCCAGCTAAAACTCTTCTGGACTGCTCTTTGCAAACACAGGTGGTGCCAGACAGGGGCTTCATTTGTTCATTGGTTGCTGCTGGTCAGGCAGAGGGCACACTGCTTATTAGGCAAAAATCCTCCTGCCTCCATTTCTAATCCATTCATCAAATCATCCCCTTTCAAGTAGGTGTAGTTCTGCAAGCTTCCATTTTCACTGCAAAAGTGAGTTAGTATGAGTAAATGATTGACCTCCTGTGTGTTATTTTCCTGGCAGATAAATAGAGTTTAATCAGGAGAGGGGATCTGTAAACTGTTAAGAATTTAACTTTAAAGAGGAAATGTGTGTGAGAGGAACAGGCAGTACTGGGGGTTATCCCCATGGGGATGCTGGAATTACTGTTCTGTGATAATTTCTGCTGGTTTACATTGCTTTTTCAGGGTGGAGAGCCTTATCAATACCTAGAAGTGAGACAGAGTAGATTTGGCCGTTTGAATCCCTGTGGGCTTGTTTTTCAGTAGCTTCAGCCAAGCTTTTAGAGTTAAATTACTAAGGCCACAACTTGGAGCATGCAGCATTCACTTTTGCAGTGTGCATAATAAGTAAGTAATAAGTAAGGTTCTGGCAAGCAGATGGCAGCAGAAATCTAGGAAATTCTGGAGTTCTCACTGACTTCTCTGAACTCCACAGCATACATATTTTCTGAGTCATCTGGACCCAGGGGTTGTAGATATCACACAAGATTTTTAAGAGAAGATAACCCAATTAGATTTTCCCAGAGCATGTACAAAATGTAGTGAATCATTTAATCGTCCACAGAGCTCTGGCTGACTTCACTGGAGCAAAATCAACTGACGCAGCTAAAATTTACTATTCACACATTTTGTGAGAGAATTAATATTAATAAATTCAGTTTTATTCAGTGTGTTTAAAAATAAGGTGCCTTTGCTTACACCACTTTCCAAGCCCATATATTCAGACAGGGCTGAAGGAACATGGAATGGAAAGCAATTTCTTCATTAGAATCTGACCTTCTGCAAAGCTTCCATTAACCAAGCTCAACTAGAAACATCTGTGCAAAATATAATATATTATAATTTATTAAATTTTATAATCCTTTTTCAGCCTATTTTTCTGGTAAATTCTTGATACTAAGAGTTTGGGGTTTTTTTTCTATATCTTCCAGGCAATTGAATGTCTAAGTCATGTGGTGAGAACTGTTCCCTGGTGACCTAACTTTTATAAACAGTTCTGGGAAAATGATACAGCACTGTGAGAGAGAGTAGACAGCAAAATACAGGGAGAGTCATCACAGAAGATATATAAGCTTAGGAAATAATAGATTGTAATGTATATTCCTAGCTCCTTTAGCAGGAGGAATTGTTTATTTGATGAAATAAACTGACCACACAGAGATTTAGTTCTACTGCATGTTTTAGTGTTTGTGCTGCTGCACATGTTCCTAACATAGAGGGCAAGATAAACATTATCTGGATTTATTGCCTGACAAGCTTATTTTGAGCATTTAACATGAAGGTTTCTGTCTTCCTTTCTGGCAATGCAAAGGTATGTCAGAGGAGCTCAGCCTGAAGTTGGTTTGCATTTCTGAGGTGGCATAAAGCTGCTGCTGCCCACGGGAGTGAGTCCCAGTTTTATGTTAATTATGGTGCATCACCAGGTGCTTGGGTACATTTCCTCCTGGGCAAGTGCTGCTTCTTAATAATCCCTCCATTTCTCTTGTGGCACTGACAATCAGGCTGCATTGTCCTCTCTCATGTGAGGAAGGTGATGGCAGAGCTCACAGGTGAATATCCATCCCCACACACTGTAACCAATGACTTTTACAGGAGCAGAGCTGAACCTCTTCAGAGCCAGGGATGGCAAGGGAGTCCTGCAAACCAGAAAATATCTGATTCTGTAGAGAGGGAGCAAGCATTCCATGGCATTTCCCTGATGGTGCTGATTGTTACTGAGGCATGAGGTGTAGCTGTAGGGAAGAAGATGGTTGTATGAACTCAGGGCTCAAAGATCTACAAGTATCCATTATTTCCAGAGTCTCATCTCTTCTTTGTCAGCAGCTGGAACAGGGGAGTTTTCTCTCCTTTTGTTTTAAGAAGGGATAATTTAAAAAGTGCTCCAACAAGGAAGAGTTTCTACTTCTCCATGTTTCCTTTTTGTATTTTTTGTCCTGGCTGCAGCCTGTGCTAAGTTACATCCTCTGACACATAACATTGGCCTCTCAGTTACACCTCTCACTCTACTCTGTCTGAGCAAGCAAAGGTAAGATAGCTGAAGGAGAAAATGGGAAATTAAAAAGGCTCATCTGCCAATGTCACTCTCCCTCACCTTTCCTCCAAGTCATGAGAGGGAACTTGCCACTTAAACCAAAACCAATATTGAAATCCTCTTGCATTGAAAATCCTCTGCCAAAGAAATAAGAAATGAGTAGGTTTTTTTGTGGGATTTCCCTCACTTTAGTTGGCTTTTCACTGATAGGCAAAACCTTATGTGAAGTGGATCTACAGTGTTTGTGTGGCAGAAGAGGAAAAATGCAGGCAGTGAAGGGTCCTAGTCCATTGCAGTGCAAAAAATCTGGTGGTAATCATGGGGGAGATCAGCATTTTTAACTCTTTCTTTCTCTCCTGGCCATCATGCTCTAGTAAAACGAGGTCTGGTCATACAACTGTGGAAAAAAGGATGGTTTCTTTCCTCCATAGCATGAAGACTATTAAAAGCTTTAAGTACAGGAGCACAAAAGAAGTGGCTACCAAGCTATGAAGATTTTGGGCCTGCGTTGAGTTTGTCTGTGGTGGGATTTCTGACACATTGGTTAGAAGGGCTGAGAATGTTCAAGATCCGCCTTTTTCTCTAGAAAAATGTCTTGAAAATAATTCCAGTGATATTTAGATTAGTATCCCTTGCTGTACCACTCACAGTTTTTAGATAGAAAGTAGAAGAATGCTTAAAAATGCTGGGCAAACAGCCAGCTTGTGTCATCATTCATCTGTGAACAGCTTAGCTCAAGAGTCACTGGTAGATGAATCTCAAATATTTTTATTCCATCCCCATTGGAATGGAGACTGTGCTAAAAACAAAACTTGTTTCAGCTCTCCTTGGAGCAAAGATCTCAGTTCAGCCTCTCTGGTGAAAAACTGGACTTTTGGAAATTAAATCCTGAATCCACTGAAGTCAGTAGGACCAGCATTTTCCCTCCTCTGTGTCTTCCCATGATGAAACTTCCTTGGGAGAAGGTGATTACTGTAATTTGTGACACAGCTGAAGTAACACCCTTTGGGGAGTGGGGATGTGCTGGCATAAACTTGGCATAAGCACAGCCTCAGAGCTCTGTGCATTTATAGAGTGGGCTGGAATATCAATGTCAAATCAATTCCAAATGAAATCCTGTGCACTGGGGATGATGCACACAGAAATAGCTTCTCAATTGTGGACATCTGTCATAAGTTTCAATGGTTCAGTATTATTTCCGAATATGTTTGGAATGTCAGAATTTCAGAGAATGTGGAAATCTGTCTTCTGAGGAGTCCTGGCCACAAACATAGCCCAAAAACCACAGGAAAAATATCTGTTGGCTGAAGATGCTGGTTGTTTTTCACCTGACACATTTTTCAGCCTATTTTTATTCAACAGACAATTAATCAATCAATCAGATTCCAATGAAATGTTAGAAACAAGTCCAATCCAAATTTTTATCACACCTGTGCAGATCAAAGACACATTCTGAGGAGAACAGTGAAACAATTGATGTGAGAGTGATTGTGGCAGTTTGAGTCCTGAGCCTGGGCTCATGCTGCTCCCAAGGATCCTGTGGCTCTCATGGTTCTCAGGGAAGCTTTAATGCCTCCAGAGTGGCCTGGTGAGGACATAGCAAAGAAGCTGCAGAGCCCTGGAATCATCCTGTGTAGCCAAGGTGTGTGAGAAAGGATCAGTGACAATCTCCACTTACCTCTGTCTCGCTTCCATAGTTCACTTCCTATTTCTCTCCCTCATTTTTGGTTTCTGCTGCTCCTTCATTCTGTCCTTCTGCAGTGTGGGGTGGGTAGGAGGACAAGCTCTAACTGCTGCTTGGATTTTAAATATACAAAAGAAATAATGCAGCAGGACTTGAAACAAGGAAAAGAGAAAATGCTGGAGTGATGCAGAGAACTCCTTTAGACAAATTCTAGTAGTGTTAGCATAGTTAAAAGGTTTAGACTTTAAAAATAATTCTGTGGAATTTTTTGAGATAGTATTTTGGTTTTATCTTCTATTTTTTAAAGAGGTCAGTAAAAAGACATCAAACTTCCCTTAAATTAACAAAATCCCTCTTTCCCAAATATCTGACCTCTCCTTTCTGTGCCAGTTATTTTTTCCTTAAAGAAAAAAACAAAACAAAACAAACCAGGAGGAAGAATGGAAAAGAGATAGGTGGGGGAAAGAATTTTTGTTGATTTCCTTTGAAAGTTGATTTCATTTATTGGTGGAAAGTTTAAAAGCATGTTTTAAAAAGAAATAATAAAAATATTTTTATTTCAATGATGTTTTTAAATGACTAAAAATTAATATATTTGAATAAAGCATTTTGTTGAGCATCAGAAAACTAAACTATTCCTGTATCAACATTTTACTGCTAATTCCCCTTGTCTGTGATATTCCAAACCAGTTCTCTTGTTCTGGTCTCTGCTGATTCTCTATCGGCTTCTCATTTTGTCATTTCTTGTTTGTTTTAACCCTGTTTCAAAGTACAAAATTTCAGAGGCAGCATAGAGAAACTTGCAACATTTTGGTACATCCCTGTTGTTTGGCAAGGTTTTCTGTTTATAGTATGACCTAAAACATTGTATTAGACAAGAAAAAGAAGGCTTACCAAATTGTGGAAGCAGTTTGAGAATTCTGTGAGCTGAACATGTAAACCCTTACTCTGCTACTCAGTAGGATATGTAATGTTTTGCTTACTGGCACAGATATTTCCAAGGAATTCAGAGCAATTGAGCATATAGAAACTAGCTCTTAAAAGATATATAATCTGTTCCTGGAGTTTGCTATGGAGAAGTGTAATTTCAAAAATCAATACATTATTCTAGACATTGCTCTGTTCTTCTCAAGATGTCTTTTTTAAGTTATACCCAACACTTCCTACATACATAGTTTCACTTGCAGTTTCCCTCCGCTGTCAGTTAAACCTTATGCACAGACATGCTTTGTGAGTCATATTTCCACAGTAACAGGGAAGACAAAAGCAGGTCTGGGGGCCAGGTAGCACTGCTTTTATCACAGTTAACTTCTGAGGAGTTTTAACAGCCTGTAAAATGTACTCCTTGGATTTTATCATAAGTACTTTTTAGTGCATTTCAGGCAAATCAGTGCCCTGAAATGTTTTTTACCTTGCTGTGCAACAGATTATGACAGCAGAGCACAGCACACTCTCCATTCTTTCCCCCATAAGAGGCCTTCCATACATCTTTGGCCCTTTAGGGCACACAGGGATCCTAAGGATAACCTTGTGAAAAGAAACACTCAGATGCTGGCTGTGTGAAACAAAGATCCAGGCTCTGTGCTGCCCTTGAGCTGCAGATTCCCCATTTCTCTTGAAATCTCTGGCTGTGGAAACTCAGCTACGTTACCAATCCCAGTGTTGAGCCCTTTGCAGTGTGGAAGAGGTTGATCCACACTCCTAGGATGGGGGAAGGAGCTTTGCTTCACTCTAGGCATATACAGCTTTATTGTGGTATTTAGTGTCTTTCATCTTGCAAGTCATGTTTTCACTTTTTCCTGGATCACCAGGCTGCCCTGCACTAAAATCTTTCCTCATTCTAAGCTCTGTATCCCTGCCAATTCAAACCAGCCAGTTTCATGACTAAGATTTCTACCAAGCCTCATATTTATCTTATTTTGGATTTAGGCCTCTTATGCTCCTATGATGAATTTACCACCCCATAAAACCAGAGGTATCATTGTAACTATTGCTTTTTAGGTTGAATGTTCTGATTTGTCTCATATAATTAAAATTTTATGTTTATCTGAATCCAAGCTATTCAAATAGACTCTTTCAGCTTGAGCAGAGGAACTTGGAGGGAAAATACGGTGTTATTTATCTAAGATTGCTCTAAATCCCTGTCCAAAGCAGCCATGGAAGAATATGATGACTATAAATTAGTTTCTTAAGCTTTCTGGTCCTGCAGAAGGGGAGAATAATGGTGTTATGCATAGGTTTCCTTCTGCAATTCCATAGCTACATGATATGAAACTCTTGAACTGACAGCTTGATTTAGGAGCAGACATCTGTAAGGTTCTTGTCTTCTTAAGTCTTGAATTATTAAGGGTAATAATTTATTGTACTAATTCTACTTAGCAAGCTGGTAGATTGAAACTGCATTTTTTTTTCCTCTTTGTAAATACCTAGAATCCTGAGACATGAAAATATTGAGACCAGAGGTCCTTTCGGCATTCAAAACAAATGGGATATTTGTAGAGAAAAGGCATTTAAGTGAACAATTTATTTTCTAGGAGCATAATTAAAACTGTAGCTCTGTCATTTGGCTCTCCAGGGCTGCAAGACAGCAGGCTTTGCAGAAGGCTTTCTGTGTTTGTCAGGGGATGCAGTTTAATTAATCTGGAACTAATCTCCCAAAGTGCTGAGCAACTTCAGCTGCCGTATTGTACATAGCAGTGGCAGATTTTTAAGGAGAATTAGGTAACTTCTCAAGGTTTTTAATTATATTGAATATGGTGCACTGGCACCTCTGGATATCCCAATAGCTTTAAAAGGGTGAGCCTAGCATGCCAGCTCTCAATCCCTGGCAGTTTTCAGTGCTGGCTCCATAGGTAATTTTGATATCACTGCTGGAAGGTGTAGCACCATCTCCATCCCCAGAGTGCTGCCTGTATTTCCAAAGCTTCAACATTCAGTGGAGGGAAAAAAATTTATGTAGGAGCAATCCCTTCTGTAGTGTTCCTTTTGCTCTTTGTACCTGTTGTGCTCCCTCTCTCCCACCTTGCTGGAGCTACGCTCATTGTCTCTGGTGTGCAGCAGCTGCTTGGCCTCAGGTTTTCTTTTCCCTCACCATCCTGCCCCCTTGCTGGACTCAAGCATGCCCTATGGCTCTTCTGACTTGGTGGTGGTGAAATTCCACTGCCTAGCACCCTGGGCACTGTAGCAAAGAGAGGTTTGCCCTGCCAGTGTGTGAATTCCAGGGCTGGCTATGGCCAACTCTGAGCAAGAGCAGCTAAGGGACTCTTGCACACCATGTGCAAGAATGGATAGATGTGTATTGACTTGGCAAGGGATGCTGCTGGATTCTCTTACACATTTGAATGGTGCATTTGCCTTTAAAGCAGACATTATTTTGGTGAAAGATGCTACAGACATTTATGTAGTCAGTGTAGGCTACATTCCCTTCAACTTTAACAACTCTTCAAGACTCATAATGCAACAAAACTCCTTATGCTTTGAGGATATTGGGTTAAGTCCATTTTTATAGGCACCAGTCAAACAAGCTCAGTTTGTGTGTCAAACAAGCTCAGTTCTTACCATGTGATGAAAAATAGGTTTGAAAATTATAACTGAGGCAATAAAACAAAAGCAGAAGGCTGTGCTTGGGATGCAGCAGAATCAAGATCAGACATGAGAGAGTGGAAGTATGAGGCCCAGGATTTTAATCCCCCAACTGAACAGGGAAGCTCTGATACCATTTAAGAGACTGAACTTCTATTTATTTGATTGAGGCTGGATTTCACTTAAAGCCTACATATGTGAAGGGATTTAACTAGCAGTGTATCTGATCCACAGATGGATTGGAGCTTAGTACAGAGATCTGTAGCCTGTGCCCCTTTCTAATTTTTGTTTTTTGTGATCTTCTTTTGCAGTGGGAGGCATTTACACTGTGATCCAGACAAAAGCCAAAACTACAGCAGATGAATGGGGTGAAAACTATTTCCTGATTGGCCCCTATTTTGAGCAGAATGTGAAGACTCAAGTGGAATTCTCTGAACCTCCAAACCCTGCAGTTAAGAAGGCAATGGACACCATGAAAAGCCAAGGGTGTCAGGTAAATCAGATGTGTTGCTGCTTCCCCAGGGCAACAAATCTGACTCTGAGGAGATTAAAGTTTGGGTTAATGCTCTTGTCGTTCCACTTGACACAGCAGTCCTGGTCAATGTCACAATGGGAAAGGCTCGGAATCCACTGTTAGAACAGCAGAGTCAATTCATTAAAGGTTATTTTTGAGGAGGAACCAGTTCATCCAATTATGGGTTTTAACAGTCATTTATCTGCAAGGCTGCTTAACTGGATTAATGACTTATTTATCTGGTCTCTAAAGTACGGTGAGATTTTAGTACATATAACATGACCTTACCTTGTGCCCTTATTTCACATTCTTGCATGGGAATGAGAAGAGTGTTCCATTAGCTCTCAGATTTTCTAATGTAGCATAAAAATATTGAGATGAAAACCAGAAAAGACTTGAGAAAAGCACTGTGGTGACAAAGGATCCACTTCCTCAGTTCAGTGCAACCAGCTGTCAGTTCCCTGAGAAGAGAGGCTAAACCACAACACAAGAAGTGGATTTTCTCTCTTTCCAACATGATTTTTAACCAGTGTTTTCTGTGTGATCTCATAGCCTTTCTGAGGCTCGGTTTCTCCAACAATGAAGTGGGAATAAACTTTTTCCTATAAAGGTTATCTGCTAAAAGAAATAGATTATCTGCTGTGTTGATGGGCAGTTATTAAGCTGCAAGCAGCTTTGGTTACCTGAAAATGGGTGGAAGGTAACTCATGCTAAATTTAACCTCCTTTCTTGAAGTCCTTATCAGAGATGTAGAACTTGCCTGTGCTCTGGCTCAGTGTTGAGTCCCTCGGAGATGCCAGTTTGCAGGAGGAAAAATTGTCTGCTCCTACTGTGTGCTGAACAGATGTGGAGAGCATCAGAGGCAGCAGCAGGGAAGGATTCTTACTGTTGCTGAGGGCATTGACACATTTCAGTATGGAAATTCCTGCAGTTCTTGGGTTGTCACTAGCTGTGGCACTGGCAATGTGTTGTCTGCCTTTGTAAGAGCAGTTGTGCTGTTCTTAGGATCTAATGCCTTGTTATGCAGATGTCTTTTGTTGGATGAGTATGTGCCACAGCTTGGGAGTGTTGGGGACACTGACATGATGCTTGAATTGTATGGGCCCAAACTGAAAGGTCCAATCTGCCATTTCTTATCTTTATCAGATTTTCATAGGTCACTGATCAGGTTTTCCATGTTGCCTCTGTAACACTCCTGTGTCTGGAAAACAGCTAAAGACTTCTGGGGCAAATTGATTGCAACGCTTTATGTTGTTCCAGCAATGCATCCAATTTAATCAGCCACCTCTGCCAGCCCAACACGTGCATGGTGCTGCATAAGTATTCATATACAGCAGCAAATCTGTCCCAGGGATGTCAAATATAGCTTTGATCTCCAATAATGACGCTCTCGTTTCCAGGAGCTGCACTTATCCTATTAACATTTATGTCTGGGTTTTGCTTATGCATCACAATGGATGGTTTTAAACCAGGGGACCTAGGAATGCTTCCAGACTTCTCAGGTCAGGTGTGTTCCTTGCCACAACCTGACCATGTATTTAGATGAAGTCTGGGTTCTCTGCTTTTTAACCTCATTTTCCTGAATAGCAAATCTGGACAGTCTGAAATACATACATGAGGAGCTAAAAGGAGCAAACCTGCCTTTGTTATGCCTTCTACTTTTTGTGAAAACAGGCCAAAAGCTTTTATCTTATTTGTTTTCAAGACCTGACCTCTCTTCAGCTCATTGCAGCGTCAGGGCTGGGTTCAACCCCTGAGGTCCCAGCTGTTTTGATGCAGATTTAATGTGAAATTATTTCACTTTGCAGACTGTAGTGTGGGCCCAGCTGGGCTGGGCAAGCCAGTGCAGGCAGTGAAGTTGTGAATACACTTAGAAATGGTTATATATACCAATGGAGACAAAGCAGGAAAGCTGCATTTTTAGCCTGATGTGATTTTAGGTATTGAGATTTATTGATCTTCCACTTCTGATTGATCCTTCCACTCTTCCAAATGGAATTGGAATGATTCCCCTCTGCTTGGGAAGAAGGAAGAAATGTCATGGTAGATACAGGCACCAAGCATCAGTCCTACAAAACCTCTCCCCAGTAATCTAGCGTAGATAGCAAAAGACTGGAGACAAATATGACTGAAATAAACTGATAATTTTAAAATAAGAACAGAACTGGTATAGATACTTCAATAAGAAGACCTCATTATTCAAGCAAGTGCAGTCTTCCTAAGTTTTTTTTCTTTCATAGAAAAGAAGTTGCTATTGCAATGAAAATCTAAAATGAAAGACTTAAAAATAAAATGTTCCTAAAGGTTAGAGTTTCCTTTGCTTCAGTATTACTCTATGTATTTTGCAAAGAAAACTGCAAGTCCTGAGTTGTAGGACTGTGAATACACATTGTTTGTATGCTGTACTTCAGATGTGATGGATGAAGATTTTTGTGCTAACTGGCCTTTACACTCACTTTAACCTTTTTTTTCTATCCTTCTTATCCTTGCCTCTTTTCCATAGGTCTTTTTTGGAAGATGGCTGATAGAGGGCAGCCCTTATGTCTTACTCTTTGATATAGGATCAGCAGCTTGGAACCTGGACAAGTGGAAAGGTGAATTTTGGGAAGTCAGCAACATAGGGATCCCTTTTCATGACCGAGAAGCCAACGATGCTGTGATTTTTGGATCATTAACAGCCTGGTTTTTGAAAGAGGTACAGTTTTTAAACCTAGAGATTTGCAGACCAAAACTACCTTGGGATGTGGTTCCTATTCTCCAGTTTAAAAACCAAGATTTTTAGGAAGTTGATCTCAACATAAATCAAATTTGTATTTAAAACTTCAATGTTGACTGGTCATTCAGCTATATTTTTCCAGAAGAAGGGTAGTGGGGCTGCCCAGTGTGGAGTCTGAGTGACCGTGCTTGCCAGAGCCCCCTGACACTCTAGAAAGAGGTCTGTTCTGAGGAGCTAGAGAGCATACATTTTTCTTGGGTTAAGGATTAGAGCTGATGGAAGTCAAGGCACATGTCCTCTTAAAATTGTACTGTTTTGTCACAAGAAGGAAAGCAAGAGTACAAAAGGCTTCACCAAAAAAAGAAAAAGTTCTCTGGGGCTGGGATGATGGACATGATAATGTATGTTTCATGTATTTCTTTTTCTTTTCAGCTTTCCTCTCAGTTTGATGACAAGCCCAATATAATTGCCCACTTCCACGAGTGGCAGGCAGGAGTGGGTTTAATCCTGTCTCGATCACAGAAACTTCCCGTCGCCACAATTTTTACTACCCATGCAACTCTGCTTGGGAGATACTTGTGTGCAGCCAGTATTGACTTTTACAACAATCTGGACCAGGTAAGAGACATTTTTCTCATTCTTCTCTGGTTTTTTTAGCTAATCATCTACTGGCTCCCTTTCTGTTAATGGTGTTACACTATTTATTGTATTTTCTGTCTTGTGTGCTTGCTTATAAATACCATAGCTGGTTTTTGATTCCAGAGCATGAGAATCAACATTTTGTAAAGTCATGAAGTGTCTAGGCATGAGTGCCTTTGTCTCATCTGACAGGTCTGAAAGCTCAGTGGAAACTAGTAAATCCTATTCAGCTCTAGCCAACATCTGACCCTTCAGGTGTAGTCTCACAAAAGTCTTTCTTAATGTAAGAAAAAATAATCAATAGCCCTCCTCTTGAGAAAAATACCCCAGAATTGCAGTGGATCATGGTTGCTTTGAGTTTTTTTTCCCCCAGCCTGCTTCTTAATTTTTACAAACCATAGTGAGTCCTAATTTCAAGCATTTCAGGTTAGGCCTAATTTGTGACTGGCAAATGTAGGAAGTACTTTCTGAGTTCAAAAGACTCACATGTGTTTCTTGGAATGTGTGTAAACTGTCTGTTGATTTTGATTTTCACTGTTCTCTTTCCACTCAAAGCATAACACAAAACAATGTTTCAAGGACCCAAATGTTTTTAGCACTGCTCTCATCAGGGTACTTTGCCTGATCTGGGATTTCTATTATGGTCACAGACAAGCCTGAATTCAAGAGGTTTTTGCATTCCAACACTTAGTGAAGGAAGAGGTACATAAAAGAACCACATTGTTCATGTACTTCCTTGGCTAAAATTAGTGAAGAAAATTACACAGTTGGTAATTTTCAGTTGGATGTTTGAAGCTTGACATGTTGGGGAGCTGTGTCTTCCAAAGACAAGGCCTAAGCAGTTGTATGTTGCCGGCCTGACTCAGAAACAGGGAATCATGGAATGGTTTGGGGGGTTTTTTTGGTAAACATTATCTCATTCTGACCCCTGCCATGGGAAGGGACACCTTCCACTATCCCATCTTGCTCAGAGCCCCATCCAACCTGGCCTTGGACACTTCCAGAGATGGGACAGCCACACCTTCTCTGGGCAACCTGTGCCAGGGCCTCACCACCCTCACAGGGAACAATGTCTTCCTTATATCTGACCTAAATCTGCTCTCTGTCATTCTGAAGCCGTTCCCCCTTGTCCTGTCACTCCAGGCCCTTGTAAATCATCTCTCCTAGACTCCTAAGTTAGTTATGGTGTTAGGTGCATTAATAAAGCAGCATGAACATCACAGTCCTGCTGTGTAGGAGTCCAGACACTCCTGCTCACTCATAGTCTCTCTGTGTGTATAATATAGAATGGTTTGTTTTGATTCTGGTTAATTGAGGGAGCTGAAAGCAGTCTGGAAAGTAGTCTTTTTTTTTCTCAAAGCAGCTGGGTTTTTTTCTCTTCATGAATACTTTTGGGGGCCTCACCCTTGTCTGTGTACTCAAAAGGTACTCAAATGATCTTACATCTGACTAAATCTGCAGACTTTAATATATTTATAAACTATTCACAGTATTAATATAATTTTTTTCTGTCCAGACATGACATGAACATTTTTATCTGTGAAAGCACTGTCCATCCTTCAAAGCCTAACAAATCCCATTGGTGACCATCAGCTGTATATGCCACAAATACAGAATTGTCTATTCAGATTTTATTCTAAGAATATGTGGAATTAAACATAAGTATCAATTTCAAATATCATTCTAAATGGCTGTAAATAATATTTAAGGGAAGGAAATTGTGGATTTTTAGGCTGTAATGCTTTATACCCTCTGTGGGTTGACAATTAAAGGTACTAATAGAGGAAATGATGTCAAGCTGTTACACCATTGTTTAATATTTCTATAGGATGCTAAAACTCTTCCTGGAAAAGTTAACTATCTTGGTGAGGGCTTCTTTGTCTGTGAAAAGGTCACCATGGCCCAAAAGTCAGTTGAGACACAAGAGCCTGATCTCGCATACCATAATTAAATAACAGCTAGATCTTCAGACATATTCTTGTTGTTGCCTTCTAGCAGCAAACTATTTAGGTCAAACAAGCAATTTTCTTAGTGAAGAAGATTCTTTAGGGCTTCCTAATGTTTAATCTTTGGAGGAAACAATATTTTTTTTAGAGCATTTCACCCCCTCCCACCTCAAAAATAGGTGGGTTTCCTGATTCAGTGCTATTGCATAAATGTTTTCCCTTGAAGTATGATTACGTTCTCATGTTTGATCAGTGTTTCACAGCTAGAACACAGTTCCCACCAGGCAGCAGCTGCCAGGATGTGTTGTGCCAGACGTCACAGAAAAATGGCTGCAGCACAGAATGAAAGTGTGTGACCTTATTGTGCCTGACACAATCAGGCATGTACAGCTCATACAGGGAAAAGAGGAAACCTCATGTCTTTGTTTCAACACAGTCCACAAAATGCTGAGTTAGGACGCCTGGTAGGCAGTTCTGCACTGCTCACACAGTGCAGGACTCTCCCACTGCACTGTCAAACCATACCCATAGATAAGCAGGGCTAGAAGATGCAAGATCAGTAGAGTCCTGAGCTGTGGGCTACTAAAACTCCCTGTTCCATGAGCTGAGGGCACATGTCAGCCTGTAATCTTTAAGAGGACATTTTCTGGGGGGCTGCAAACCCAGTCAGCTTAGTAGAGGAAAGCTGTGGATGGCTGGAAGATGGGAGGGTGCTATATGGATGTAAAACTGTAATGTTGTGTGAGTCCTGACCTCTTCCTGAGCCATCTGCTCTTTGCCTCAGTCAGAGATGGGATCCTGGTTCTTAGGCAGTATTACAGCTTAGCAACTGGACATGGCACTCAGGGCTGTGCTTTAATTGGCAAGGTGGTGATTGGTCAAAGGTTGGACTCAGTGATCTTAGAGGTCTTTTCCAACCTTAATGATTCTGTGGTTAAGGTTTGAGCGTATACAATTCTTATATTCTTACAGTTTTAACTTAGTTCATCTGGGCTGGCTGGAATTAACCTGCCTCTGCTCCAGTGAGAACCTGGGTGTTAAACTCCTAGCAGGTGCTCAGGAGCACAGTGGCCACCAGAAGTAATGCTGTTGTGTTACTATTTAGTGCATATTTTAGTACCTAGATTCACATTTAATTCACTCTCATCTTGGAGAAAGGAAGGGAGGGAAAACCAAAAGAACAAAATGGAGTGACATGTACAGTAACTGACGGTGTCTTTATTTTTATTTACTTTTAATTATTTGAAGAACCCTGGGTACATGACTGGGTCAGGGACTGCTCACTAAACCTATGGGTTATTGTCTTGAACTCTTCCAAACTGAACACTTCCTAATTTCAATATCAAGCAGGGTTTTTTATGAGTTTTAATTCCCAATGGAAGTTTAAGGACTTTTGTATATCTAAATAGTCCAGCCAATAGGGCATTTTCCCATTGTCTGCATGTCCAGTGCAGCTTTTACATTGGTGTGTGAGATTGTTTGTTGCCAAGATACCTAAACCAAAATTGCTAAAATGTAGGAATTTCTGTGAAAAAAATCTCTATGTCTGTGGAGCCTTTCTCTCTTCAGGAGGAATTGGCTTCTCAGCTGAAGATTAACATTCTCAATCATTGTTTTCCCCGTTGTTTGAGGGGACTGATTTAGGTATTTGCTTGTTTTGCATGGGGATTTTTTTCTATCCTTTCATGCCTCTAGAGTTTTATGAAAGGTGCTGGTTTATTTAAATTGACTGAGACACCAATGATCCAAACAAGTTCCTAGGTGAATAGACAGCTCATTTTGGAAAATTATTTAACCTGGAGAAGTCATCATCTGAAATTATTTTTGGGACCACTGGCCTGGTGTCATGGAGAAGTTTGTGTGGTTCAGCCTCTGATGCTTCTTACTAAAAAAACACTTTGAGTTTAATGGGTAAAGGAGAAGGAAAAAAAGGTCAGTCATAGTCTTCATTGCCTTTTTCCTTAGGTTGCCCTGCTGATGTGTAACGCTTCTGTTTAGAACTTGGAACATTTTCATTCAGCTCATGCAGGTGCAGCTGAATCCTGTTTGCAAAGTGGTGGAAAATCCTGTCCCAAGAAGTCTAAAAGGAAAAGTACTAAAAATCCCAATGAAAATGAATAGTCAGGAGCTTTTTTGCTGACAATGTCTCACTCCACTTAGTGCTGTACTGTCCAGTTTGTCACCGAGCTCACTGTTACACAAAGCTAATCCACTTTGTCAACAGAACAGCTGATGGAAATCTGATTTAAGCCAGGAAGTGTAAATTTCATTCTCTTTTGGCCTAGCAGAGCTATACCAGAATGAAAGCTCTCTTTACATAAGGCAACAGTCAATTAGAGGTAAATTTGATGTTAGCTGGATTTTAAGGGAGCGGTTCTTACCTAATTTAGACAGCAGCAGCCAGTGAGATAATGGTGGAAGCAAAAATGTTTCCATTCTACCTGTTAGTCCCTTAGGAATTTGAACTTCAAACCAGTCTCTGACTGTTCCTTGGTCCTGCAGAATCACTTTGAACTTGAGTGTACCACTCTTTTAAAAGACCAAGAAAGATTATTTCGTTCTCTGTCTAAAATCCTCAAGCATGAAACCTGTACCTTTTATTTGAATTACAAAAGATTTACAGTGATATTATCCACTCTTGAGGTAAGGTTTAAATGGTGAGGGTATTAAATGGTGAGTCTGTATTTTTTCTGCAAAGATGTTGTCATGTTTTATTTAGGAAAATTACATATATTAATTCCAGTTTGAATTTGTATTGGTTTAACTTCTGTTGGTTTTCACCATTCTTTTTTTTTTTCATTAGGAGAGCATAGACTAATATCAGTATCTAGAGATTCTTTGTAGACTGTGACAAATAATTTGTCTTTCTTTCAGACAAGAATTTAAATGGCTAATATAATTCTTCCTCTTTTTCCACTCTCAAATGATTCTTGTGTTTTGGAAATACTTTACAATTCATCTTTAAAGTATTGAAGTAGGAATGGCTGATTTCGATTCGCTACTTCAGTGACTGTTTCCAGAAGAAACTGCTTAATATTCTCTTCTTTTTCACTCAAAGTTCAGAATGTCATGCTGGGAGGCTCAGTGATTACTGCTGTGCCCCCTAACATGTTGAATTTTAAGAGATCAATGGGATGTTATGCTCATTACATGGATCCATAGAAAATGAACCAAAGAATCCACAGAAATTAACCAAAATTTTCCCTCAGAATTGCACTGCAGCAAATTCAAATTTTACTCCAAAGCATTGCACCTGTGGAACATCTTCTTTTGCTTTGAAATTAGAGTGGCCTTCTAAAGGAGTAATTTCTCCTTCTAATCCTTGCCTGCTTGTAAATTCTAATAATCTACTTGCTTTCCACCAGTCAGGGAAGGAGAGGATCCTTCAATAAATTTACAGGGAAGTGGATATTGAAGCTGTTGGCCTTTAAATATCACTGAAATGGTTGGACTAAAGGACCTTAAGAGCTTCTTCTACCCTAAAGGGTTCTGTAAACAGGTCATCTGACTTAGGTTTTTTTTTCTCTTGATGCAGCTGTGATCTGTGGCTTAGCTAGTGTTCCCATTTGCTGATAACAGCAAACAAACAAAAGCAGGCGTGACATACTTGATGGGAATCTCGCTTTGCTCTGGCTGAACACGAGGGGTTTGGAGCAGAGTTCACAGGTGCCTGAGCTGGGCTGGACAGAGGGCAGGGCTCAGGGCTGAGCAGGAGCTTTGGGTTGGGGGTGAGGAGCTGCCCAGGTGTCCTGCTGGTTTCAGCATATTGTCCCATGCCCCACAGTGCCTCTAACTCTGGAGATTGTCAAAGCAGGCTCAGCTTTGCACAGGACTAGGTGGGTTAAATTAGTCACCTGCACTGTCTCATCAATTAATTTTCATTTAGCCTGCCCTTCAACTTGGCTAAGGCTCTTTTGTGAAGTCGCTTGTCTAGCCTGCTCAGAAGTGCACAGTTCTTACTCCACCCTGAGGTGAAAAGTCAAGGTCTTGCTTTACTGATTGGTGCTTGAAGCTGCCGGAGAGTGAGAGCAAATGAAATGTGAGAACCCCATGACCTCTGTTTGTACTTCCTAATAGATGTGGAATTGTGTACCTTTGCGAAAACATGCCAAAAGCCCCACAAGCATACACAAAATAAAATACTTCTTGTTTATAAAAGATGGGAAAATGAATAGCAATGAAGAAATAAGCACTGATATGTGTTAAATATGCAAAGCCTGTTCATGAAACCAAAGAAATAAAAGTTAACTAGAAATAAGTCATAGTGCTTAACAATCTTTTTATAAACCTTTCCCCAGCAGTGTTACAGGGACAACAGTTATCAACAGTTGTCTTTATAATATCAACAGTATTCTTTATCAACAGTTGGTGAGCATGTCCCAGATTTAATTTTTAATCACGTTTTGTAATTAAAACCCATTCTTGCTGAGCAAGGAAAAAGAGAACAAAAGGCCTTTGAAGTTTGACCAGCTATTTGTTTGCTAGCAATTTCAAAAGTATTTTTAATAGAAAGCCAGATGTGTTCGAAAATACTTTCATAATTATGACTGTGTAGTTGTGCCCATCCCATTCATGTTTGTCTAGCATACTAAAGAACTGTCCCATTTTGTATCTTTTTTGCACAGAATGTTTAGACAATCAAATATGCAGTTAAGAGCTGCTTGTGAATCAGTTTAGTGTAAGCCAAGGATGATGCTGAGACCTGTGGCACTTTAGGGAGCCAAATGAATTCCCCTTTATTTTTCTCTTTGTATTCTTTCTACCACTTGATTTCTGTAGCAAATGAAATTAACATCCTGGAGAAAATATCCTTTGTATTTCATGCTCTAAAATTCTTGTGGGGAATGCAGAAAAGACGATATGTGAGGATACAACTGCGAGATGGTATCATAGTATTTAGCACATTATGTGGTAAATTGTATTTGGCAAATGTAGAAAAGCTCTTGATATAGAGGATCACCAATACTAGAATAAAGCATCTAGTTTCTTTGGAAGTTTTCAGCTGAGACTTTTCAAGAGTCCTTTTTTTTTTTTTTTGGTCACACTAGGGTGGTTAGATTGGCACTTTCAACTAACACAGTGGAAGCCACTTTCCCACTAGTATTGTAGCACTGATGCAGGATTAAAGCAGATAAAAGCAAGTAATTTTCTCAGCAAAGCAGTTATAAGATATCTATATTTACATCTGTGTCTGCACCTATCTAAGTGAAAATAAGTTTTTTACTTCACTGTAGATCCCTGAAATGGTTCACATTGCATCAACTTTCTCGCAATATGTTCTGTACCAGCATTAAGCTTTGCAGGACAGGTCACAGTCTAAATAGCTTTACTTCTGTCCAAGTTCTGAAGTGCTAAAAGCAGCGGGCCATGGCAGGGGTCACTCAGTCCTAACTATAGAAAGTGCTGTCTGCCCTGCCTGTGATAGGGGTTAAATCTATTATGGTCAAAGTTACACAGTCAAATGCAATCAAAATCAGGCTGTACAGCCTGCATTAGGCAGCGATCACGACAGAGCTCACCCAGAGTCATTGTCACCCTCCATGAAACTCACAGGCCACTGGGTGCCCATGCTGTTGACCTTAGGGGCTCAAGACTTCTGTTTCCAGAAGTGAAACATCATGGAAGACTAAGAGGATTGTGATTTAATTGAAAGCATTGACACCTTTTTTAGACTATGTTGTAGCGATTTTGCAGTGGACACCGTTAGTGAACATTTAAACCTTTAAGCGTGGACTCAAGGGAATTGTGCATTTTCTTTGCATCAGGATAACAGAAGTTAAAAAAAGGGTAGCTGCAAGATTTAAAGGTGATTTAGAAATACTTGGGTGTTTGGAATGTCTTATCTAGCAGTTTAACTCACATCTGCCTCTAAAAATTAAGGGAGTTCAAACTGAAATATAAGAAGCAGCAAGTAACAGTGGCAGAGCTGGAGGAAGAATATCTCTTGAGTTCCAAAAAAATATCTCATGTTCTGTTTTCTTTTTTCCCTTGGGAATTGTCACTGAGTCTTTATATCCTGCCTCTCCTTTTCTCTCTCGCCTACCTGTGATTCCCACCATTCTGCCAAATCCCCAGGTTCTGTCCTCATCCCCATTCCTGTTTTCTTCTCTTCCCTTCAGCTACCAGCAATCTCCCTGCTCTCCCAAGTTTTCCCACAAGCCCGTGGAAGCTGCAACATGATACATTGCCAGCCAGCAGGCCAAATTCCACAGATCCTTACCTTTCATGGAATCATTAATCTAGATTTCCTTCCATGGCAGAGCTGCCATTCTTTGAGGAACAAGCAGGATCTGAGAGCTCTTCTGCTCTTTCAAATTCCTTGAAGTTGATAAAATAGTTCAAACACCAGAATGACAGAACAGCAGCATAATCACGTGGTTCTCATTCCCTGCGGAAAAGGAGCCTAGCAGGAGAAACCTTCCGTGAGGGAGACAGTTTGATGGTCATGTCACACAGGTGTCTTTTTTGTTGGTTTTGTTATTTAACAGTTTGACATTGACAAGGAGGCTGGAGAGAGGCAGATTTACCATCGGTACTGTATGGAACGGGCATCTGTGCATTGTGCCCATGTGTTCACCACAGTCTCCCAGATCACAGCTACAGAAGCAGAACATATGCTTAAAAAAAGCCCTGGTAAGACCTGGATTATTTTTTTTTACTGTTATTTCCTCAGAATGCCCACATATCCTTAGATTGAATGAGCATAATAGAGGCAGTATGCAAACATGAAGAGAAGGAACACATGCACAGGCGTGTCTGGCTATGCTACAGGGTTTAACCAATTTTCCATGGATGTTAGGGTTTTTTTTTGCCAGGACTCCTCAACTTCAGGAATTTGGTCTGTGGCAGGGTTTCCCTGCTTTTGGAACTGAACCATGATAAGCTTCATATAGATAAAATATCTTCTATTAGGCCAACAAGTAGAGTTTGAAAAATAGTTCTGTGCCCAATAATTTGTCTGGTTTTCCTCTTGATGTTAGTCTCATAAAATACGAAGCTTAGAAACCTTGTCTTGTTCCATGCATAGATTTTGAGTAACCTCGTGATCCCAGTTTGATGTGTTATCAAATTTCTCTTTAAATCATCTCAGTGCTTTATAGGGATAAACCCCAATACTCCATCTGCAGGTAGGCAGCATGAGGGAAAACTACACAACAGTTTTGGAGACTATTTAGCAGGTGTGTTGGTATCTTGGTTATTTTAAATTAAACAGTGCTCAAATTATTGTTTTTGTTTGAGCTTTTTTTTTGTTTTATTTTGGGGGTTTAGTTGTTTATTTGTGGGATTTTTTGCTTACTCTTTGTAGAGTTGTTGGTTGATTTGCAGTGCTGATTATAGTTTGGGATTGTTATCCTGGTTAACTTCAATGCTTCAAGCCACATTGTGGTTCCTGAACCCAAACAAAATAAACCTTTGCCTCATTCCTGACTAGCTGTCAATAGGATGGTGGATCTAGATTATCTTTTTCATTTTATTTTAAGCACAAAAGCCATGTCTTAAAAGTCACTGAAGTTCAGTCATTTAAACTGGGATATCTCTGAAAGGTCTTGATTTTTACAAAGTGCAGACACTCTGAAAATCAGAATTTTAAAGCTTTTTTTATATAGGCATGACACTTCTCCCCACCACAGCTACCATTGAAAATCATAGTCTGTGTTTTGGGATTTTAGGAGACTGAAATGAGTCTGAATCCAGTTTAATTTGGGGAAGAAAATCTCCAGACTGCTCACAGATAAAACATCAGTTGAAGCTGAAGAGAATTCCATGCACAGAGATTCACAGGCCTGAGCTTTTTGTGATTATTCTTGCAACTTTGAAGAAACCAAGTAAATATACTTAATGTTTGGGTTAAAAAAACTACTGACAGATGTCATGCTTCATGTTGATATAGCTAGAAAGAAATTCAGTAGAAATTGTCACCCCAAATCCTAAGAGATGACTCTAAGTGGAAAGTATGTTCTGATGGGAATAAGTACTTTAATAGTTTCTCTGAATCCAAGACCACAAATAAACTGTGCAGGAACCTATTCTCACACTATTTATTCTCTCTGAAGTTGTGAAATCTGCATAGACATTGATTTCTTGAAACACCCATCAATCCTTCAGTAGGTCATTGAGCTTGCTAAGGAACATGAATACTGAAAGCATGTGTGCATTTCTCCATCCACTTTAAAAATAAACCTTTAAAAGGAGGATGCTGAATTATCACAACTACATTTTATTTGCATTTATTGAGACAAAAACTTTTCAAATAAATTGTTAGCTAAAAATAACTCAGAAATGTGCTAAATTGAGCTGTCTCTGCTACTCCACTTTAACATCAAACTTGGATTATAATTTAAATTATAAATCTCATCACTTGGAGAAGTCCCTTTAAAATTTAATAAACCTGATTGCATAGAGAACTTTTGCAGTGGGACAAAGGCCAATTTACCAGTCTAAACCTGGCAGAATGACTGCTTGCATTATGCTGATCCCACTTGCTGCGGTTGTTATGTGATCAACAATTTATCAAACCATATTTGTCAAAAGCTTGAGTATCTTTGACGTATCCAGCAGGATTTTGTCAGCGATCATAAGTGATATTCTTGTGATTTGAAAAGTGGTGTTATGGGATTTCTAATGTTTTCACTCAGATATGGAACATATTTCTCATTAGCATATTCTCATTAGCAACTTTGAATCAAAATTCCAAGAGATTCAGGTAGCAGTTGAGTTCTAGATCTAGGCTTCCTATCTGTATGTATTTGATCAAAATCATAGATGGAAACTCTGAAAAAAGTACAAGTCAATTCTAACTGTTAGTGATCTATCAAGAGAAAACTTAATTCTGTGCTAATATTACTTAAATCATGACGGTTTCTTTCCTATAAATACAGAAGTTAAAACATTCTGGTTTGACCTACTTGGGACAATTTTTCACGCAAAAATATTATTTCATTAAACAACAAGAACAGCAACAAAAGCAAACCAAAAAAAAAAATAAAACCAGCATAGGGACCAAACTCTCTTCCATCACTTCGTCCCTCACACATGTTCAAAATATTCCTGTGTGTTGAGCAGAAATAGTGAACTGGATTCTTTGGGCCACCACATCTGTCATGCATCTCAAAGCCTTAAACAAGAGATGGATGGAGCCCCAGTCCTCATGAAAGGATAAATGAAGCTGCAGTTAAACCAAAGGACATGGGAGTAGGTTATGCACAGGCTGCTGTTGGTGGGTGAGACTCTCCAAAACTCCCTGATAAATGAATGCGAGTGTGGAAAGAAGCCAGCCAGAAATAGCTGGGGAAGAGATTCTTCCTGTATTGGGAAGTCTTGGAGATGGCTGGAGTCTCAAAGCTCTGTCCTGCATGAGCCAGTTCTCTCACACAGAACAAGGAACAGGTCAGAGAAAGGAGAAGGTGTATTATTGGTAAAGACAGTGGAGGATGGTTCTGCTCTGTTACCTCCCCCCTGAGGTCTTTGCTCAGAGAATTCTTAAGTGCTGGGCAGGAGAAGGTAAGAGCACAAGTTTTCTCCTCATGTTTACCAAGGCTGTTTGGTCATTGAAAACCAAATCTTAAGTACCTAACAAGTAAAGATTTCCTGGTCTTTGGTTTCAGAATTGGTATTCTAGAAACAGATCTATCAAGACTTTTGCTATTTCATGGTTACTACTAAAGGTTATATTTTCATCTGTTATAGTTTAACCTAGAGTGCTTCAGGACATTTTCAAGTGAAAGTTTAACCACAGATCACTTACATGGCAGGGAAACATATATATTGCTGAAGCAGACTGTAATTCTCAAGGAAATAATCAAAAATGGCTGTTCCATTTGCATAATGTCAGGCAATTATCATAAAGTAGTATAAGTCTGTTTCAGTCAGTTATGTTGCCATGAAATACATCTGCTGAGGAACTGGCCTTCCATTTCATTTTCATTCATAACCCAGTTCAAAGGACAGAAAATGGCATTCTTTCCATTTACTTGGACTGGATTTAGAGCAAGCCTTTGAATAGCTGCTGAGATCTACCAGGAAGGCTAAGAGTGACTGAATTTCAGTGCCTGTCCTCTGTGTATATCCCAAAACTCTACCTTTAAAATGCTGGAAATGAACAAATTTTAATTGTAAAATCCTTTAGAATCTTAGAGGAGAGCAGCAGTAAAAATGTAAAGCGTACTATTCCTTGGATGTTTTTAGGGGAATGCAACTGATTACTGGAAAGAGGCTGTTTTATAAAGGTTTCTTATATGCTCCCTTTTTTGATAAATCATCAGAAGTTTTGATAGAATGGACATCTTTTGTGCCATGCAGTAAACAAGGGCATAGCACAATTTCTGCTTCCAAGAGCTCTCAATCTGTAGTGATCGAGCAGGGAACAGTGATATCAAGGATAAAGAGGTAAAGGGCAAGTTGCACAACAAATGTATGGCTCAATGGAGACATTACTGGGGTCTTGACATGACAAAAGGGCAGGGTCTACCCAGTGCTGAGGACAGGTGAAAGCTGCTTTGATGCTGCAGACAGTGCAGAGCCGCATGCAAGAGCTTTGTGGAGGAAGTGCTGTTCCCCCCACCTGAATAACATAAATACATAACCTGTTCACATAAATCTGAGAGACACATTGGTTCTTTCCTTAAAGATTTCTCTGACTCTGAAGATGTCTACCTCTGCCTTTTCTCTGCTTTTCCAGATGTTGTCACCCCAAATGGCTTGAACATTAAGAAATTTTCAGCAATGCATGAGTTTCAGAATTTGCATTCCATGTACAAGGCTAGGATCCAAGAGTTCATTCGAGGTCATTTCTATGGGTATGCTTTTACTTTTCAAACATTAGCAATGCTTGTCCAACACTATTTAAAGCAAGAACCAAAGCAGGAGGACTAACAAGTACTTCATAGAGGAGTGTAAATGTTGAAACCAGCTTATTCAAATGGCTGTCTGGGATTTCTCAGTCAGAAGCTAAGGGAATTTTAGACACCAGATCTGACTCTACTTAACAGATTGTGATTTCATACAGCAGATCTTGATCTGTTTGTTATTTACCCAAGATAAAGTTAGTCAGATTAAGATAGTCAATTTAAAGCACAGCAGAAAAGCCTCACTTCCGTTTTTCTCTGGGGATAATAAGTTCCTCCAGAATAGAAAGCTGTCGTGTGTTTTATTTGATTGTATCTCGAGAAATACTTTGTTCTTGTCTGTTTTTTTGCTTTCAGCCACCTTGACTTCGATCTTGACAAGACCTTGTTTTTCTTCATTGCTGGGAGATATGAGTTTTCCAACAAAGGAGCTGATATGTTTCTAGAAGCCTTATCAAGATTAAACTTTTTGCTGAGGGTAAGAAAGCTTACACAGCTGTTGAAAGCATAGAGCTTATGCTCAAACTCACCATCCTGTGGAAGTCACCTACAAGAATTCCCTTTCAATACTCAGGTTTATAGGGAAGTAATTATGGAATATTCACAGTTTTCATAGGGCTCTCCTCCTGAACCGTCAGAATATATGGTGATTTCACACAGTTTTAATTGATAGATTGGTTGTATAATTGAAAATAATTGATTACATAGTTCAAGAAATTAATCCATGGTTGCCTCCCTGGTTTTTAGAGAGAAGTAATGAAAATAGTATTCTAGAGTTTACCCTGATGACTTACATATTATAATGGAAATAAAAGTAAGCCTTTAAAGCTGCATTTTAAAAACATCCTTTTAAGCAAGTTCCTTAATTTGTTAGAACCTGTTTATGATCTTTTAAATCTCTGCTACCCCACTGGATGGGAATTGTTGCATTAAAATTCACAGAGTGACAGTGGTGTGGTGCAAAGCAATGGGAAGCCGTTCAGGTCTCTATGGTTCTGTTTCCTCAGCTACAAAATTGGTGCAATGTTTCTAAATGTCTTTATGGAGTACTTCAATGAAGATAAGAGCAAGGCCTTGTTAAAAATCACAGAGCAGAGCACTTACTACCTACAATTGAAAATGTCTCCATTGTGTCCCAAAGACTAATAATTGAAAAGAAAACCCAGAAAAAATGCTAATAATGCTAATTGGTTTTCAGTCATTTGGCAAGAATCATTTAGCTGTTGTCCTAGACTCTGTCCTTTGTACTCTTAACAGTTGAATAGTATGGAAAATCTGGATAAAAGTTATGGTACTGCTCTGTCAGCAGGGATGAAAGAATCACTGATGTTCAAAGCCCTAAGTACAATTGTTCTACCACCACCTTCTATTATTATGGCATTTAGTGCCTCTGGATTTTCTAGAAATTCTTAATCCCTTCATTCACACAGATCACCTCACAGAACTGAAGTATTTCTTCCACAACAGAAATCAGCTGTTTGGCTGTGCTGTGCAACATCAGCTACCTGTTAATGGCATTTTCATGGCTGTCACCTGTGAATGCTGGTGACGTGGTAACGTGGAAGGTCTTGTGCGATAAGAGGGAAAGAATTGCCTGAGCAGTTATTGCAGCAATCTCTTACTGCAGCTAATGATTTATATCATAGAATCATAAAATCTTTAGGGCTTCAAAAGACTTCCAAGATCATTGAGTCCAACCTTTGGCCAATCACCCATTTGTCAATTAGACCATGGCACTAAGAGCCATGTCCAGTTGTTTACTGAGCACTTCCATGGAGGGTGAATTCCACCACCTCGCTGGGCAGCCCCTTCCACTGCCTGATCACCCTTTCTGTGAAGTTCTTCCTCATGACATCCATGGTAAACAAGGCTGACAGAAATTAAAGGAAACAGGCCAGTTTTCCCAGGCTCTACAGAGCAGTGTACTGTTGTTTCTCCCAGAAACTGAGCCTGGATTTATTCCATTATTCTTCCAGTGTGGATGCCAACATCTGATTGGCTGTTCTAACAACACTTGCTCTGTAATTAATTCAAGAGGTAGTTCCATTGGGAATAGTAGACTACCTGTACTAATTACAAGTCTGGAAATGGTGGTACTTCCTAAACATGTCCCAGTATTGTGCCTGAACCTAAAAAGTACATACCATTGCATGAAATTGTTTTATTTTACAAAGACATCTTCCTCTGCTGCTTGAAAACTTTACTAAAATTTTGCAAATAAAATATGGATGTTGGGAGAGATTGTTAATGCACACTAGGATTGTAGCACGATGGACTTGGAACCCACTTTGAAGAGAGGGAAGGGAAGAACATTAATTAACATAAACATGATAGATGACTCCCATAGGTTTTTTTATACTATACATTTCCCTCTGTGTCAGTCTGAGAGAAGGCACACTATTGAATGGTTTTGTATCTAAAATTTGAAATGGAGGCAATTCAAAGTAATTTAATTTTTACAGCTCTGAACAGAGTTCACCCTTAGCTTTTCATTAAACAGTTGCTGAGAGGAGTAAAACCTCATTCATGCAGCAATGAATGAACCTGGTATTTTGAACCTTTTCCATGCACAGGAGAAACTAGCAAGTGAAACCACCTAGAAATAAAGGGTCAGAATTCACAGCAAGTGCTTTCTGCCTTTGAAATAGCTGGATGGGAGAGATGGCCAAGAAGTTACTTGTGGCTTTTTGCATGTCTGGTAGCTTCTTTGCCAGAGTTTCAGGTTGAAAATTGTTCTTTCTCTGCTGTAGGAATTCCCTCATATCATGCCTAGGCATACCTCAGATAGTAAACTAAACACTCACTCCTTTGAGCCATCACAGTGTGTGTCAGGTGAGAAAGTGTGTAGACTTTTATTTTTCTGCAGTTTATGTGCTCAGCCAAAGCCAAGTTCTCTAAACCATGAGAGCTCAGGAAGATTTGATTGCCCAAATTGAAACTGGGTGACATCTCTGTCTTGATCTCTGATTTGACAGAACTTTGTTTGTAGCAAAAGCTACAAGATCTGAGCCTTCCTGGAAAACCAAAGTGCATTTGGCGTTTCCTGTGACTAATTCTTAAAGTTGGCTGTGATACCCTGTATCAGATTTTTTATTTTAAATTGCTCTTCATTTCTTGTCATGTAGGTTCACAAGGCTGATGTTACAGTTATCGTGTTCTTCATCATGCCAGCAAAAACCAACAATTTCAATGTGGAAACCTTGAAAGGACAAGCAGTCCGGAAGCAGCTCTGGTAATTGCCATTCCCACTCTGGTACAGTCTGATGGGGACTCATGCAAAAGTCTCAGCTGGGGAATGCTCCTTCTTTTTGCTACAACTGAGGATTGTGGGTAACTAGAATGTGTTTCAGACGTGAAAGAGATAGGAAAGATAAATAAGGTCAAATACTTCGTCTTTTAGGTCTGTTGTTTTTTTTTTTTTTTTTTTGTCCACAGTTATTTTTAGTTAACTTGTGTTGTCATTCTATTAGCAAGTAGTACTTGTAGCAACAAAGACAAATGCTCTAGAAAATCCAGTGTTCTGAATGTTTTCTGGATGTTTCTGGTACTCCCTTTGGATGTGTCACAGAGCTCCCACAAAATAAAGACTGCCTGCTCATTTTTCACAGTGAGCTTCTCTCACTGTGAGGAGTGAATAAATAAAGACTGCCTGCTCGTTTTTAACAGTGAGCTTCTCTGTGGGAAAAAGAAATTAATTACACATCTTCTTTTATTTATAAATATGGAAATTGCACTGTGTGATCCAGCAGATTAGCAGTTAATAATTGTCTATAATTTTCTATATGGACTACAACAAGCAGTGACCATAACCAAGTAATGAAACTTACAGCTATAAAAGGAAAATTGTCACAGTCCTACTTATTTTGCAACTTTTCAAAAAAAAAAAAAAAAGCAAAGCAGGAGCAGGATTAACCTTCACCTCACTTTAACTGCTTTGTGATTCTGTATCGGAAAAAACTGCTTTCAGCTGTTCTTCTCTGTGAAAAGCAGAAGACCCTCTGCATCACTGTATGCAGCATTATCATGGTCATAATCATAATCAGGATAAACCCACCTGCTAGCAGTATTTCATAATAATATCAAATTATTCTCAGGATGCCACAGAAATTAAAGACAAGAAGAGGTTGGCACTTATACAGGAATACAGCATTTAGAAATTAATATGTGAAGGCTGACTTGGGGTATAAAATCCTTCTTTTCCTCTGCTTGCTTCCGGAAAAGCAGTCTATCCCATCTGGGTTAAATTTTAGATATTTTGCATGGCAATCTATAAAAGTATAGTCATGTGGGAATGATCCTGCTGGGGTTTGGATCAGTGTGGCTTAACATTTGGCTGCTTCACAACTCACCCAAAATTGACTTATCCACTCTTGTGTCTATGTGAGCTGGGAAAGAGCACCTAAAAACAGGTATGTGGATTCCTAGCTTGGTAAAGTTTAAGATTTCACTTAACAAGTTTCGTTTTTGCCTAAAGTATAATTAGAAATCAGAAAGGCAGAAAAGGTTCTGTGAAGTGGAACCTTCACTCTCAGTAGATTCACTCAAACTTAGAGTGCACTTGCTGTTTTGACAACAGAACTTTTTGCCACAGGCAGAATGATAAAAATTACTCTTTGCATGCAGAACAGGGAGTTCTTTCTTAGCTAAAATATAACATCTGTCTGACATAGGCCTCATTATTGGCTTAAAACTTGGCCTGCGCTTTTCAGGAAGTTTTTTTTGTTTTGCAAACTAAGATAACTACCTTTAAGTCTAACACTTGTTTCCAAAAGTCTGTGAGTTGGGAAATAGGGCAGAAAGTGAAGGGGGAAGCTTGCTTTGAAAACCGCTATTTGTTTAATTCTTATATCTTGCATCTCTCTTCCAGGTCAAGAGAAGCTGGAGCTCTCTCTGTCCTTTATTAATGATCATGTTGCAGTACTTAGGGTCATATATATGCTCTTTTTTTTCACAGCTGGCATGTGGTCTACTGATCAGAGAAGAGAGCTAGAAGGAATCCCTAGTAAAGCCTGCCCCTGGCTTTCCCAGTGCACTCATCTGTAGGTGCAGGTTAAATCCTCAGCTCTGCTGGAATCCTTCAGCACAACTGCTGGCTGGATGAAAGAGCTTAGAGAACCAGACCTCTGTCTGCTTCTGCATCCCGGGTTCCATCAGTCTATCAGTTTAATTTCCAGCAGCAGGAATCTCTTCTATACTGTCTTTGTCCTGGATTCTCCTGTTTTATATGTATATTTATTTATCTTCCTAGGGACACTGCACAGTCTGTGAAAGAAAAGTTTGGAAGGAAACTCTACAATGCCTTGCTGAAGTGAGTGAATAAGTTGCTTTGCTCTGCCTTGCAGAGCCTCATGTTCAGGTGGCCTTACTTGTGCTGTTTCTGTGCTTTTGCTCTTCATGTAAGGGATTTTGACATCCATAGGAGGGCATGGTAGGAAGATATGGGACCATAAACAGGATACTTGTTTAACAGGCAAATCACAGAGAAAAAAAATAAAGGTTCCAACACCTTGTAGTGGAAAGACTCTTAAGAGACACGGGGTTGTCTAAGTAACACAAAGGCTTATTCACTGTCAAAAACTGGCTACTTCAGCTTAAAAAATCACCAGAGACAAAGTATAATGTGTTAGTGATTCAGTCATATAGTTTCAGAAGACAGTTGGAAGTGAATGACCCAAAGCACAGGTGAGATGACTGTAACTTCAGTAAAAACAAGCTGTGTCCAAAAAACAGAAGAAAGCAATTCTTTAGCTTTTTTTTCAAAAGCTGATTAGGAGATCAGCAAGTATATGGGAGAACACAACATAGGGAATATAGAAGGGCCATGAAAACAAAGGAAAGGTTTATGTTGATATCAGCAAACTTCAGATCAGACCTTGTTGGCCATTTAATTTTCTTTACAAAAAGGAATCATTTGGTAAATGAATCATTTGGTAAATGAATCATTTGGTAAAATTGGTTGCACATTTCCTTTGCAGAGGAGAAATCCCAGACCTGAACAAGATTCTTGACCGAGATGACATAAGCATTATGAAAAGAGCCATCTTTTCAACTCAGGTCAGAAAATATGTTATTTGTGTAAATATCTAATCAAAATAATGAATGTGATGATGTAAAAGGATTGAGTATGGCATATAGCAATATGTGTGCATTGGGAAGAAGTTTTCAGCAAATACACTTCTCATCAGTAACATCTAAAATCAGCTCTTATTGTTTTCAATGAGAGTATGAGCCAAATGGACCTTTAGGGGAGTCCGTGGATATTGCTTCAGTCACGTGCATTCCTAATTCTTTTATTTTGAGCCGAGTGTGAACTTTGAGTTGTTCCTGAGCCTGGGTTTTTCCAGTTTTATTAAATATGTGAAATCAAATGCTAAGGAGATACAGCATTGACTAACAATCTTCAAAATTAAATGGTGGACCCTTCTTTAAGTTAGTACAAATTAATTTATTTTGCGGTAAATTAAGCTTATTTACATCAATGACAAAATCTGCCGCTGTCTTCCAGTAGCCTTAGGAAATGGCAACAGGACTGTTTGCCAAGAGTTTGTCTGATTTATGGATTGCCTTTTCTGTGCTCAGAGACACTCTCTGCCTCCAGTGACCACCCACAACATGATTGATGACAGCAATGACCCAATCCTCAACACCATCCGGCGCATTGGGCTGTTCAACAACCGCACAGACCGTGTGAAGGTGCGTTCTGGCTGCCTCATTTGAGACCCAAAATGGGATTTCTCTGAACATTCTCAGTCTGCATCACTAGCATGGGGAGTGCAGTTAAATTCTTGATAGGCGGTATTATACTGCTAGAGTACTTCTCTCCTCCTCCCTTTCCAGGAATAACAAGTTGTCACTGCACAGAGATCCTCAGGTGCTGTTCAGCCAAGCTAATTTCCAGTTAGAAATCTGAGGTTAGAGAGCTGTTTCCATTGCTGCCTCCTGCACTGAATGAGTAGCTGCTAACTGCTGAAATCAAGAAAGTGCCATGAATCATTTGCACCCAGATAGAAAACTCTGACATGGAGTCACTTGCTTAAAACTGGAGGTCCAAAGTTTGAGCACAGACATTCCTGGAGTATTGATTCATCTCTTAAGAGCAACACCCTGATAGTAGCATTTTCTGTAAAAGATTAACCAGGGCTTTGAGCAGAAAAAATTCCTGTTCATGCCATGCTCATGTTTACATCACCTGTTGAAACTAAATTAGTGCAAATAAATCTTTTCCTTGTTTCCATGTTTAGTTTGTCAAATCACAGAAATTATCAGCTTCTGCTTTCACAGGTCTGCCAAAGTTGTTTTTTTCCTGGCAATCTCTGATATTCTAACTATGACTATCTCAACATCTATCTAGTCAAAGTTGAACCTAAAATTGCAAATTCTCCCTCTTCCAAACCTTTTCTTTAAGGCCAGATCCAAAGTACCTCTAGCAATGACATATCAGTTATTCTCAGTTTCTTTTTAAACCCATGGCTATACCTAAGTAAATATTTTCTTATACTTCCTAGTTGCTTCTTCCTGGCTTAACATATAAGCATTAACTCCAATAAATTCTGGGATCATCATATGGTAATAATACACAAGATGTAACAAAAGTAGGGGGAAGGATGCACTGTGTATAGATGTAGTAAAAAATGCCTCAGAATCAACTGCTTGAAGGCATTACAGAGCAGATAGGATATAACACAGCAGACATGATGATCTGCTTCTCAGCAGGTGTCAAGTTTGTAGAAATCTGTCATTACCACTGAAAAATTACCTCCTGCATGAAGAGGCTTAATACTTAATATGCTGAATACCATTTAAAAAAACTTCTGTAAACTTCAAATTGAAAGTAATTTTGAGAGAGGTACAACATATTCAGGCAGATACAGCTGGCATGTGAAAAATACCTTCAGCAATTCCAGTGAAATCACTGGGATCAACTAAGCTTGCAAAATGAGCTTACAGCCCATTTACTGATTGAGTACATTCATTTGTTTACTCAAGTGAGTAGCATGACAATTTTATTAAGAAGGGATAAAAGCACATCCTGAGCATGGAATAATGGCTGTGGTATGTTCATGCAGGGAGATAAACCCAGAGCAGTTTAAACCATTCCCTCACGTTTCAACCTCCCGAAGCTGACTGGGCACCACATACAAGGCACTTCTCAACTTCTCTGCTGCTTCTAAGCAGCAGATGTGGGGCAGTAACCCCAAGCCTTGCAGAGTCATGCAGATAAATTAACTTTGGTCCTTAGAGGTGTCTTTCAGCAAGATTAATTAGGCACAGGTTTGTGGTGACAGGGCTGTAATGTGTCTGCTTTCAAAATTCCATCCATTCTTGGGAGATCTGTTGAGTACAGTGAACATTCCTTTATCTCAGGGAGTGCTGTGAAGTTCAGAAGTGCTGTGTCTGTCTGAGGCCTCCTCCTAAAGAGACATCCCAATAAAATCATAGAATCATTTGTGTTGGAAGGGCCTTAGAGATAATTTCATTCCATCCCCCTGTCATGGGCAAGGACATCTTCCACTAGCCCACGTTGCTCACAGCCCCATCCAGCCTGGCCTGGAACACTTCCAGGGATCCAGGGGCAGCCACAGCTTCTCTGGACAACCTGTACCAGGGCCTCAGCACAGTCACAGGGGAGAATTTCTTCCTGATATCCAATCTTAACCTGCTCTCTGTCAGTGTGAAGCCATTCCTCCTTGTCCTGTCACTGTCCAGGCCTTTGTAAATCCTCCATACCTTTGTACAAGAGACCAAATCTTGCTAAATGCCACAGCCTTAGGCCTAATTCTCAATGCATGTGGGCCTCCTTGGTGAAGAAAGATAAAGCCAAATACCTGTCCAGTGAAAAGGGGGTTCATCGTCAGTCCCATTTCCAGGACAAGAGTGCACATAGGCAGGATGTGTTGTAGTATGGGCAGTGGGGTAGATAACAGATGGATGGCCAAAGGAGGTGTTGTCCAGATACTTAGAAAAAGACCAGGGTGAATAAAGGTGCCTAAGCTTATTGATAATGGAAATATATCAGTGATGGTTTTCTTTCACCTCTAACATAAGTTTTGAATATCCAGGTGATCCTACATCCAGAGTTTCTTTCTTCAACAAGCCCCTTGCTGCCCTTGGACTATGAGGAGTTTGTTAGAGGCTGCCACCTTGGTGTATTCCCATCATACTATGAACCCTGGGGCTACACTCCAGGTAGGAGTTTTGTACCCTTAACTAGCGTAGAAAGATGAACACCCATTCTGTTGATGCAGCCAGTTCCTTCCGAAGTGCTGCAAAAACTCTTTAAACTCTGTTTCTTCTGCCATGCAAAGGTCTTACTGCTGGCAAAACTGTCCCTGCAGTTTACTCTTTCCCATACTAATATGTAATCTTTTGATTTTTTATGGCTTTAGAACAAGAAATAATTTTAAAAACTTAATTCTTGGTTGAAGGATTTTTTAAAAAGGTGTGCAGGAATGTGAATATTAAAAAAAGCAAGGCAAGAAATCTGATGCTGCCAGCTGACATAGTTCAGTGGATTTAATTCAAGATAACAAGTTTGAGAGAATTACGTAATACCATAGCTATTATTTAACAGAAATACATGCAGTGGTAGTGAATCTCATTGAATTAACTGGAAATTTCTAAAAACGCAGAGAGCATATGGATTATGACTTAAAATATTCTCTTTGTCAATACTCATTTGTGTCTCCCAGAAACAAAGACTACTTTTTAAAGGTATATTTATAACTATTTTACAGACACCAGTTTTATTGTCATCTGAGTGAAAGCCATGTAGAAGTCTCTGTGCTTTTGTAAGACTAGAGTCTGCATGCTGGTGTAGGTTAGGCTTAGGCTCCTTGGCAAAAACGTTTTTAGGAGGGTAAGCAATTATCCTTACTCATGGATGTGACAGAAAAAACTACAAAACATCCATACATTTTCTGATTTTATAAAACTAGCTCCACATCCACTGTGAATGAAGTCCTGAGTTAATCATGGGGTTTGGTGTTTTGGGGTGGGATTTTTATTTTGGAGGGGTTTTTTTCCTGCTACAGAGACCTGTTGGCAAACTATCGAAATCCAAAGTTTGATATGCTCCTGCCCCAAAGAGATTCAGTTTTGTAAAGAGTTGTGAACAACTAATGAACATAGGTGTACATTAGGCTCCAGTTTAAAATCCACATAGTCCTGACCATGTATTGGAGTTCTCTGTTTCGAAACTGCACTCCCAGAAGGTTTTCAGTTTAGCTGCTCTGAAACACAAACATATGTTTGCAAACACAGGGTGAATTTTGTTTTAAAATTTCTTTTTATATTTTTTCCAATAATCCACAACAAAACATTATTATAGTTTTCACTTGACATTTTCAGAGCAGCTTTATTGTTATGGGACTTTCTGTCTGCCTGTTCTGGTTTTTTTTCCCCTCATAAAGGTGAAACCATTGCAGGTGTATTGTCCTGAAACCCTTTTTGCCTGTTTGTTTCTGCAGCTGAGTGTACTGTGATGGGCATTCCCAGTGTAACCACAAACCTCTCTGGATTTGGCTGTTTCATGCAGGAACATGTTGCTGACCCAGAAGCTTACGGTAAGAACTTTAACAGTATATCAAAATATCACCTCTGAGTTAGGAAAGCAAAAAGCACAGCAACCATGCTGTTATCCCTCAAATTTGTGTTTCTCTAGGACAAGGAAATGCATTAGGGGAATATATTCAGAGCTCTGAATATCTTGTTAAGTTGAACAAGTGATTTCAGCTTTCATATTTATCCAAACCCTTTACGGGTTATTTTTTTTTGGTCTCCCTTTAACCTTTTGTTTTCCATATTCTTCCAAATTCATCACAGCTCATATCAGTCTGGAGTCTCCCAACATTTCCCTTTAGTGCCTCTGGTGATAATGCTCTAAGCCTTCCAAAGAAGCTGGGAAAGTCTGCTCCTCTTAATAGTATGGGATTTGAGACCAGTGACATGACCCTCCCCAAACAAACGTTAAATTACCATGTGCACTTCAAAAAAAAAAAAATCCATGGAAATACAAGGAACCTACTTCAAATACTGATCTGCTCAGTTTCATTACTGGAGTGCCAATGCCTGGTATGTCAGGATGATTCTGCCTCTTGAGTCATCCTCTGCCTCAATAGCTCCTCCTTTTAGGGTTGATCGTCCCTGTTTTCCAACTGGTGCAGTTGTCACTAAAGCTGTGGCCTCCCCGAGGTACAGAGCAAGGCACAGCCCTCCCTGTCCTTTCCTCCTTGCTTAGCCAGGGCTGACTGGATGCCCCATCTCTGGAAATGTCCAAGGTCAGGCTGGATATAGCTCTGAGCAACCTGGGATAGTGGCAGGTGTCCCTGCCACGGCAGGGATTGGAACTTGATGATCTTTAAGGTCCCTTCCCGCCTGAACCATTCTATAATTCTGTGGTTCTGTGAATATTGAGTCTATTCCCAAACTAGGGCCTCTTTCCAAGTACCTGGGCTTCTTTCCACAATCAGGCAGTGACAGCCCCACACTGATGCTACCTTTGCCTGACCTGGAGGCAAGGGTTAGAGCCAGGTACAAAATCTAGATACACCTGCCTGGGTGAACATGTCTTTGAGACCCTTCAGAGAGACCACAGAACCCAGGTCACTTGCTCTTCTCTGCCAAAACATAGGTGTGAGTTGTATAAATTACTGTGCTGGTCCCAAGCACTTCATTAAGGTAGTTTTGCATCTCTCATGTCCATTAAGAGAGCTGCAAGGTCTGGCCCCCTCTTGTTCCCAACACTCTGGTTTTAGGAGGGTGGCAAAAATAAAGTATTAATCTCAACAATGTAGAGGCAAAGTTTACCTCTGCCCTCTCTCTGCCAGAATTGTCTGTTGAATGATGTATGTGAGTTAGCTGTCTCTATGGAAACACTTGTATTTCTACAGAAAACACAGCCTCTCTCCTACAGCCTGATTCTGGCCATCCACACTTGTGAATTCTACAGCAAGCTAGGAAAGCACTAGATTGATTATGTTTTCTTTAAAAAGTCAGTATTTTTAAAATTATGGGAAATAAAAATTATATATCTTTATCCAGAAACTCAAACCTTTTTGGACATACTTACACATCATCAACAAACCCTCTGAGTTTTGAAGAATTTGCTGAATTTCAGCCTGAAAAGTAGAAAAAACTAAAGTTTAAAAACAAATAACATATTTCTCTGCATCTCTCCATTTCATCAGAATGGTAACAAATGTTCCAGTTGTAGCTGTCTTGAACATTAAAAAGAGTATACTGCATGTAAATTTGTTACCTGACAGAAGGTAGATTGGAGGTGTAGGAGGTCAGATCCTATCTTCAGTCCCACTCACCTCGGCCTCCCTCGTGTCCCTCAGGGATCTACATCGTGGACAGGAGGTTCCGCTCGCCGGACGAGTCGTGCAACCAGCTGACCCAGTTCCTGTACGGGTTCTGCCAGCAGAACCGGCGCCAGAGGATCATCCAGAGGAACCGCACCGAGCGCCTCTCCGACCTCCTGGACTGGAAGTACCTGGGCAGGGTGTGTGAGAAAGAGGCATTAAAAATTCCAGGCTCATAGACCTGGCCAGAGCCTTCAGCATGGTGCTGCTGTGTGAGGACACAGCCCCGTGCTGAAATTCCCTTCTCCAGGGGGATAAAGGCAGAGCCTGCACATTTCAGTGTAATCCTTCCGTGCTCCAGTGGCAAGGAGAGACTGAACAGGTTAGAGCAGAATCCAGTCACAACCACCGAGCTCTTGCTGGTGCTAAACGCAATGTAAAAATCTGGTGGTGTTGGCAACACCTACACTAAGGAGGATTTGTGTTCCTAAGTCATCTGGACATTTTCAAAAATCCTTCCCATCCTCCATAAAATGTTGCTGGGCTCTATGGCTCCTCAACACTCCATAACTACCTCTGTACTTTAAATGCAAAGTAGTGTTCTTAATTTGACACAGGGCACTACAGTACCACATATTCAGAAGACAGTAGTGAAGTATTATTCTCAATTTTGCAGGACTAAAGAAGTGGATGCACATATATGAGTTTTGTAACTATTTTGGACCTTTTCCTACTCTGATACCTGTGTGTGAACCTTAGTATTTATATGGTTCCCAACACTGCATAAGATATAACGAGCTATTTTTTCTGTGCATGTGCTGCAAACTCAGGAATACAGTGGATCTAAAAATATTTTTGTCAAATTCTTAAATACCAGGCATCAGTGAACTCATAAATGTTACTTCTCTGTCACTGTTACACATGCTTCAGTGCAGTCCAAAGTGACTTTAAATGAGCCTAAAACTTATGTGTAATACATATGCACACTTAAAAAATGTAAATTTTCCTTGTTAAAAAAAAAAACCAATTCCTTCCTGAGGGATGAAGAATACCTGTCACTCAATAGGAACTACACTGACCAAGACAAGTCCTAGTTTCCATTTTAATACATCTTACAGACCTTATTCAGTTTCTGCTCCAGACTTCTTTGGTGTGAATCTATCATGAATGGCTCATCACTTCACAGTACAAGCAGTGATATCAGCTGGATTCTGCTTATCTGAAAACACATTTAGCCTTTGTTCAGCACCATCTTTTAGAAGATAACTCATTTTATGTTCCTTTCCCTCCTTGCTTAAATCTACCCAAAATTTCTATGACTTGTAATGGCTTCTCTGTTTTATTGCAGTATTACATGCATGCCAGACACTTGGCCCTCAGCAGAACATTCCCAGATAAATTTGAGATGGAACCAAGTGCTCCACCAAAGGTAAAGTCTGCTTTTGGAAATAAGTTCATTTTGTCTGCTTTACAAGGAGACAGGAAGAGTGTGAGGGAGAAGAGAGTTAACAAGTTTGGGTTTAAATAAAGAGAATTAGGAACTCCTAGTTAAAAGTTTAGCAAGTTATAGACCCAGTCTCCAGTCAGGAGTATGCTGTTTTGGGCTGGGACAGAGTCAATTTTTCTCCCAGTAGCTGGGCTGTGTTTTGGATTTGTGCTGAAAGCAGTGCTGATAGCACAAGGATGGTTTAGTTCTTGCTGAGCAGGGTTTGAACAGAGCCAAGAACATTTCTGCTCCTCACCCACCCTGTCAGTGAGGGGCGGGGGGTGCACAGGAAGTTGGGAGGGGACACAGCCAGGACAGCTGACCCCAACTGACCAAAGGGACACTCCAGACCTTATGGCATCATGCTCAGTATATAAAGCTGGGGGAAGAAGGAGGAAAGGGGGATGTTCAGAGTGCTGCCATTTGTCTTTTCAAATCACTGCTACCTGTGATGGGGCCCTGCTCTTCTGGGGATGGCTGAACACCTCCTTGCCCATGGGAGGCGGGGAATGAATTCCTGGATTTGCTTTGCTTGTGTGCACAGCTTTTGCTTTCCCTACTAAACTTTCTTAATGTAACTCATGAGCTTTCCCACTTTCCCCCTTTTGATTCCCTCCTTGGCCTCTCCAGGAGGGAGTGAGCTGAGGCCGTGTGGGGCTGAGAAGCTGACCGGGGTTAAACCACAGCCTACTGGTATCAGATCCAAACACAGGGGTTACCAGGTGGGACACAGGAACAGGTCTTCAGATGATTTAGACTGAGCTGGATAGGGCCATGACACTTTGCACCAGCTGAGGAACTGGCCCTTGAAATTCCTCTTGGAAGAGTGGCTGCTTCTCCTTTTTGCTTCTGCTAAATGCCATGGAGATGTTCTGCACCAACCAAATAGAGGGGAGTTGGGAAAGGATGTTCTAGGGAAAGCAAGGCAAGGTATTGCCTTCTTCTGAACATGGTATGTTGGCTGGAGCTGCAAGGGGTCACTTTAAAGGCACACCTTCAAACAGTTCTTGCCTGGTCCAGATTAGCACGAATTTAGGAAGAGAGGCTGCTCAGAACAATGTTACTTGGAACCAAACCTCAAAGAGCAGCTCTTTTTTTTAGTAAGGAGAGAGGAGGTTCAGACCAAAACCCTTTGCTGGTTTTGCAGATGCTGACATTATAACTAGAAAACTGTTTTGAATGTTCAGATTGAAACCTGAATTTCAGTAAGCATATTCTGACTACAGAGTACAGAAGGATTTTGTCCTGTGCTGATTGTTTTAAGACTCAGTAAAGGTAGCCATGTTTTGCAAAAAGTAATGCTGGAAGGGCAGGATGTTGTTTATGGCACAGGGTAAACATCTCTGTCATACAAGTGTGTATTTACTGGCAGAGGAGGACTGAGGAGGATCTGGGTTGAGAGAAGCTTAATTTTAGATTGCAGGGCAGGTCTAGCTTACATATGACTTCCACTGGCTTCCTCTGAAGTGATGATAGCCTTAAATTGCTGTATAAAACCAATTGAGGAGCTCAGCTGACACATTCACCTTGCTTCTGTCCCTGCCAGACGGAAGGTTTCAGGTTCCCCAGGCCTTCATCGGTGCCGCCATCGCCCTCTGTCTCCCAGCATTCCAGCCCGCACCACAGTGAAGCTGAGGATGAAGATGAGGATGAGAGATACGATGAGGATGAGGAAGCTGAAAGGGATAGGCAGAACATCAAGTCCCCCTTTTCCCTTGGAGCCTTGCCACAAGGAAAGAAGAAGCAGCATGGAGAATACAGGAACTGAACTGGTTGCTCTCCCCATCCACTCAAGCGTTTCTCCTGTAGGCTTGGCAAGCTTTGTGTTAAGGACAGTGGGATGTAATTAGGGGAACCTTAAATGTTACTTGAGCTACACTTTTGGAAAGCATAATATTATTTCACCTTGAAAGTAGTTTAAATTACAATTTTTCTGTGCCCTTTTGAGGTAGAAGCGATTTTTCAGGCTTAATAAAACTAGAGGATGAGACAATCCCCTCAGGAGCTTATACAAACTGCAGATCATACCTTTGTCTGTGGAATCAACTGTATTAATCATAGTCTAGACAAATAGCTACGTTTTGGGTATCCCAAAGGAATTTCTGCTTCATTCATGTTTCCCCTTTTCCCCTCCTAAACTAACATGAACTTTAAACCAGAGCTCAAAAAAAATAGAGGAAAAAAAAGTGTTACACTGGAGAAATATTGGAAGAGTTTAAAAAGATACCCTGAAAAGAAAATGGTCTTTCTTTTTCCTGATGCTGTTTATTGTAAGCTTACATAACATTTTTTTACAGCAAACAGAAGTGTCCTAATCCAGTGGTAAAACATACTTCCTGTGGAACAATATAAAGTCTTATGCAGTGGGCATTTGAATTTTAGAGACAAATGAAGTCATCTTTCTGACATCATTTAGACCCACAATAAACAGCAGACCATTTATTTTCTGATTCCTCTGGTATGTCTCTTTTATTTTCATCTTGTTGTAGATTCTAAGTTTGTTAACAAACTGGTTTGGGAGGAAATTAATGTAACTTGGCTAAAGGGAATGACAGCATTTCCCTGAGTGGCACCTTCCCCTGAAGACAAGAAGCCACACAATGTGACAACATTCAAGGATCAGTAATTTCCATTAGTCCATGCTCTATTTCACTTCTTCCAGAAGAGACCTAATCCTGACAAATAATGCTAAAAAACTTTAAGATACAGTTTTGAAAAGCACTTGAGACTTCAAAGTTCTTGGGAGATAACTGTTCCTCACGACAAGAGCTAAACATTTCATTTCCCTTGCAGAAAACTTTTAGAAGTATTTCAGCTCCTAGAGATGCAGAGGATACCTGAAAAGGCTCTTCAGAGGTTAGAAGAGGTTAGAGATCAATCTCTTGTTTTTCAAGTTTGTGCATCAAAAATTTCTCATCCTGCTCAAGAAAAGACATTTCCAGAACTTTATTCAGCCTGTCCTTCAGCAGGTGGGACAATGTAAGCTTTGGAAGTTTTTACCTTTCCTGTCAATCCCAGGGGAGCCTAGATGCCCAGCTTTGGTTAGGCTCCTACTTTTCCACTTAACCAATGCTTGATGACATGGTTCTGACTATAGGCCACTTAGAATAAAAGTGACAATGTGCCTATTTGTATTTTTGACCTCCTAAAATCAGTTTTAAATCTGGACTTTTAATCTTGAGCTGATTTGGATACTTGAAAGAATATTCTCAGAAATCAGGTTCCAGTTTTTATGGTAAAAACTTATTTGTAATTTAAAGGACTCACTATTTCTTTAGCCATTTAAAAAGTAAGTCAACACTAAGTAATTTTTTATATAAAAGTGGGGAAAGCAAAGATACTGCAAATCTTTTCCTTCTCACAGTTTACTATGTGGAGAACTGCATTTTGTGTTTCTTCCACAAAGTGCACCTCATCAGAGTTCCCTTAGACAGTCAAAAAATGTAATGGCTGAGAGTCCCAAAGAAAGAACATATAAAGGGCATATTGATTGAAAGTTGATGTTTTCATAAATAAATTGAGAAATCTGTACTTATTGCTTATGTTTCTAAGCTCTGCTGTAGAGCAGGAAGGCTGTGTGTGTTTCAGCACACTCACATGCTTTGAGCACCCTCCTGGTGTTAGAAAGTGCTTGGATTTGAGGTAGGACCAATCTGAATTCTCAGATTCAGGTCCTGCAGTGGCCAAAGCAACCTCTGCCCCACGCCTTGGACTCGTGGACTCGTTAGCTCTGCCTTGATTCCAGGATTTACCATTAGTAACAAGGCAATTTATCTACAGCAAAACACTTCTGTATGTTGAATTTATAGCATTGGAGGAACAGCTTCTCATTCAGCCACAGCAACAGATTGCCTAAATTAAGTGCCACACATTCCCAACACCTGACAAACTTGGTAGCAGCTATCTGTTACATAAGGGATTGTCTTCCAGATGGAAATCGCTGGGGTTTCACAAACAGCTCACCAGCAAGGCAGAATGTCTATTCTGTTTCATGATATTTGTGAAGAATTGTTTAAGCTTGAGACCTTAAATCAGGAGCACACACAAAAATCAGTCAGCTGGGAATAGGGTGGGTGCAGTTTCTGTATCACTGAGACAGGCAGAGGCATATAAATTTCAGGACACTGATAAACCAAAGGATGTATAACTCCCCTACTTTTCACTTTTCTAGTGGAAGGTGTCCCAGCATTTGGAACTGGATGATCCTTTAGGTCCCTTCCAAACTAGGCCATTCTAGGATTGTGTTCTCTGACTTCATGCTACTTTTTGTCTGAGCACAGATTGATGATCCTCTAAAACATGCTGGAAAATCACTTAGATGCACCTGAGATATTCCAAATATGCTGGAAACAAAGGGCATCTAAAACAATGAAAGAATTCAGGTGGATACCACTGGTCTTGAGGTGAAGTTCATCATGAATGTTCTGTCATACAACAAACACTGCCATTGGAAGATGTATCAGTGCTTAAAAATGAACAAAACAGGACAATTTGCTTTTACCAGTTCCTCAGTAGAGTGATACAGATTATAAACAATGACTGAAAGTGCCTCTAACCCCATGAAACAAATTAATTCCTCTATTCCTTCAGCTGTGTTTCTTTGTGTTGAGGTAAAGCATCATCATAGTTAGTGTGAAAGTTAGTCAGCAGTATTATGAGAAAGATCAGGGGAATTTAGCATTAAAAGATGAAGAGCATAACTAGAAGGTTAAAAAAATAAAACAGTTGCTTGGACACAGAAATCATGTGGCTACTCTTTAATTACATCAGAACTACAGAGGGCTTTCCAGTGAGACCACAGAACTACATAAATAATACATCCTTATCAGCACAGAATGATAATTAACAGATTTATGCATAATTCCAGTTCTGCAACTCAGAAAGAAAGAACAAAAAATACAATCACAAAGCAGTCTTTAATGAGGCCTTGATAATGCAAGACCTGTCCCCAAACTGTCTTTATGTGCTGGGACTTGCTCAGTAGGATTTTTCAGAGTATTTCTGCAGGAGTGGACTGGGGCAATAAGTGCTGCTGCCTATTCTCTGTGCTGACTGATACCTGCCAAATAAAAATTTAAAAGAAAAAAAAATCACCAGTTTTGCAGTCACGGACAGCTGGAATGTTTTTATATCTCACTGAATTTATTGACCATCAGCAGCCTACAGGGCCACCAGTGAAGTAGTAATGGAATCTGTCTTTATCAGGGTCCAAAAAGCTTCACTACTTAGCTGAGTGGAGGGTGGTAAAAGGTTTCCCAATGACAATTGAAAAACTTTTTAATGAAGTTGTCTAAAAAGACAGTTTTAATTATCTTTTCAGGTGAGCTGATGCCATGTATTTTAAATTTCAGATGAGACATACAAAGTGCTGTAAAGAAAGCAGGAACTTTACAGATGCTTTCCTTATCTGAACTAGTACCTTTTAATCCCTTTGCATTCAAAATTTTGCAATGTGAAAACACCTCACCCTTGGGAACTTCAGTGAGAATGGATGAAACACTTACACAAATTATGCTTTCAGGTTCAAAGCTGTACAAATGTTAAAGACATTTAAAATAATTTCACCACTTTATTAGACTGTCTGTCAAGTAGCCAGGATGTTCACTGTTTTCTTCTTCCACTGTAAGACAAGACACAATGGGGAGAAATAAGTTGTAGATGAAGGAAAGTTCAGCCAGCCGAAGTTTTCAGCTTTCAGATGTGCCTTAGGCACAGATTCAGTGCAGTGTGACTGCTCAGCTGAGAGAGACACAGGCAGCATCTCTAAAAACAATCATGTCTTCTCTCATTTTTAAATGTGGGAATTTTTCTGTTTGCTGAAGAAGAAAATCACAAACTGTGTCCAGAGGGGTAAGTTAGCACATGGCAAAAATAATCACGCTGAAGAAAATAATAGATTTGTTCTTCATTTGTGCATTCCCTCAGTCAGGTCTAAAATCAGCTGATCTGAAAGAGCATGGCTTACCCAGGTTTGACTGGTTATTTCCTACCACAGAGATGGAAATGTTACTCCACCTAGTTTTTTTTCAAACAAGCTGCCTGTTCTGCTTATCTCTCTCAGATATTTCACCTTTTTTTCTCTGTTGCTGTCCATCTCCCCTGCTACAGCAACAACAGGCAGGAAAATACCACTAAAATTGGAAAAATCCACCTTCAGCAGAGGCTTTTGTGGGCATGCAAATGACACTTTCACTGGTTTAACTTTAGAAGTGCTCACATATTTTGTCCAAAGCACTATGCTCATTTTTTTATTCTGCCTTTTTCTCTCTCCAAAATGCCACTGATTTTTTTTGTTGGTTTTGTTGTTGTTGTTGTTGTTGTTTGTTGGGGTTTGGTTTTTGTGGTTTTTTTTTTTTTTTTTTTGTGGTGGTTTTTTTGGTTTGGTTTTTTTTGTTTTGCGTTTTGTTGTTTTTTTGTTTGGTTTGGTTTGGATTTTTGTTTTGTTTGTTTGTGTGGTGGTTTTTGTTTGTTTGTTTTTTGGTTGGTTGGTTTTTTTGTTTTTTGGTTTTTGTTCAGAGTTCTGCCAGGGCAGGGAAGAGAGGGCTGAGCACAGAGACCCAGCTCCATTTCCCAAAAAAAAAAAAAGTCTGTGGTAGCTGAAGAGGTGAGAGAGAGATTTAAGGGCAGAGGACATGGAGAGCAAAGGTTTAGGGTCTCAGCCTGGTGATGTGAAACCAACAGCTCCTCTCCTGGGGTTCTTATGGATTCTTTTAGACCTTTGCACCAAATCCAGTAGAGGAATAAAATCTTCACAAGCAAACAATATGCTATAGAAAAAGTTACCCCAGAAAAGATTTGGGGTGAAAAATTCAATTGAAAAATAGCCATTCCCTTGAATCCAAACCAGTAAAACATCCAAAGAGAAAATTAAAAGCAGAATATACCTGCTGTCATTATGTGGCTCATGTTGTAATCTGTGTAAATGTGCACTCCTATACAGGGCTTTCTGTTGAACAATATCTCAGTTCAAAACAGACCTTCTAGATTAATTTGCTAGTAACTGAAATACTGAAATACCACTTAAAAAAAACAGTCAGAGTAAGACAAAACATGCTTTTACCTTCCTGTGCTTTCTGTAAGGAAGTAAGGAACAGCACAGCAGCTTCAGAAAGGGATAAAGGATTTGTGTTATGGCTGCGTGTTTCTAGAATGAAAAAATCAGAGATGCATGGTTTGTCAGTGTCTTATGGCATTTCTTTACTTTGTTCTTTGCTTTTTTTATTATATCTATAACTAGAGAGTCAAAGACAAGAAGATAGTCTCCTTCATTCTATAGCATTGTCTGCTCAAAACCAGCCTGATAATTAACACAAGAGATTAGCAATCGTTTTAAAAGGGAGGTTATTTCAAAATCCCTTAGAAGGTAAAAAGAACATTTTCCTTTTTTGTAGGTTCCTAACTTTTTTACAACATCCTGTTCCCTCCAGAAACCTTGCCTAGTGTGGATTGATGACATCTGCTTCTGTCATTTGTCGCTTCAGCACAATTAATAGCTTGATTTGATTCTTTTTTCCAGTGCAAAAAGAAAGTCAAAAGCACTGATGAAAATCCTACTTAGCGGCCAGGTCAGTCTGGAAATTATGTAAATGAAATCACACAGGTGCACCAGAGAGGAAAGCCAGCCTTTGTCATGTGCTGGTTGGAATGAAGGGACTAAAAGAAGGGGGTTTAGTTGTTTCCTTGGCTGTGATTCCAGGAAAAGAAATCCCCTTCTATTTCCAGGGATTTCTGCCATAAGCTGGGGAGGTGGATGGGCTTCACAGCCCTGTGCTGATGGACTCACCCAGCTGCACTCTGTCATACAGGTCCTTCCTCTGGCTCTCATCTGCAATGAAGCGACGTCCCTCTACAAAAGCAGTGAGACAAGGGTGAAAACAGCCCCCAAACTTGTTGTAATTCCTACTTCATAGAGTCCCTAAAGTACTCTTTTCAATTTTGTATATGGTCAAGAGCCTTCAATCTCTTTGCTGGACTATGAAGTATTGGCTTTTAAATTGTATTTTTATTAAAAAAAAAAAAAGAAAAAAAAGGAAAAAAAAAGGAAAAAACCCATCCCAAATCCCAAACTAACAAAATAAAATCACACTGTTTCCTGTGCATCAATAAGAATGATAAAAACCTCACTAGGGAAGTAACACAATGCATCATTCAGTTGGAAGAATTTTTAAAAAATAACAAAAAGGGCCAAAATCTTCACTTTTATTAATAGAAATAATTGTATTAATGTCACTAAAACTTTCAGTTATCTTTACATTTGTTTGGAGCTTATATTTATTTTATTTTGCAGTTATATTGTTTCCCTTTTTCATTTCTCTCAGGATTATGACCTTCTTTTTCTTTTCTTCAACTTACAGGGAGCTTTTTTTCTTCCTCTCTTTATACCTGCCCTCCCTGATATCTTTTAATTTTAAATCAACAATCCAGAATACAATTTTTCATATTAATATTTCTGTTATATTTGATGATTTGGATCAAAGGACAACATCTCCAACTAAGTACAGAATCTGAGGATATTCTGAGTGGGAAGGACCCACAAGGACCACTGAGTCCATCTGGGAAGTGAAAGGCCTGTACAGGGACCAAAGGTGTGACCATGACATAATCAGCACCATGCAATTAGCACATCCTCCCTGCAAGCCTCAAAACTTCTACCCCCACAGCATCCTCAGGATCTTCTGCTTGTATGGAACCAAGGAATAATCCGGGGTGGGGAAAATGATCTCCTCAAATGGAAAGAGTTCGAGACTTACGTGCACCCTTCAAATACAGCATGGCCTGAGGAGTCCAGTTTCTCCTTTGAAAATGAGCCTTTATGCCAAATAAAAAAAAATTAAAATAAAAAGAGGGGAAATAGACATGTCAACATTCCATGCCATTGCTTATTAATGCAAATACTTAATGGCACCAAGCTGTGAGCTTCATGAGCTCCAGCCTGGGCTCACCTGAGGGGCACTCCAGGAGAAGGTGACGAAGGATGCTGCCAGGAGCAGTGCCAGGGCAGATGCTGAGGGTTTCTGCAGCCCCTGTGCACAACAGAGAACCACAAGGTGCAGGAGGAGTCTTTCACATCTGCACATCCTCCCAACTTCACATCTAAATGTGTTCCCAGCTGCTGCCTTGTCCCTGTCTTGCTGCCAACCTCTTCTTGCTCAGGGGGGGTTTCAGTGCACGCTGATCTGATCAGAGGATTAATCTTAAATTGAACTTTATTCTTTTTACTCAAATCTATTCCATCCTGGTGAGAGCTGCCATCAAGGCAAGCACCTTTTGTGGTCTTTTTTACAAGGACATCAGATCCTCCAGAAATGAGGATAATGTACAAACTAATGGGTAAAGATGGTATAGAATCTACCTTGATTTTACCAAACCATAGACAACAAGCAAATGTAGGGGGCTTGTCATTCCAAACAAACAAACAAACCAAGAAACAAAATCTCTACTTCCTCAGGTTAAAAAAAAAGGAAAAAATGTTTTAAATTTAGCATCCTATCAATATCAACCATGATTAAAACAAGTCACAAGACAGTTTTTTTTTGATTCTTGGAGTTTGTTCACTGATGCAGCACATGCAAATGGAAGCATTGAGCATGAATCCTCTGTGCACAAGTTGCACCTCTACTTGTTCACACAGACCATGTTGTTATTCATGTAGTGGTAACAGTGGTGGGCACCAGGGAATCAAACTGTATGTTTCACAGTGGTTCATTTCATCCTGGGTTTGAGAGGTTATACTATTGGTGTATTTTTAATACAGTTGTTTAAAATACATATAATATATCTATGTGTGTATTTCTTTTGGGTTATTTTTAAGGAAAATTTCTTAAGCCCCCCCGCAGTTCCTAAATATTGCACTCAAATGAAAAAGAAAGCATTAATTGCAAACTAAATGTTTGCTACAGACCAAAAAATTCTCACTTACCTTCATACTTATCTCGGTGACAAACCTTCAGTCTTCTTTCCTTGGGATGATGTGTCACAAGATTTCCTTCCTACATGGCCAGGGGTCCCTTTTTAAATCTTCAGAGTGGAGATGCCCTCCCCTTCCGTGGCGGGGCGGAGGAGTCTGAAGGGATCTCTTGTCAGCCCTGTAGATGGAGAAGCAGAAGGTCTGATGATTCCTGAGGGAAACCTGGAGCCTTGCAGGAAGTCCTGATTGAAATGATTGAAAGATGGATGCACTTGGAGATGCACCCCATTAAACAGGTGAACACCTTCTGAATACATCAGCATCAGCCCTGTGCGTTTGCAACGCTCACCTTCCTGCTGGATGATCAATAATCACAGCCAGAGTGGGTATTAATATGGATGGTGAGAGTTTACCCAGGATAATCTACAATAGATCAGATTAGCATCCATGGTGGGAGCTGGAAAAGCTGGTAAATTACTCACCAGCATCAAGAAAGAAGTGACTTACCCAGTGTCACTCATCGGAAGTTATTCCTTGCATACATTCAGAGGATGTAGTCTGTGGTTTGATTCTTTGATGATCTTTTGTATCTAGTTTTCTTGCACACAAGTGAAAGTATAAAGCTCAACAACAGCAACAACAAAAAAGACCCAAAATACCCAATAAATCCTGAAGTCCTAATAGTCAGAAACACTCTTCTGTCCCATGGATTGGCTGGAGTAAAAGTCTAGCTCATGGGCTTGAATAGGTTAAACAGTGGAGCAGTGAACAGAAAAAAGGCAGGGGTCAGGGAAGTAATTTCCATGAGCTACTTCTGGGTGATTTTTGGGCTCATTGCAGTCATGGAGAGTTGCTTTGGTCCTCAGGCAAAGAGTTAATCACACTGGATGCCTGGCCTTGCTTGCTCTGTAGCCAGGGTTTTCATCTCTCCTCCTGTACTTTTTCCTTTGTAAACTTGATGGTAGCAGAAGGAGAAGCAAAGCAAACAGGGAGGTAGAAATTTGCTGATTGGAATATTGGCCAATGGAAAGTTTACTGCAGCAGCCTCACAAACAGGGCCAGCCCATGGTGTGACAAAAATCCAGGTTAGGCCATGCATGTGACAAACACTGGCTCATGGATGTGGAGTTCAAGGAGGAGTGTGCAGACAGGCACTGTGAGCTCCTCCCTGCCACTGTGTGTCTGTGGACACTGCTCCAAAGCACATTATTAAGTGAAGGCGCAATTGCTGTCCAGCTTTTGTGGGGTATCACTCTGTTCCCAGCTCATGCCACACAGAATTGCACACTGAATATACAGAACTGCCATCAGCTGCTGCTTGTGCTGGTGTAGAGGCAAGAAACCAGGGGGAAGTTCAGGTTTTGGTCTCAAGCAGCTCCTGTGGTGGCTGGGAGCTGCTGTTACCCTTTTAAAAAGGCCATGCCCTGATGCATCCTAGCAGTAGGGATTTTACTTGCATCTACTTCACTTGTGAAGTTTCTTTTCCTTGCTCTTTTCCCTGTGCTCTGACAGATCAGAGACATTTCTTGATGATGCTTAACCCCTAGCCTTAGAAGGGGACTGTGCATTTCATCCAGGAGTCATTTAGCATGCAGAGGCTTGGAAAAGATAAAGCTACTCCCCTATTGCCTTCTGGAGTGACTTCAGATCTTCCTGTTATGCACAGACCACGGGGCTGGAATCAAAACATTCAGCTGAGCCTGTGAAAATCAACCCCCTGCCATTGGGGTTGGCAGTGTGCAGTATGATCTCTTCAGGATGGTTCTCCTCGTGGTAGGAAACGTGTCTGGCACTGAAAAGAAACCCTGCTTTTCCTGCCACTGGAATGAGACAAGATAACACAAAAGAAACAGGGGAGTAAACCAGCTCAGCCACTCCCGTTGCAACTGGGGAGAAGAGGAGGAGAACGGGAGGCATGGAGAAAGATGTTACCACACCGGAGGAAAACAGCTTCAGTTTTTCTTGTGACCATTTGGCAAAATCTGAGTGACTCTGACTTGGTGTTGCTGGAGTCAGTCTCTCTTCCAAACCTGGCTGTATTCTGAGTCCCATGGGAATCCTTGTAGAGATTTGGGCTTGTTTGGAGCTGCCTGGAGGGCAGCAGGGAGCTGAACTGAGCAGATCGAAATCTGAACTGCCTTGTTATGGGGACAGGTGACCACCAGCTCAAGAACAAAAGCAGGATCTTGACAGGATCATCTTAAATTAAATGGTCTTATTGCTGTACCATCTGATGCCTCAGTGCCACCATGGTGTCTAAAAGTCAGGGGTTTAGTCACAACCTGTAGCAAGAGACAATTGACCTTGACCTTTCACATCAGGTGAAATGAACCCAACCTGAAATGGTTTCCATAATGGTTTGGGGGTTTGGGATTTTTTTTATTTTCCAATGGTTTTTATTTTTCCCTTAAATTGTTTGTGCCTTTATGACTTAGAGTTCTAAATCCATTTATTTTCACTATGACCAGTGACTCCAAGTTGCTTTGGTTTTCAAACAAAGTGTATGTCAGAACCTTCTCCTTGGAAATCTGTAAGGAGTCTGCTTGCAGAACAAAGAACTCCAGGTTTGTCAATTCTACTTCAGGGATCAAAATTTAAGAGAATTGGCTTCTCCCTTCAAAGCTTTTTCTTACCATGATTCTATGAAAAGGTGGCCACCTCACCCTTCCCAGAAATCCAAGCACTTCTAGGATGGTGTATGGGACACAGTTTATTTGTAATCAGGGACAGGAGGCCGTGTTTTGGGAAGGCAGTGCAGGTACTGAGAGTATTTGCATTCACAAAAGAGCTCTGGCTCTGTGTGGGCACATGTGAGCTCGTACTCTTGAAAAACAAAGCAGCCTATAATTGGGTTATGGATCATAACACACCAAAAAGCTGTGGCACTTTGGGATGATGAGTGTGATGATGTGCACCAAACACTCACTGTCAGCGCTGCCATTTCTCAGCTGATTCACCTGGAGGAGGAAGTGGCTCTGGCATGTAATCAATACCCTGAGAGAGAAAAGTAGAGGGAAGCTTGCTATAGCAGCAGGACCCCTTATTAGAAAGAACATAACCTATTCTTATTTTTTGAGATGATCTAAAGGGCACAGGCTGCATATCCTGACGCTGTAAGTGATACAAAGCTGATTTCTGGCATTGAAGTTCAGTGCTGAGGTGAGGGGAAAATGTTCTCATGCGCTGGAGTTTTAACCAATGGGGTCAAACTCACCTCACTGACTTGCATCACAGCCATGCACCTTCCCAAATATTTCCCTGGAAATATAGGATACAGTGTTGTATCCTGGTAAGGGCAGCAGTGCCCCATGGCTTGCTCCTGAGGAAAAGGTGCACCTGGGGTGCAGGTGGTCCATCCTGACTGGTGCTGTCAAGGTATAAATCTCCCAGAACTTATGACCTTTGTTTTGTGCTTATTCTCATTTCCTTTGGGATTTTTTTTCCTGTTAGTTTGGTAACTCCCTGGGAAATCCATCCCACTTGTGTCTGGCAGCTGAGCAGCACCTAGCACAGTGTACTTCTGGCTCCTAAATGCTACTGCAGCATCATAAAAGGCTGTGAAATGTCATGGCAGAGCCTGCAAAGTAGGAAATTACAAAGCATGTTGCATTTCATTTGCAATAAGTTGCATAGTAAGGCAAGCTTTCTACCAGTGGCAAAGTAAAATACAGATTGCCCTGGAAGGATGTTGATTTGTTATCACTGAGAAACTCAGAGAATAGATTAGACAATACTTTTTTAGGAGTCATTGCCCAACTGATCCTGCCCAGACACATGGTTATGAACCATATGACCTCTTCTTTTCGGGCTGGTTTCTTCTGTTTCTGTAATCTTTCAAAGATGATTCTGGACTTCAACCTCATATATCCCACTCAGACTAAGGGGAAATTTGTGTACAAGCTCCATATTTGCCCTGTAAAACCTGTTGACCAAAACAATCCAACTTGCAATCCGTCAATACATTTTATGCTACACAAACATGTTTTTCAGTGCTATTTATTTTCATAACAGACCGTAATTTACAGAACCATGGAATAGTTTGCTTTGGAAGACACCTTTAAAAGTCATCTAGTCCACCCCCCTACAATAAGTAGGGATGTCTTCAACTTCTCTGGGAAGGTGAATTTTCATGGTGCAGCTCTGAAGGGAAGAGATGCTCTCTGGTATAAGCCAGGTGCATGATTAGAGGCCATCAGTTGCTGGCCCAAATTTATTTAACTATTCTGTTGCACATTCAGCACCACAATGTCTGTGGGTGCGTTTCAAGCACTGCAGATTTGCTAGAGAAGCTTTTTGTCTTTTCTCTAGACTGTATGAGAAGAACTGTGCTAAAAACTCTTGAAGTAGAGAACAAGGTGTAGAAAATCCAGTCTGTCAGAGAGGATGTAAATGTCTCACACAAGAGAGGTAACAGGGACTTTGCTGAGGACTAATGTGTGAGCAATGCTGCAGCCAGGTCCAGGTTCTACTGTTCTCACAAGTGTGTTTGTGAAAGAGAAGCAGCTTCAAGGGATAATTATAAGTAGAATTTAAATATTTTATGTGGCGTGAGGGGTGTTTGAAAGCATCAGGAAAGAGTAGAAATCCACAAATTTTTGAAAGGTATAAGCATCTCAGAAAGAGGTGTTACTTCTGAAGTTCAGTGAACCACTGATGGGATGGCACAACAGTTTTTTTTCCCAGCAGTGGACAAGTCTGAGGCGAACACCAGGTGAAAAGACCAGCTGAAAAACAGTTTTCTCCAGTATGCAGGCTGGAAAGGAGACACGGCCATCAAAGAATGGGCATTTACAGGGTAATTTAGCAGGAGCAGTAGAGCTCTTCAGACAGGCAGGATCTACTGCATGTCTTGATAATTCAATACAAAAAAAGGAATTAGTTAAGGGTCCTAATGATTTTTTTTTCACAGAACTAAGGGCAGAGATGACAGTTAACAGAGAGACTATTTAATACACTATCAGCTCAAGAGACTTCAACACTTTCTTCTTTTCAAAAGTGGCGAGAGTGATGAAATTTATACAGCTCCCAGATTCCATGTTCTAACTCTCAGAAATTAGGAGAGATCTGCTCCTGCTTGAAATTTTGCTGTAGGTGGGAAAAGCAGGAAAGAACTGCTAATAGAAGTGAGAAACACCCCAGGAACCAGAGTTTTGAACAACCTATATCACAACATTCCTTGCTGTTTTAAACAATAATTAGAAGAGCAGTGAGACTTCAAGTTGCACTGAAATTACAGGCAATTAATTTAACAGCAACAGGAGAGATGTGAGGGGAAAAAAAGTAAAAAGGCCAGGAAGCAAGGGCCTAAAGCTTGATTAGAACCTGGTTGCAGCTGGTGGTCCCTCTCAGCTGAGGGCTGAGTGGCAGCACCTGTACCTTGTAAAGCTGATTTTCCAGCAGAAGAGCCCTCTGCTTATTTAAACGCTGAAGTTCAGGCAGCTCCTACTCCTCAGAGGAAAAGCTGAAGTAGCTGTGCTGTCTCCTTCAGAGAAGGAAGAGAAGCTCTTTTTCCACGTGCTAGTGTAAAGTATAAAGTCTTGGGCTGTGTTTTTTGTTGTTTGTTTTGGTCATTTTTTTACTGGTGTATTACAGAAAAAAAATCAAATATCCTTTAGTAGAGTGTTACTTGTATCTGCTTGAGGGCTCTTGTATGCTTTAAAAAAGTCCTAAACTAATTGCAGGGTATTTAAATTTTAATTTAAAGGTAATTCATCTATCTCTTTAGAGATAATACATCTGTAATAATGCACTATAAAAGACTGCTTCCACTTCCTGGCATTTATTTGAGGAGTAAATATTTTAAGCAAGACATAGTTAAAAAAGTAGATTCTTCTCTATAATTGCTCTGAGCTTTTTATTGTTTTTATTCTTATTTTTTGAAGTATTCATGTGGCTAAGGACATGTTCATTAGAGTAAATGCTACTACTTATAGAAATACTAGAAAAATAAACTTAGAGATCTTGCCTCTGCTTATATAAACTAAGCTGCTGCCATGCAGGCAGCCTGTAATAAGCTAGTTTAAATTAAACACTTAGTATTTATGTTTATTTCAATCTGTATTAATAAATAATTATATATAATTTTATTCCTTGCTTCAAAAGATCATATAAGTGTTAAGTGCTAGTGAAACCTACTGCTGTTTTGGGGGAAAGGAGTTAATTTTTCTACATTAAAAGATGACTTAAAATCTGATTCTTGGGAGCTTCACCTAGCTTCATTTGGTATGTTATTATTATTTAATAATATAGCTCCCAGCTGATCAGTTCAGGTGGTTGCAATGTGCAGGGTAGACATGGGAAACTCACTGGGAATGAGGATTTATCCCTGTAAAATGAATCTCCCCTGCCTTAGTCACATGCAAACATGCTTATCTCGTAGGAAATACCTTTTAAATGTTGCCTGGGAGACTAGATAACAAAAATACACACAGGATGAGGTGCCTCTGTAGGACATATTTCTTGTGTAATTCCCAGTGTGGCACCATGATGGCTGTGGCTGCTTAGTACAAGGAACACTGGATTTTGGAGGTTTTTTGGTCTCATAGGCTCACAGAAACACTGAAAGTCTTGTTAGTCTCACATTTTCTGCCTCACCCCTACCACCCCCAGTACAATTAAAGTGCTTTCTTTAATTTAAAAAGTCCTCTGCTAATTTGCAGGGTCTTCAGTTTTTATTTTCATTCCCCCTTACCTCCCTGCCACAGTTATGGTATTTAAGAATAAGCAGTGAGATTTCAGGAAGTATTTCTGTCTTTCTTCCCCAACATTTCCACATCAACTTCTAGTTCCCTGGACAGCAAAATGTCCTGGCTGAAGGTTTCTGTCACAGCTGATAAGTGGAACGAGGGTTTTCAAACCCCTGGATGCCAAAGCTCCAAGCTGGCTGCTGAATGGAAAAGTTGGCATAAATATGTGTGTGTTGATCACCCTGATTAGTGTATCTTGTGCCTATTCTTTCCAGATATTTGTCAAGAGAAGGGAAGTGATGAAGTCTTCTAAACATGGAGCTCAGAAACAGCGCCACAACCCAGTGGACAGCATCTGCAGGAAGATCAAATCCATCCAAATGATGGACCAAGTCTCCAACCCGGCCTTGCAGATACCAAAATTTCAGTCCCAGAACTTTGACAGCCCTCAGAGCAATATGAAAAAAAATGTGGAAGAAATACTGAAAGGGAGAAGCTGCAGTAGTGGTGGGAGCACTTGCTCGCCCTTGGTCTGCCCTGGCAGCAGCAGCGTTTTCTCTGTGCCCTCGCCGGGTCTCGGGGCCAGCTCCAAGCACCAGACTGCAAACAGAACCTATTCCATGCTGGAGGGCAGTGAGAGATCCAGCAGCTCCTGGGTGCCTTCTTCTCCTGTGGGGAGCTCTTCTCCATTCCACTTTGGAGCCAGGGAGGCCAATGTCCAGGGCAAGCCGTGTGCTTCAGCAAATGCTGAACCCCAAGATGTGCGGCCCAAGCAGAAGTATCTGACATCAAGTCCCAATTTATGTTTCTTCACATCAGAAAAAAAGCCAGGAAGTGCTGTGGTCCAGCTTCCTGTGCCAAGGGCATTTCCTTCAAGTGAAACAGGTAAAAATACTGAAGAAAAACACTGCCTAATTTGGAATTCTAGACATCTGAACATTCAGTCTATGTAGATGACATTTATTTACCACTTAAAGTGGTAAAATGCATTTTAGTAGCACTCAAATCTTGTAAGACTGCAAAAAGAGCTGAGGCAAATCCTAAATTTTCTCTAAAAAATTGTGAGTGTAAAAAGGGAGTAATTAATAAGGCAAAAACTTTTTCAAATTTGCTAATTTGTTTTTGATTTAAGAGATAAAGATATTTTTAACAGTTTAAGAGATTGAGACTACTATTTGGCTAGTACTATAACTTTTTTTTTGATAGCCAAATTTTATTTGGCTTTTAATTTAGCCTATGATTTTTCTTTTAGACTGATTTTTGAAGATACAGGCGTTTGGGTTTTGCTCTTAGTTTGGGGTGGTTTTGAGGGGTTTTTTGTTTGTTTTAGGGATTGTTTTCTTAATAACTTAATGATTTCTCAACAAGGTATCTGGAGGGGGAGGGAAGAAATACCTGGTTTCTTAAAATGTCCTGTTTCATATGTTTATGCCATAGAAAGAATAACTGAGTTTTTCCAAAAATATATGTATAAAAGTAGATGCATGGAATACATCCCAGCTCAGAGGCCCCAGCTATGACCAGTTCCTGCTGTTTAGTGCTAAAAGCTCTGCTTTTATTGGCAGGGAAGCTGGTTAGCTGATTTTGTTGTTTCAGTCATCTGGAATGAAAGTTACTATGACCAAATAAAGATGGACAATAAGAGATTTATTCCTCACAGGAAAGAGGCAGCCTGTGTGGTACAAAGGTGACAATATGTGCGACATGAGCTTGATCTGTAACGAGAACCTGCTGACCACCATCTTCTGGGCATGTGACAGCCACCACACAGGTTTGCCAGGGTTTTTTCATTGCTCTTTTGTTCTCCTCTCAATGAATTTCCAAGGGTCAGACCTTGTTTTGGTCCCTGAGAGATGCCAGGCTCTGAGGTGTGTTAGGTGCCTGCGTTGTGGCAGATGTAGAATAAATGTGTAAATGTCTGTGCCTCTTTTGCGTGGTGCCTGATCATGGAATCGTGGAATGGTTTGGAAGGGACCTTAAAGATCATCTAATTCCATCCCCCTGCCATGGGCAGGGACACCTTCCCTTATCCCAGGCTGCTCAGCGCCCCATCCAGCCTGGCCCTGAGAGCAAGGATTAGTATCATGCGTCAAATTTTGTTCCTCTTAAACTGAATTCCACAAAACTAGTAAACTGGATTTTTACACAGAAAAAACCAAAAACCCACCACTACTAAAAAAAAAAATCTCAACCAACAAAAGAGCTCTAAACTACTTTTTTTTTCCCAGATTCTGCTCTAACTCAGATCAGGAATCAGTTGCATGTCTGCAGCTCTTGAGGGCAGTTGGATCCAATGCAGTTCAGTAGCGTTGCCTTTCACAGTTTTTTATGGTGCCTTGCCAGGCTTTGGCATTTGACCTCTGTTTCTGCTTTAGGGAAAGTGGCAGTGTCTGAGATAATCAATTATTTGAGACATACGACCAGTCGGGACTCAGAGGACAGTGGTCTTGAGGAGCTCTGCAACAAGCTTGACCCAGAGCACAAAGATATCTCCATGGACCTGGAAACCTACCACGCCGTCATGGGAGAGTGGATTGAAGACCGTAACAGAAAATGGTAACAGCATTTTGATAAATAAGTTTTCTGTGGAAAGATGATGTTATAAGCTTCCCCTGTGGCTCTGGAAAGAAAGTGGTATTTGGACACCATGTCTACAACATTGGGTTTGGCTAAAGTTTTGTAAGTGTTACAAAGCTAGTAAGTAGCCTGGTGTCCTGCTGATTTTGTGACCCTTGATGCTCCCTTCTTTCAGGGAAGAAGGTGCTACTGAGAAATCATCATCAAGCACGGAAGACTTGGAATCTCAAGTACCTAAAAACATCTCTAAAGGTGCAGAATGTTTTACTCTGTTTCTGTTCAGGAAAGTTCCACTTTCTTGCTCTATAACCAAAGCCCTCACCTCTTTCAGCTGACAAGTCACATGTCCAGATGAATGTAACCTCAGGAAGCCTGGAGGCCTTTGGGGGTGATGTGTCTAAAGGAGACATGTGAGTCCATTTAAGCAATTCTTTCTCAGAATATAGTACTCCTGGCTTTGAACCATTTGACAGGAATTCCAAGAGCCCTTATTTTGAAACACTATCCTTGGAGATTATTGCTCACCTCAGTCTGCAGGAGCTCTTGATGTGGTCACCTTCTTCTGCTCAGACTTGAAGGACAACCAGTATTTTATCCTACTTATATCTTGGTGCTTCTGTGTCCATTTGCCTTTTTAATCAGATGTTTGTCATGTCCTTCCCTATTTAAACAGGTTCCTTCCCTCCACCAAATTCTTAGTTGTCTGATGATAAGAAGACATTGACCTGAAAGTCTGATCTTGCATCCTGTTTGGGGTTGTTTTTCTTATGACAGGGAGTTTGTTGAGGTGGGATTTTTTTTGTTGTTGGGGTGGGGTTTTTGTTTGGGTTTTGTTTGGTTTTTGGTTTTTTTTTTTTTGTAGTAGTAGCAATGAAGTCTGTGATTTGGACTGTTAATGGCAAAGCACTTTACAAAGAGCAGAAGTTTCATTTGTAGTTTATGCCTAGGCAGAAATCCAACATCTGCTCTCTAAAGCTTCCCTATAATTTTTCAGGATCTCAAAAGAATGATCCTCATTTAAGCTTTGGTTGAAAGCATGAGGTGGGAGATGGCTTGGGGTAAAAGAAAGGACCCAGAAATTGCAGAGTGAATACAGAAGGATCACTGTTGATGAGGTGATTAGCAAAATCTTAAAGCACTCTCATGCAGATATCCAGCTGTGGCACTTTTTGACAGCAAACTCCAGTTGTAGGAAGCAGAAAAATGCTTAAAACCAAAAGTTCTTGATACCCATAAAACTGCAGAACAGACTTGGAGCTGCTCTGTTATCTCTGTGCAGAGCAAATAATTGGACACTGCAGCATCACAAGTCCTCTGTGGGCTCTCACCTCACCTCTAATCAGTGCACTAGGATGCTTTAAAAGTCTGAAGTAGATGAAATCACCTTTCTCACTCTTTCCTGGCTTTTTCACTGGGACAGGGAGACCTCTGACTTGATAACCTGCCTTGCGGATCTGCAGTACAACAACCAGAAGCTTCAGGAAGAGAGCAACAAGCTGAAGCTCACCCTGGAAGCTTTGGATGAGACCAACGGCAAGCTCCTGGCAGATAATGAGCATCTATGTCAACAATTAAAAAGGTAGGGGACTCTGATGGCCCCAGGCCTGCCATGGGCAGAGCTGTGATCTTCCAGCCTTGCTCTCATGCTTTTCTCTTCACTGTTGCTTCATCACAGAGGTTTTCTTGCCTTTATGCAACATCTGTAAGGTTTAGCCTCCTTGCCTGGTTGTTCTGCTCTGTCCCTCCTGGTTTTTAAAAAATCATTCCTCTCAGAGCCAGGTTCCCGCAGCACTTGGTGGTGTGGGGGCACACAGGGAGAGCCTCAGGCTAAAGCAAACAAACAATGTAACAACAACAATATATATATTAGAAAAAGGCATCATATTACGAAGATAAGAGCCAAGCACTGGAAGGCTTCCAATCCTAGGCCACATTCTTGTTGCCAAGCAGAGGGGAAATGAGTGTCCAAAAGCTATTTTGTTACACGTTTGGTGGACTGGGGTGAGTTGTGTCACTTGTTCAGCCTTTCTGTAGCCTGAGGACATATCAGTGCCATGAGTACAAGCCCATTTTGAATGGTGTTCATCTGGCCTAATTAATTGCACTGTGATATGGTTTGTTCAGCTGCCAAGCTGCTCCCAGGGTTTTCAGGGAAGATTAAGGCAAGAGTTCTGCAGGGTAACTGGCAAGGGATGTGTGCCCTTATGTGGGACCACCTGCTCTGGGATGCTCTGCAGGATCAAGTTAGCTTGGAAAAGGGCCTTGCCTGTTGCTTTAATACATGGTTTGGGGCTTATCAGATTAGGGTAAGGAAATGGTGCAGAACTCATCCTTGAATACTGAATTGAAATGGTTTCTCCAACTATAAGCCATGAAGTGTTGTAAAGATGAATTTGTGCTCGGGTAACCTGCTATATTTAACTGTAATGAACTAAATTTTTAACATGGCTTTGTTTGCATGCACCTGTCTTGGATGGGGTTTCATCCCTCACTGTAAGACTGGAAGAGTGATAAAAAGGAAGTAAAACCATGAGATTTGCTTCCTGGACAGAAATTATGGTCTTAAGCTTGATTGTTGCTCTTCTGTTAAGTGTCGTGCCAAAAAATAAGTCCCTGGTGACTTCTAAAAATACTGTTTCAAGCCTATCTAAACAACCAACATTACCTGGCTGAAGTTTCTCTGGATTTGCTCCCCCCTGTGCAGCCTCCAGCACTCTGTATTGAAAATGAAATCCCTGGAAGAAGAGCTAGAGGAAGCAAGAAACAACCTGAACGTGTCAGAAGAGGAAAGAAAGCAGATTCTTTGCCACAACAGACAGCTAGTAGGTGCTCTTCCTTCTTGTTTCCCTTGGACAGCACCTCACACCTTGCTGTAACAGTGGTGTGGCTGCTCAGGCTGTTAAAAATCAGAAGTAGAACCTTCTCTGTGCCTTAGTGAAGGCTCATGAGCTGCACCAGCCTCAGCTCTCCCCTTTTTGTGTGTTCTCTGAAACAAAGGGACTCAACACCACAGCTGTGGATGTGTTTGTGATCTGTTGCTTACATGCTAAAACCAACTCTTCTGTTTTTCTCTTTTTCTGTGTTTGTTTGTTTTTCCCCATAAACTTGACCAGGAAAAAGAAAATCGGTCTCTCAATAGCAAAGTTACTTCTCTCCAGGAAGAGGTAAAATAAATAATTTGAAAATAAATAAAAAATAAATAAAATTAATTGTTCTTGCCTAGCTAAAATTTGCCATTAAGAAATAAAATGTTTGTCAGACTTTGAAGCCTTGCATACTAATTAGGTTATCAAAATATCTAATACTTTAAAAGGCTGATTTGTCATAAAACTTTATATCTTGAGGTTGCACTGTGATTTTTATTTTCCACTTGCTGGGTGAGTAAGGATATGGGGTTAGGGAAGCATAGGGACAGACAAACTACTTCAACCCCACCACCACCTCTTTTCCGAGATTTATAGGCAAATTCCATGTATTTCTGGTTCCCACAGCTACAAACAGACAAACTCTATATTGAAACAATCTCCCTCCAATACTTTATCATTTCATATTCCCTTCTGTTTTCCTCCCTTAAATCTAAAGAAGTAATCTTGCATAGAGCTGTAACACCAAAAATAAGTAACAAAAATAATAAAAAAAAAAATGCAGTGGGTGGGATCTCCCATCACAGATGGATCCATTGACACTGGCCAAGGACCTACAGGAGGTTTTTAGGGAATGCAGCTCCATATGCAGAGAATCCCTAAGCTTGTTTTTTATTCAGAGAAGAACTGTTCATTCTTTCTCTCTATTGTTTTGTTGGGGTTTTTTTACTGCATCAGAGCAACTATTTTATAAACCAGTCTTTGTCAGGTGATACAGTCTGTAAGCAAGCATTAAAAAACTTTATTTCAGACTTTTCAGGGGGAAATGGAGAAACAGGTTAAATCAAAGAAAAGAAAATCTTTCTTTACTTCTTAGTAAAGAAAATCAGCACCTTCAGATCAGTCTTTCTGCAAAGGTCCTTAGTCCAAATATCTATTAAACCACAGTTTTCTGAAAACAATTCTCATGCTGCAGGGCTGACTTTTCTTTAGCTCTCCAAGTCTGGCAGTGGTTATAAATCACATTTTGAGGGGTTTTCTCTTTTACTGGTGCTCGGGGTGGGAAAAGGAGCAGAAGCAGTTTTGGTGGGGCAAACACACGGAATGTATGTGCACAAATGCTGGTACTGCTTGAGAGTAGGCAGCAGCTTAGGGGTGGAGATGTCATTTTTGCCTGATTTCTTCAAGGAGAAGCTGTCAATCCATTCAGCTGTGCCTAAACACTGTGTCTTGTTTAGATTATTAGGAATAGCATGGACACCAATGGGCTGCAAAAGAAGATTTTGGAGCTGTCTAAAAATGCAGCAGAGCTTCAAGTAAGCATTTCAAAGCTTCAAGTAAGCATTTCAAAACAAGAGGAATGAAAAGTCAACCTGGATTTCACTTGGGTCTAGCGAAGGGGGAGTTTCTGCTGCTGGAAGGTGAACAGTCCTGAACCTCAGTGTTGATGGACTGCAGTGAAGTGGTAGCTTGGAGAGTGTGACAGCTTTCACCAAGGAAGTTCCTGTCTGGAGGCTAAAAACTAGGCTGATGGAAACAATCCACAGTTTCATTATTTCCTCAGAGTTAGATTTTTTTTTTTTTGATACCTTTCCCTCACTATTCAAGAAAATACATTAAGGTCATGCTTTGAGAGATGTTGCTGAAAATATTGGCCTGGACAGATGAGAGGAAACAAAAGTGACTGAAAGTTAAGAATGCTTTCACTCTTTGCTGGGTATAAGATCTGTACTCTGAAACAAATACCACAAAAGATCTTCAAAGAAGAATTTGTTTTTTCTAAGTAAGGAACATTGATATTCTTTTTCCTTTTCTAGTAGGAAATAGGAACAAACTTTTATTATGGTCTGTAATGATGGCTGGGTTTACTTTTGATCTTATCATTCTTCAGATCCAAGCTCGTATCTATGAGAGCACTGTGGCCAATAAAGAGGCAAGCATAATCCAGGTTAGTTTTTTTACTTCATTACTGACTGAAAACCACACTATCATAGAATAATTTGGGTTGCAACAGACCTTAATGATACCTTGTTCCAATCCCCTGCCATGGGCAGGGACAGCTTCCCCTGGCCCAGGTTTCTGGTCTGTACTGATGGGATGATTTGTAAAAAGGCAAGGCAGTAGTATTCACTGTGGCTCTTTGATTTCTACTCTTCTCCCACTGCAGAACCTGATCCTATAAATGGCTTCAAAGTAGGCGAGCTCTACTTTAGGACGTGCCTATGAGTCAGCATAATTAAAGGTTTCAGGATTTTGCTTGCCTTTTTTTTTTTTTTTTAGTCACAACCTATTAAAACAAACTTGCAAACTTCAGACAATATGTCCAGAAACTTCTAAAGGCTACTTTGTTCAGCAGGGAGCTACAGAAGGCCTTTCCCTTCATGTCTTTTATTGAATTTTTTTGTGTCAAATTAGAAATTGTGACTTGGAGCCCAATGGAAAAGCAAGTTTGTCATTTTATTGCTGAGGTGCAATTATCTAGGCTTTACTGAGGAGTGAATATTTCAGATGTTTTTAAACATGCCTTTTATACTAGAAAACAAAGCTAGAAGGCCATACAAATGTGCTGGCATTTTCTGGATTCATGAATTATGCAAAGAGCTTTCTATGCCAGTGGAGTTTCTACTTAGCAGAACATGCTATAAATCTCCTGATAAAATATTTGACTATTGGGCTCCCTGCAAAGTGACTGCAGGTGAATTCAAATAATAAAAAAGAGAACTGAACTTGAGTGTGATGGAGCTGATAACTTTGTACTGAGTGCTTTAATAGTTTTGGTTTTGTTGGTTGTTTTTCCAGACACAGCTTAAGGACACAAATTTATTAAAATCTTTTTTTTTAAGTAGCTTTTACTTTCTCCTACTTGAATGATTCGAAGCTTTTTGTGAGCTCTGTAGTATCATTTTATTTCAACAAGATTCTTAGTCTATTGACTAAATGGGAATTTTGCAAGTAGACTGCTAGATTACATATGGATAAATGTGAGTGATTGGAATAATTTTGAAGAAACTGGCATGGAAACTTGTTGTCATTAGGATAATCTGGTTCTATAACCTCACTTTTTCTGCCTAGCTTTCTGTGCACTTCATCTCTTTCAAAAACCTCAATGATTTTTAAAGAGAGAGTAGGAAGAACTCATAAAAGTGTGAGAGGACAAGAGCTCCTACTCTAATTTCCTATTTTCTCTTATAAATTCTGTGCTGTCTGTGCAGTGTCTTTTATTGGAATGGCATAACCTGACTGGAGCTAATTGCTAGTTGCTAAGAAAGGTGATGCTTCTATTAATTCTTCAGTCCTACCATGAGGGCTGACTCTTTTTCAGCCTTTCTGTTAGGTTGGGTTTAATCTACAGGGTGCTACACTCTAATAATGAAAGACAAGTAAACTTGAAACATTGCAACTTGCTTGAAGGGTCAGTTGGGATTAAAATTCATACTGGCATATAATATAGGTCATATTTTAAGTTAAAACTAGAGTATTTCTGTCTAGTTTAATCTGTTGGACCTGAAACCAGGTGAGTAATATGTGAAAGTACAACACTTGGAAAAGAGGGTTTGTCTCCTTAATTTCAGAGCTTATATAGGAAAAGGTCATCTGGGTGCTTTCTATTAGTTAAAATTCAAGGTAATTTGTTGTATTCTTTTAAATTCACAACTATTTTTATGTCATGATCGGGTTGCTGCTCAAGCTAAACCATACATTTTACTGCTGTGGTGTAGGATGGAATATAATTTTTTTGTTGTTCTTTTCTCAACAATCTCTGCAGAAGGAGCAGGACATCAAGGAACTCGAGTTAACCATTGCGGAGTATTCCTCAATCATAGAGGTACGGGCTGGGTTGGGTTTGGCCTGTGCTGATTCTGCATGGCAAAGTCAGCCTCTCACCAAACCCCATGGATGTTTCAGACACTGAGAGCTGAAAAAAATAAACTGCTGGAGAACATCCAACACATGCAGCAAGAGCTGATCTCGTGAGTACTGTGGCCAAATCCCAGAAAATGCAGTTCATCAGAAATCCAAAATAGACTGATATGTATTTATTTTCCTGCTTCTTTTAGGCATGGGTTGAGTTTACCATTGTTGTATAAATTTAACAGCAATATTCCTGAAGGGACAAGCACACTGCACTGTGAACTGGAGCTTGCAGAGTCTTCTGAGGTATGGATTAAACCTTAATTTAATCTCTTCCTAGTTGTCTTGCATCAGCAGAGGCAGAACAAAGCTCATTGCCTGTATATGATTAGATAACTCTGGAATTTGAAGCCATTAATCCTAGCATGTAAACACAGAATGAGAAGGTTGCAATATTGTTCCAAGCACCTTGGAGAAAGTCCAAAGAATAGCAAACAAAATGCTTGTAGATATAAAATATTTGCTCATAGTATCCTAGAATGGCCTGGGTTGGAAGGAACCTTAAAGATCATCCAGTTCCAACCCCCCTCTGCTCTACCCAGTAAATCTGGAGGAGCTTGGGTCATGCATTTAGCTGGCAGAAGAACAGATAGATGGGAGAAGATATCAGTTTTCCAATATATAAAGGCTTTTATGCTGCAGAAAGTAAATGACAGTCTGCTTCTTGTGCTGCCTACAACAGACATGAACAATGATTCTTTTTCACTTGTGAAAAAGGACACTTCTTTTTCTTTGAAGTTGACTGTAGTGAGAAAGGAAATTCAGCATTAGAGTGAGCATCTTGATAAAGTTGTTGGGTCCTAATCTAATGTACTGTTAAGGAACTCTGATAAGCATCTCTGATGGCAAACCAAATATATTTAAATTAATAAAATAAGTTATTTATGTAAATAGAAGATCATTATTAGACTAAAATACCTTAATCAGAATTATGACTACTTGTACAGTGCACTAGCTATTAAGCCAATAATTTCCAAGCTAATAATTGTTAAATAGAGTTTGCTATTACTTACCCATGTTGATGATCATGGACAAATCTTTTGTTCAGCTTTGAGGAGTAACTTTGAGGGTGTGCCCCCACTTGAGGGAGGGATCTCCACACACACCCTGCTAGAAGGAGTGTGTCAGAAGCCCTGACTTTAAAAAGTGGGGCTGGGTTTTTATGGTATAAAGTGATTGACTGTCAGATCTTTCCAGGCCAGCTGTGCCAGCTCAGTTGGGTCCCTTGTCAGGAGCTTCTCCTGCCACTTCCTCACTGGTGCCAGTTTTTGTCAGGAAATGTTGTTCTTCACATCCTCAGAATTTTTAATTTTGGGATCAAGGAATCAGGCTGGTCTTTGCATTCTCCAACACCAACAGCAGCATGATACCCCCCCTCCCCTTATAAATCCACCACTGATGATTTTTGCAAGGAGGCTATTGCTGAAGCTGTTTTACACCACTTTAGGCAGAGCATCTGGCTACAATTATGATTTTGGTTCTGATTTTAAGGTGAGCTATTCTGTTCCCATTTCCTTAGACAATCCATGGGGTCCCATCCTTCCCCCTGTGCTGCTTTCCTTTCAGATAGATAGAAGCTGTGCAGCACAGCTGACAGCAGAGAGATGCTGCTGAGTGATTTCTGCTTACTTTTGTGCAAGGTGCATTTGCAAAGAGTTAGCACATACAGCAACAACAACAACAATGTACAAATAGATAAGAACTCCAGGCCCAGAAAGGAGAGGGAGGCTTGGCTAGGCAGCTTTGAGGAGTTAGGTATCATCCTATATTGCAGCTCCCCAGAGCCCAGTGAGTCATTGTGTTTGCCCTTCAAAGCTGCAGAGAGACACGATTCCACCGAGTCACCTGTAAGGAAGGGCTCTGCTTACTCATCACTTGGTAACAACTCCTCTGGATAAAGATAACAAATGACTGATTTCTTCTTGCCTACCCTGGCAGGGATATTTACACTGGATCACTCAGCAGCTTAGCTGGTTTGCTTTCTTTTCATTTTTTTAAATCCTTGTTGATGTGATAGTTTTGAAAAGTTTTTCCAAGCCTCAAGTTTTGTAGCTCTGACCTTCTGGTAAATACAGAGCAGGGATACGTCAGGAAAGTCTAAATGTCACTGCTGCTGGTTTAATAAGGGGATGTCAAAACAAACTAGCTGGCTCTTCCATCTCTTCAAAGATTATCAGGACCGAACGGGCATCCCTGGACGAAACACTGGATCGTGAAGTGCAGCTTTTGCTTCAGGGGTCTGAATATGCAGGAGAAAAATTCAAGACCATCATGAAAAACCTGGTCAGTAGCAAAGCTAACTGGGTAAGGATGGATAGATGCTGTGGATAAGGGTGCTGTCTTCGATCAGCAATTTAATTAGGAATTCTCCAGGCATTGATAATCTGATTGTTTGCTCCTTTTGGAAAACTAAGAATAGTTTGAGATTGGAGGGGGTCATAGTTTAACAAGATCACTTGGCACCTACTCTAACACTAATTTATATCCTGGGTAATTCTGGGCAGAGTTGTAGATGTGCACTAGAAATCATGGAGTTTGGGGAGGTTGTTTTGGGTTTTATTTTCTTTTTCAGCAAGAGGAAATCTCTGAAGCAGAGGAGCTTGTCATGGTTTCATTAGAATGGGTAGAAGATCCTGATGAGGACATGCAACAGGCCTGGGAAAGAAAACTTGTGGTGAGTAACTGTTTCTCTGAAGCATTTAGTGAAACAGTGGGGCTGTGCAAAAACTTCAGGTGGATATCTTGCTGCTGCATGCTGTGTGTGTTTATTACTGGAGATAGAGTGCATCTGTGGGCCAAAGATGGCTGCATGGAGAGAAACATCTTCTTTACTGGGGTTTTTTGAGGCGGAAAAGGATGATTGCTGTTCACTTACATGCTGTGCTCTTGCTGGCTTGTCTTGTGCAAGAACTCCTTTAGTTAAAACTCTGCTTGAAGGAAAGGGAAGACAAACCAGGTCAAAAAGCAAAGGAGGCTTTATAACCAAATTTCCAAATCAAATCCTCCATAGGGTTTATTTGTTGTGAAAGGTGAAGAGTTGGGCTTTCACTGGGTATATTCCACAGGAAAAATGTCATCAAAACCTTGTTTTACAACTTAATCTTGCATAATGTATTTCTCCTACTCCTCGTACCTCTGGTGAGGCTTGCAAGAACAGACTTTTGCTCAAGGTACTGGTAAAAACATCTTCCCTATGTAGTGGCAAGTGCTTTTGAACACAACTAAATGCTTTTGTTCCCTCCTGCTCTCCCCTGTAACAGCACAATTTTTGACATTTCCATGCATCTTATTGGATGTGACTTTTTCTCTGACCTGCTCCTTTCTGCTGATCAGTTGTTAGGAATGCTCCAACAAGCCCAAGCTGTACATTAATGCTGTTTCCCAGCTCCCTAATGGATGTTAAACCCCACAATTCCTCTCCCTTGGGTGACAGCAGGTGCCACCAGGGGATGTGCTGCATGAGGTTGTTGCTTCTTTGGGGAGAGAGCTGCCCTTCTTTTTTCCTCTAGTGCTACAGAATGGTGTAGCTGGGCCTCTTCTGCCTTCCTGGGCAGGGCTGGAGCAATCACTGGGAGCCATCCAGTCCTGGAGCCAGGTTTTTTATAATTTTGGCTAAATCCTGAAACCTTCTCCTTAGAGAAGGTGCAATCCTCTCACTCTCTTCACCCAGATGTGACTTTGGGTAGACTCTAGCAAACTGCTGGCTTGTGAATTGCTACAGCTTTTTGATCTTGACTGGAAACCTCCTCCTGCAAAGCTGTCAGAGCTGAAAAAGGCTTGTGAAGTTACATTCACATTGGGATCATATTCCTGTTAAACATGTGAAGCTAAAATCTTTTGGTATAGGAGTTGGAGTTGATTGTGGCAAATGAATCCTACTCTGGCTCCTAAAGAGTGATGTATTTGGAAATTGAGTTAACAGAGGATCAAGAAAGAAAAAAATCCTTTAAAAATAAAAGGTCCCATGGGGGATGAGACGTGACTTCATGTCAAAAATTATCTCCATCTAGACAGAACAAGCCAATGTGTGAAATTTTGTGCATGCAGCTGAACAGCAATAGATCAAAAAAAAAGGGAGGGAGATTCAAAGTAGCTTCTTCCAGCCTCAGAGAAAGTGCATGATCCAAGATTTAATTAGCTGGTTAACAAAAGTTTTCACCAGAAGCCTTGCCTACCATTTCCTGTGAAATTTATTATGGACATGTTCTGCTGGGGTTTAGTGTTTTCAAAGACATTTTAAAGGATATTAGCTATAAACCCAACCTGAAGTGTGCATATATACATATATCTAAGTATATATAGTGACATGTGACATCAAAATCTTTTTCACTCTTCTACTGCAAGATAAGACTGGTACATGTGCCCTGAAAAGCCTATATCCCTTAAGTGTCAAATTATGGTATTTCTACAAGTGAGTGCTGCCTGCCTTGGCTGAGGAACAGACCCTCAGGATGTGGGCAGTTGCACATGGTTACATCCCATGTCATCCTAGGAGCCCTATCAGCAAACACTGCTCTTTTTTTTTTTTTGCCTTTTCTTAAGCATGATACTTGATGTGCTATTTTTTTTTTTTTATTTGAAGCTCATGAGCATCAAACTCCAACTTGCAAGCAGATAATGTGGTCTGTATTTGTAAGATTGATGTCTTCCCCTCAGAATTGCTGCAGAATCCCAGGAATATAAACTTCATTCTTTCCTGACCTCTGTTTGACTCTCATTAAGCATTCTTTAAAAGCTGAGGACACTCTTTCATATGTTCAGTTTAGAAAGGTCAGAGAGAGAGCACTGGATTCTTCTTCTCAGGACTTTTTACTGCAAGTCACTGTTCAGAGAAGTAGAGAGTTCAGTCTTACCTAACACCTAATTTTTACCCTTTTCCCTCCAACAAACCAGAGGTAAATCTAAAAGCCTTCATGGTGGGGGTCATCTCTGGCACAGATCATCTGCTAAGCATGTATGGCAAACAGGTTTTATTGGTTCTTGGTTATTTCATTAATTTTGCTGTAATACAAACTCAATTTGGACTCAGTGGACTCAGTTGTACATTGAGGAAAGGGCTGCAGAAGCCTAAATTATCAATTTTAGAGCTTCCTGCAAGATGATATTTATTACAACTTCCTCTTAAGAGCTATGGGTTTTGTTGCTGTATCTGGGCACCTTGCTGGTGGAGTTTTATCTTTACTCTGATAGTGTGGGATGTAGGTGATGATATTAATTGGTGGAGCAGGGAATTCAATTCTCACCATGTAAATTAAGGCTCTGGCTCTGTTCCTCCTCTAACCACATGGCAACTTCAAAATTCCACAGGTCCTCAAGCAAGAACTAGGGGAAAAAAGACACCTTTGGACCCAGAAACTCCAGCTTTTGGAAAAATGCAATGAGTCCTTAGAGGAGGATTTTATTCGAGTGGCAGACAACCTAAGGAGAACCAAGACAGAAGAACTTCACCTAAGGAAAAAGCTCTCTGCTAGGTACCCCTTCAAAGCATCTGTGTCTTTTTTGGGCAGGCGAGGTTGGGTTTTGGTTTGGTGGTTCTTTTGGTTTGATTTGGTTTTGGGGTTTTTTTCTGGTTGCTTAGCTGTTTAGTATCTTATTTTGGGGTGGGTTTTTTAGTAGAACAAAGTCTACTGAATTCTCAAGATTTTTTTTTCACAGAGGAAATGGTCTTCTGTTTTGGAGAGTAGATCTGGTTTTAGCACAAGGTCTGCACTGTGTGGGAGTTAAGGTTTGTGAGTGAACTGATGTACTGCCTTGAAGGTGCCTTTGAAAACACCAGGGAGACCACAGACTGAGCAGTTAAAGCAAGAGGGCACTGCCTATTGAGCAGGTGTAGCTCTTAAGAAAACCTGCTGGGTTTGTGTGAAGCAGGAGAGCTGCTAAATATCTGTCTGCAGGTATTTTTGCTTTGGGATACAGTTGCTAGGCTCAGGGAAGACATTATCTCAATTCCCCAAGGGTGTAGCTTCAATGAGTTGTCATTGAATATGAAATGTGACTTTTTTGGCATATGGTTCCTTCTGTGAGTTGTGGCCTTAGAAACAGGATCATAAAATGGCCTAGGTTGAAAAAGACTTAAAGATCATCCATTTCTAAGACCCTGCCATGGGCAGGGACACCTTCCACTATCCCAAGTTGCTCCAAGCCCCATCCCTGGGTTTGGGATGTTCCTAGGGCTTGGCAGCCCTGAGAGCTGATGCAGAGCAGTTGTACCATACTTTTGCCTGACTTATCTTCCACTGAACCACCTATTACATGCTCTCCCTCCACCTGGAAAAGAGCTGATAAAAATACTGATGGCTTGGTTTCTTAAAGCTGTCTCTGTATCAAAATTGTGATGAAAGCAATAACAATAAACCCCAACCCCCCCCCCCCCCCCCCCCCCCCCATACCCCAAAAGAAAACCTGAGGTGAGTTAGAGAGGAAATGGGCAAGGGTTTCTGCAGTGGAAAAAAAGGGGTTTTATTGAAAGCCATCCTCTTTAGCACCGGTTCTGATGGCATCTGCTTGCTGTCAAATGAAATTCCCTCTCAAATGTGAAGAAATCAATCCATTGAAGGAGTAATAGCTCCTGGGTATCTTTTTCTAGAATGGCTGACTCTATATCCAACCGCTACTTCTCGAAAACCCATTCTGTTGTCCAAAGTGCAAAAGCTTGCCCTACTGAGCTCTTGCTTCTTGCCAGTTCTCTGGTGATTCCCCTGTGGTACCCAGCAATGTTACAGAAAGCCTTCATCCCCTTCCTGCTGTAAAAAAAAAAAAATAATGTCTGATTCCCTGGTGCTGGATCCTGGGGAGCTGCAGTGTGTGACAGCTGACTTTTGGTGCATGTCCCAGCAGCCAGAGTGTGTCACCTCCCAGGCCAGCCTGCTCTGAAATGTCATTAATGGGTTGTGGTTTGTGCTCTCTCTTGCTCCACAGCCAGCGCAAGGTAGAAACTGCCAAACAGCTACTAGAAGAAACTTTGGCAGGTGGCCAGGCAGAAGACCTGTGTTTAGAGCTGCAAAAAGCCAGCAAGCAGCTGGAGGATATCAGCGAGCACGTAAGGGGCAGCCCAGTTCCCTCTGTGTGGGGCAGCAGGAGATGCCAAGGGCCGCGTCCGACGCGCGGCTGCCCTGGGGAAGGGAATCGCGCGTTCCGAATGGTGTGCCTCCCTGCAAGAGTGGAACCAGCAGAGGAAGTAAAATTTGAGGGGGTGGTGACAACAGTTTGCTGATGAAAGAGGCAGCATTGCATATTTGTGGTGGCTTAAAAAAAAAAAAAGAGAAAAGAGGGGAAAAAAAAAAAGCACCCAAAAATAGCTTCCATACACAGTCCACCCCAACGTAAAAATGCAGAAGTTCAGAGGGAGCTTTATCACTTCCTGAGAAAGAACAGATGCAGTTTGGTTTCATTTACATGAACTGTAGAGCCTTCTTGTGCTAGCCAGGCTGCTTTATTTTATTTTTTTATTCCTTTCTTTTTTTCCCTAAATATTGTTTTGTGCTTAGGCGGAGGATCAAGCTGAAGCATTTCACTCTGCTCATGAAGAAGCAGCATCCTTGAAGATCAAGTTGGAGGAAGCCATTTCTGAGAAGCAGAAGCTCAGGGATGTGAATGCTGCTTTAGAAAGCACTTGCCAATTGCTTCAGGAGAAGGTGGAAGACCACAAAAGTGAGTAACTTCTGGAAATGTGCCAGCATTCACTTTTTGCATGGGCAAGTACTTCAGGGTTTAGTTACATCAAGGGAAAATAGGACTGATCTGCAAATCATCCAGGAAAATGCTCTGTGGAGTCTTGCTTGTTGTTTTGGGATTTTTCCCCCCCCTTTTTTTTCTACTTTTCCTTCTCCTTGAAGAGATCTGCCACCATCTGAGCTGAGAAGCAGGTGGGATCCTAAGGGAGTGGGTGTTGGGATCCACCAAAGCTTCAGAAGCTCCCAACAAAACCCCCAGTCCTAGGAAGGGGGATTAGTAATTCCACATATGGCACAGGTACTCCTTTACCAAAAGTGCTGTTCCCCACCTTATACCTAACAAAGCCTCCTGAACCAAACAGACTTGATTTTTGTATGTTCTGTGCTCTGTTTGCTGGTTGTGTTCGCTCTGTGTTTTTGACTAGCTGTGTGGTGTTAGGCTGCTCTCTTCAGTGGAAAGCAATCCTGTCACTGCCTTGTACACGTGCAACTTCTGCCACAGAGCCATGGAAACTTCGTATTGCCTCTTTCTGACTCACTTCCTGACATCAGCACCTCAATAACCTGGGCATTTAAGTAATGCAGAGGTCTGAATCCAGAACACATGGCCTTTTTCTTTCCTAACCCTGGAGTCTGATAACTTTCTTGGAGAAAAGGGATTTGACTGATTTAAGCCCTCTGAATGTTTTGCTCTCAGGCACACAGTTACCATATATGCTCAACTAATATGTGTGCACTGCAAAAAACTCCATGTGAAGCCACAGTTTGTCTCACCAGAAGAACTCCCTTGGGACCCTTTGCTTTAGCTCTAAGGCACAACTTTGCACTGATACGGCAGAAACAGCTCCAAACTGTGCTTGCTCCACTCTGACCAGTGTTTTGGTGTTCGTGTGTGTGCTCATGCTGCTTTCATGCCTCCCACAAACCATGCAGCTGCTTTATTTTGCCCTTAGCAAGAGGCATGACAGTGGAAATAGCTTGTCATTTTCCATCTCTGAGTAGATGAAGCGCTCCTGCAAAGTGAGCTTGAGTAGATCAAGCGAGAACCCCAGATATGTGAGACTGGTGCCACTGTGACTAAACCAACCACCCCACCACCACCCCAAAAAGAAAAGTCAACCCCCAAAGAACCACCACCACCCTGAAAATTACTAGCTAGGACCTTGGCTTTAAATTACTCCAGTTACTTGACAGAAATCTTTCTGTAGATAAATAAACCAGCAGATGTGTGGATAATTAGCAAAGCATTACGAAGAACAGGGCTGACAAACAAGGCTGGCACTGAAGAAAATAATAAAAATGCTTTATATTGGTTCCTTTAGAAAGGCAGACAGGTCTGGTGCCTCTTTTGACTGAAGGGCTGGGTTGTGGTCTCCTCCCCACCTACCCATTCCAACCCCCCACTTCCTCCCACCTGCACAGTAAGAGGGGGAAAATGCTTCTAAATACAAAGCCTGTGGACTTTAAAACTTCTGTACAGGATGTCAGGTGGAAAGGTCAAATATTTCTCTTCCCCCAAGCTGTAAGTGAAGGATCTGTTTCCACAGGGAACTGTGGCATCCTGTGGGGAAGCATTGCCCTTGATTTGCAGGTGAAGATGTCCAGGGTTTTCTCCTTCCCGTGAAAAAGCTGTTGCAGGCTTAACCAGACTAATGCAAACTCCAGTAAATTCTTATAAAGTGTAGTTAGAGATGCTGTAACATTGGATTGCTTGTTATCAAGTTGTTAGGAGCCCTGTTAGACTTGTAAATGTCTCTTCATAGCAACTGCTAATGCCCTGAGATGGGAACTGCTGCAGAGGCGTCTCTGTGAATTGCTGTGCCAGGTATGGTGCCCTTTGCTGGGACCAGGAAAGGTGGGCTTGCACAGGAAGGGCTCTGGTGGAAGGACAACACAGCTGAGACCAGCTGCAAACAGTTTGGCAGCACCTGATATCTTCTTTCCTAATGTGTACATAAGCTGTATGTATGAATCTGCATGTTATTTTCCTTATTCAGCCTTCTGGGAAAAATGTGTCAGGACTTACAGGTGTGGTGTTGGTCTTCACTGTGAGCAATTGTTGTGATTGTATCAAAAGGGGCTGAGGGAAACATTCCCTGATGCACTGGTGTGATTTTTGTCCCACTCTGCAGACAGGCTTTAAAACAAATGTTTAAAATTTCATAACATAAGGTTTTTTCAGTACCCAGACACTGGAATAGGCAGTGAAACAGTTATTAACTTTGTGGCCCTCTGTGGAGAAATACATTGGAAATTACATAACTCTGGAGTGCTTTGCTTTGAATAAAATTACTTGCTTCAACTTTGGGAGGGGGTGGAGGGGGAAACATTGTGGAGAGACTTTTTTCCCAACTGGTTCTGGTAAGGAACACTATAGCTCAGGATCTGAGCACTCTGGATTCAGCACAGACCAACAAGGTATTTAACAGCAAACAGAAGGTCCTGAAATGTCCCCTAGGCTGTGACAGGAGCATTAGAGGAGCAGAGTCAAAGCTGGGCCATCTGCACATGAATAAAACTTATTATATTTGTACATAAGGGTCTGCAGAATTTAAGGCTGAAGGTAGCAAGGGCAAACAGCTGCAGCATTTTGTAGTTGCAGTTTTGCACCTGATAGCGGCAAGTAGTTCAGTTGGAAAGATAAAGTTGCATTTTGCTCAGAATCAGTGGGGTAGTGCTCCTTCTCCTTTTTTTTTTTTTTTTTTGTTGGGTTTTTTTTTTCCTTACCTGCCTGCCTTAAACTCTCTCTCTATTACAACAGTGCTGTGCAGAGTCAGAGTCTGACTGCGCTCTGCTGCCCACGGTAGCTGCACACGTAAAAGGGAAGGTAAGTGTGCTTGCTGTGATCAGTGCTGAGCCTGTTAAAATGGGATGCTGGGTTTATTTGGGTGGGGGTTTTTCCCTTCATTACCTCAGGGAAATAAATAACATTCCTCATGAGAAACTTTGAGTTAAACAGTCTTTAAAAATAATTTGAGATCAGTATGTGTGTATGTGCATGCAGGTGTTTACATGCATACAAAAACATATTCCAAACTTTATTGCGAAGCTGGGTTCCTCTGAAGCATAACACACACATGTGATAAATTGCTTCTTGAGAAGGATCAGAGTCTGAAGATGGCACTTCGTTTCTTTTCCATTTTTCATTGTTGAAGCAACCTTAGGTCAAAAACAGCTCTGCACGTGTTTTTTCAGGAGTCTTCTCAGATGCCATCTTCTTCAGATGACACCTCTTGGCTTGGCTGAAATAGTGTGTTTTGGATTATTTTCTTTTTTTTTTCTTTTTACCTCCTTCACAGAACTAAGTGGCTACTTTTGTTCTTCTCTCAGGCTCATCTTGCCTGGTTTTGTAGGATTTATTTCCAGACCTAGCTTGAACCAACACGTTTTGTTGCAAGTGCAAAGTTTCATTATCCTGCCTCTTCCTGTAACTGTTCTGCCCATTAAAGATATGAGCTCTTCTGCTTTTCTAGACAAAAAAGCCACAGAAGATGTATTTGTGTAACTGTTGGTGTTACATTATGCAGATGCCTGTGTGTGGGGGGAGTTGGTGGCATTAATGTATTCAGTGCAGTAGAACAGAAGCACTTCTTATTTTTTCAATTAGCAGCTCCACTGCTCCAAAAGACCATGGAATGAAGGACCCACCTCGTACTCTGACTTTCCCTGGGCACTGCCCTTGGGTGCTTCACGCTGGCACAACTCCCCTTTGCTAGGTAAGACCTGGTAGTGTTGGACATTTCTGTCTTTCACCTGAAATAGAGAAAGAGTTGACAGAGCAGTCTCAGTAGTGCTGAGTGTGCTGCTGGAATGTGGAGAATCTGTTGTGGGCTTTAACCTATTTCTGCATGTAATCCAGGAATCTGAACCATGATTACAGTGCTTGCAGTGAAAGGCCTGAAGAGGTGGCTGTCTGTCAACCTGGCAGACTGTTCCCAAAATCTTCAGGAACTATTGGTATAAATTATACATCCAAGTATATTCCTGACAGGATGCTTGTCAGTCTGGGCCCAGAGGGTGTGAGTTCTGTTCTTCCCATCCCCTCTGACTGGGATGTCCTGCTCCTTGGCTGCTGAGCTGAGTCCTGGTTTAGCAACCTGAGCAGTAACAGAGCTACTGAGAATAAAATCATAGAGCGAGAGAATGGTTTGGGAAGGCACTTTAAAGATCAGCTAATTCCATCCCCCTGCCATGGACAGGGATGTCTTCCACTATCCCAGGTTGCTCAGAGCCCCATCCAGCCTGGCCTTGGACACTTCCAGGGATCCAGGGGCAGCCACAGCTGCTTGGGGCAGCCTGTGCCACTGTCCACTCAGCCTTCTCTTCTCCAGGCTGACCACCCCACCTTTCCCAGCAGATTGTACTTGTTGCTTTTTCTGCACTCCTGAGTTGTTTGAACTTCCCTGCAACTCTGGAGCCTTGTGAGGATTAAAAGCAGCCACTGACAGCCATGCATTGCAGGGCTTCAGAGCTGCAGGGTGCTGCATTTGGTATTTCACACACAAGTGTTTCTCCCAGAAGTGAGCTGGTACCACACAGAGGCTCTTCTCACACAGAATATACATGTTCAAGTGTAATTCCAGGCATTATTGATGGGAATGGAAGCAAATCTTCCTTTGCTACATGTTGCCAAACTCTCCATCTACAGAACAAGTTGAGGCCACACAATCAAAGCCTTTCTTACCAAGATAGAAGTTGCCTCATTATAAATCTCTGCTTGATTGGTCTGCTTCTTGGTTATTTTAGAGTTACCCAACAACTTGTAACTAAATCCAACTTTGCCAAGGACCACCTCTCTTCATGCTTGTCCTTCTTACCAGATGCTCTGACCTTGGAGACCTCCTGCCCAAATAACCCTCCTGGGCACAGCTGGGACCAGCCTTGCAGGCAGAGCTCTGGCAGCTGCACCTTGGAGAGGCATGATGTTGGACATGTGTCCAGCTCAGATGTGACCTCAGGAGGATGCAGGTAAGGTGATGTAATAACCTTTTTGGGGTGAAAGGGGGGGAAGAGTCAACAGGGTCTAGCAGATTCCATGCGCTGGATTCAACTGCAGGGCCATCCCTTAGAGGGAATACTGGACACCTGGTGATCAGCCCATGGGGATCCAGGGCAGCACTTTGCTTCTATTCACAGCTACCAGAATTCTTTACTGGAACTGCTGGTAACCAGCCAAATACCCTGATGGAGTTTCTATTTCATGCTGGAGAACTGAGAGATGATTTAGGTGTTCTTGTCTATCTTCCATGTTTAACTCTAATTTAACAATTAACACCAATTTAACAATTGGTGTTCCCATTAGGTGCCAAAATCCTATTGGCTTTGAGGAAGTCACTTTTTTTTTCTTTTGCAGAGCTTAGAGCAGGAATTCTGAGGTCCTTGCATATCAAGTTGCCTCCTTAGATCTTTAAAATAGAGATTGAACTGCTTGAGATTATGAAAGCTGAAGTGAATTGCAGTGAATATTTTAAAAGATGAGGATGTTCCTGAAGGTGCAGAAGCAGGCAGTCTGCAGCAAGAGACTCAGCAGCTCTCAAAGCTTTTGCCACTGGTTTTCTGTAGAATAGTGCAGTGTGGAGGAGGTTGGGAAAAGGGCTGGTGGTGGTTCTCGCTGTTTGGGGGAGGAGAGATTGATGTTGGTGATGAATTTTTCCTTCCCTAAGAGACCAGCTGACTGACTGCACAGAGAGTGGTGACTTCAGTTGTTATGTGCTTAAGGAAAATGGGCACTCTATCTCTCTGTTGTTTGGGCAATATGCAAATAAAGCCTGTGTTGCCAGGTGGAAAATATGCTCTGCTGATGACTACACTGATGCAGACCTTCCTGTTTCCATTACAATGATGGACTCTTCACTTGCTGAGGTGAGTGCTGGCTCTGATGCCCGAGATGTGGTTTTGAACAGGCTCGAGCATTTCGTGCCTTGCTCAGACCCAGGTGCAGATGGCTCAGCTATAAATCAGCACTGCTCCACAGTGGATGGAGCTGGCACCAGTCAGCAGGGTGCTGTGGGGGGTGTTCCCTTCTGTTTGGGCATGTTTCTGCAATACCTTGGTTATAAAATGAAATGTCTTGATATTTTGTGTCTTGAACATCAAGACCCAAAAACTGGGTCATGCTTTTAGCTATGGAGTGTTTTAAATGTGGTTTCAAGGCTGGAGATAGTGCTGGTTCTGCAGTAACAATTGATTCTGCCAGGGAAGAACTGAGTGTTTTCACTCCTTTTCTCCACCTGCAAGGAGCCACAGGATGCTTCAGTTGGGAGTACTGCCTTTCTTTGCACTTCCTCCCACAGGCACCATATAACAGCTTAAAAATGCCATCTTTGCTGTAGAGGAGCTTTCCTTCAGCTGGTGTACTCAGCTATGCCTTCACTGCTGCCCTGAATCCTGCATCTAGAGCTCGAGCTGCAGTTCCCCTGTGGCAGCAGCAAGAGAAGCTGCAGCTCAGCACACCTAAGCTGTGCTTCAATCCTCACTATTGAAGTCTAGACCTCAGCTCCACCACACAGGGCTCCTAATGAGCTTATGAACTCCTGTATTGGTGGGGATGGTGGAAGAATATTGATCAGTGGTTTCTGTAAATCTGGAAATAAGCTTTTGGGACCACAGAGTAGCCAGCCTCAGGGTGAACCTGCCTGGTGTGTGGCACCTGTGAGTACAGGATGGTCTGGTTGTAGTGGTAAATCAAAGCAGAAAGTGCAGTGTGGGTAGAAAGTAAGAGTGCTGGGGACTCTGTGGTTTCAGCACACTGGGGTAGAGCAGGTGAAGAACTCCCAGCTTGTGCTGCTATTAAGTGCCCTTAAAGAGGATCCTCTCAATGGTTCCTACTTTATCCAGTCCTTCTGGAAAGTCACAGCTGTGCAAAGGTGTGTGAAATATCTGTGCTTTGTTGCTCTGGGGCTTCCTGTAATTCCAGCTGGGCTCAAAAATTTCTCTTTCCATCCTTGTTATCACTTTTTAGTATAAGCTTTGCACATGAATGTTCTGAAGGGGGGAAATGAAAATGTTTAAGCTTGGCCCAGAGAAAAGGCAAATGGGCTGTGCCCAGTATCTGTTCTAAACACTGGTATGTAGGAAAAGTTGCATATCCTTATTCAGTACAAAAAGTCTCCCTAGTTTTCTTTGGAGTTTTACTACTCTGCAGTTGCAGATGTATTTGAGCAGATCAGCTCGTAAGTAACTCTATTTGTGCAAATCATTGTCACCATAGAAGTTCAGGGGCTACTTAATAAAGGAGCACTTGAGAGCCAAGTGAAACTTGGGCTTTTTGTTCTTGTTTGGCTTTATAAATGTGGAAGTTGTACCACAGCCTGAAAACCAGACAGGTCTTCCAAATGTTAATGATTGTTTGGGAGGAGTTGTACACAACTGTGGCCAGAATTCATTGGCTGAGATAGAGAACCCTTGGATTATTACGCTGGAGGGATGGACGTGGGAAAAGTGATTAGGGATGGGCTTCAGGATCTTCTTTGGCTGTTCTTCATCATTAAAGGACTGTGCCATTCTCCAACACTCTGTGCCAACAGATTTTACTGTGAGGGTGGGGAGGCCCTGGCACAGGCTGCCCTGAGAAGCTGTGGCTGCCTCATCCTTGGAAGTGTCTAAGGCCAGGTTGGATGTTGGTCTGAGCAAGCTGGGATAGTGGAAGATGTCCCTTGGACATCAATGTTGGAACTTTGATCTTTAAAGTCCCCTCCAACCCAAACCATTGTGTGATTCTATTTTATTCTAAAAAATCTAGAATGTGGTGTTTCTCTTTAATTAGGATTTTTTTTTTCCTGTTATGTGGAATCCATGGGGGCTTTTCTTCATTGCAAACAGAAATCACTGACCACGTGCCCATCTGGGCAGGTATAGATAATGTAGCATAATGTGTCATTTCAGTTCTAGGTGATGCAAGGGCTTTTCTATTTGCTTGGGTGCTGTGTATTAGTTTTAAAAGCCCTTTAGATTTTTTTTCTTTCTAACATGATGGTATTCTCCCTCCCCAATACTTCTGCAGACCCAATGGCCAGAACAAGGCAAATGTATTGCTGCACTTCCTCAACTTATGAGAGAATTCAAATAACAATAATAAAAATAGCCTAAATTTGCATTAGGGGAAGCATCCACCTGGCTGGGCCAGGGCTGTGCAAGAGCAGCCCAGCTCTGACAGGGCAGGGAGGAGGGAAAAGGCACTTCCTAATGCTGGGAGCAGTTGGTCACTCTTAGGAATGACCAGGGCCCTTGGATACCTCCTGTTCTCATTTGCTGGGTTTCCTGTGTCCTCTGAGGGCATTTCAAGGGGGTAGGAAAGATACCAGAACACAGGCAATCACTTGCTGATGTGGTTTTTCTGTTGTTTCTCCACACACACTTCAGTAGTGCTCTTGGGTGCTTGCTGTGTAGGGAGCTGTTGTTTGCCCTCCTTCCTTCTTTTCTTGGAGAGAGCAGGAGGTTTGGGCTGGTTTTGTTTTCTGTTTGGTGCTTTTCTTCAACAGTGGGTGTAATTCAGCACAAGTCATTACCAACTTAACCCTTTAAAGCTCATCAGTTCCCCCCTGTATCTTCAGCCATAAAGAGAGACCAATCCAACAACTGAATAAGCAAGCTGGAGCTTTCCAGGGTGAAATGCAGAAGAGGGATATTGCACAAATAGCACCTCCCTCGAAATTCAAAGCCTCAAGAGGATATTGGTTTTGTCTGTGATGTGATAAGGCTCAGGTCCAAAACCACACTGTGGCAACTAGAGGAACATGAGCAAAACTGCCAGCTTTTAATTGCTTTGTTCCTCTGCTGCTTGCACACCAGGGAGGCTTGAGGCCTCTGAAGGGGCTGGGTAATTGTCAGATATAACATTGATGTACAACACAGCACACAAGTGTTCTGAACCATCTGCTTGCTCGTGCTGTGACTATCGGCACTTTTATATTTACCTAATGAGTCTGATCTCTACAGCCAAGTGAAGCTCTGTGCACCTCATTTGTAGGTTTTGGGCTCCAGACCCTGAAAATGGATCTCTCCCGATGCACAGAGTTAAGATGGAGCAATGGCGGTGCAGTAACATGTTTGTTGGTCATTGTAGATGTGACTTAGGAGCCAACCACAGAGTGGGGAACAAAAACACCTCTCTGAGTACAACATTCCTGAGATGGCTTTAGACTAGTGGGTGAATCTGTGAACTTACCAGCTAGTTCTTCACTGCTGGAGTAGTTTAGGCGCAGCTGGGAAAGTCAAAGTTTTGACATACAAGTTTTATACTGGCATTGATCTTCTGATACTCACTCTTTTCTCTCTCTCTGAAGATTGACCATGAGGAGTCAACACCACCAGCCATGCTGATTGCATCCAGGTCAGGTCTTGTGCAAGATTTAAAAGACTTCATTAAGATCTGTATCCTGTGGATGAGTATCTGAAAGGGTTTTGTTTTGGCAGTGATCACTTACCATCAGCCCAAGAAGCTCTTGCATCCTCAGTGGAAAGCACAGCACTGGTACCAGGTGAGTCCTTAACCTGGGGCGCTGGGAGTCTTGGATGTGCCCAAGTCTGTGTGTTTACTGAACAAAGAAAGCTGTGTTTCTGCTGTCTGGTGTTGCAGGCTGCCTTGCTATGGAGGAAAGCTCCTCCAAGGGCTTACATGAGAGAGGGGAAGATGTGCCAACTTCTGTGGCAGTGGAGACAAGCAGCAGTAAGGAGCCAGCTGCTCCCATGGCAGGTACGGTGGCTGCTTCACTGCCTGTTGCTCACCCTCGGAGGAAATGGTTTGCTTCCAGCACATCTTTGAAGTGAGGAAGCTGAGTAAGAGCAACAACATGAGAATTTCTATTTTTGCAAGTGTTTTCACTTGCCAGTGCTCTCAAGCCTCTGTGAAGCTGAGTTGGAATAAAGTTTTTTACCCCTCTTACCACAGCACTGCAGGCAAGGGAGCATGAAACAACTTTGTGAGACCTTGGGCCTTGCTCAGCTGGTAAAACAGTGAGTGGGTAGAAAATTCCAGACCATTTTGACAAGAGAAAACACGTTTTTGTGGGTTTAAACAGTTATTTAGTTCAGCAGTGCCACTAAGCACTTTCCTCTCATTCAAGGCTGTTGCACCAGAAGCTGGGATGGGTCAAGAGGTGAGATGAGGGTAGAGGCATTTGAATATTGTCCTGTCTTTGCTAGAGCCATAAACACCCACCAGATTCTTACCAGCTCTCATGATTTTCTTCCACTGAAAAACTATAAAATCAAACCAAAACTGAAGCATCTGTACACACTGTATATAAGCTGATTTTGTGAAGTTGATCTGAATAAGCAGTGCAGAATACCTGTGTGTGTTTGTTTATAATATCTTTTTAATCTTTACCTCAATATAAGACTACAGTTGCTTGTTTGGTTTTGTTGCTTTCCTTGGTACTATCTTCCTGAAATCTAATTCTGTCCCATCATTTAAAAGCATTTTCTTTCTACTAATCTCCCTCTACTGTTAATTTTCATATGTGATCCAGGTGCCTTTAGCTAAGAGGAAGCAGATATGCAGAACAAATTTAAAGAAGTCTCAATAGCTTTAGAGTCTGAGAGTCCAGATATCTGTTGCACATCTCTGAAAAGAAAGTGTTCCTAGAACTAGAACTGATAAATCTCCCCTTGCAGGCTTCCAACTTGAAGCTGGAGTTTTTCTGGTTTTTTGGGTTTTTTCTTTTTTTGTTTTTCTCTGTGCCATTTCTTTGGCTCACAGCTATGTGACTGCATAAACAGAGAAGAAAACAAAATATTCTAGATGTTTTTAAAGGTATAAATACTAATTAAAAGCTGCCTCTTTAAACAGCAAACATACCAACAACAACAAAAAAATCTCCATGCTGGTAGCAAAATAATAAAATTTATTTATCCAAGGGAATGTTACTGTAACTCCTGCATCTTAAACTACAGGAAGTACATTATAGTCTCAGCTGTAGACATATAACATTTCTTATGGGGATTTTTTCCTATCTTAGTTATCGTACTTCTTCCTATGTGTCTTTATAGTGTTCTTTGCTGCCTCCTCTCTTAGTGGTCTTTCATGGCATTTGGTGCAGTTTTTTAGCTTGGTTGGCCCATGGCTAAAATGATGGGTGTTGGAAGCTGGGTGTGCTTTATTAATTGTTACATTTGGATTTGGGAATGTTTTTCACAGGACCAAGTCAGATCACAAGGGAATCCTCCCTGGCCACGGAAGAACACAAGCCTGTGTTTCAAAATGTTTTGAAGCAAGACCTGGTAAGAGTGCTGGTGACAGTGAAAAGCCCAGCTGGGTTGGCTGAGCAGTGACAAAGGAGGGGAGAGGCCCCTCCAGGGGTGGTGTGGCTGCTCCCTTGCTCTAACTGCTCTGATGTGCCCTTAGGAAGCGGACCAGGAAAAGAAAAATAACAAAGAGCGGAGTGAGGAAGCACTAGCTGTGGTTCCCAGCAGGAAAGGTAAGGGGGTTTTGCTGCACACCTTCATGTTACTGGAGCACAAGCTGAGTCCAGAGCTGTGTAGAGAGGTGCAGGGAGTTGCCTGTCCCACACAAAGTGTGATGTTTTAGGGCTTGGTACTTGCAGTTGGAGATCACAATGACTAGAAGAACAGTGGTGTCATGCAAAATCTGCTGCTCTGATTTCTGCAGATACTGATCTAACCAGCTTCACATTCCTCTAGACAGGAGGAAAATTCTTAGCTGCAAAGGAGTTGGGATATTTGAAACAGTTTTGGCACTCCTGTTCTCCCCAAAGATTTGTAAAAGAAGCATTTCTGTGCTATCCATGATATAGAGGTGCAGGATGTTGTTTCTCCTTAGACGTATCTACTTTTCAAATCAACTCCTCTTTTGCCTTTGGAGATCATTAAAAGCTGGTGAGGTAGTAAATTGCATAACATCCTGAAGCAAAAACCTTCAATTAACCATTTCTGTGCTAATAAGATGCCAGCTGAAGTGCCTGAACAACTGATTTTCGGGGCTTTGTACAGGTGGCAGTGCTGTGGTGCCTCACAACACACAGAACTTGAGGCACATGAGTTCTTTTCAGTGGTGAGAGCTTAACACTGGAAATCTTGAACAGGGGGTTCTGTGGAAGCTTAAAAGTCTCTCACAGGTTGGTTTGGGGAGGCTATCTTTTCACTTTGGTCTGAAAATGGGTTTTTTTTGGTCTCTTCTCAGGGAGTTCACCCACTGCAGGTGGCGTTAAAGGAGATAAAACCAAGCAAAATGATCCGTAAGTGTTTCCACTTTCAGTGATCACCTGCAGGTATGAATTTAAAGCCACAGTCTGTTCCATGGCTCTTTTTCTTCCCCTGCAGTGACTCCCCAAATGAGAAGGAAGTGGAGGTAAGTCTCAACTGCTTGTATCCTGAAGTATTTCAGACATCAGATCTTGTAGATAAACTCCTCCTATGTAAAAAAATGATCCAGCTTAAACTGGATGTATTTCTGTAGGCTAACTTCTGAAATCTCTTTCCAAGCCTAATGGAAATTTTTGCAGGAGATGGGATGGAGAAAGGTGGAAATCTGTAAAATTGAACAAAGACTTGTCACTACTGTGACATTTGTTTGCAAGCTTGAAGGAGCATAGCCGTGACCTCCTCCCAGGCAGAATGTGCTGATTTAAGACAGTTTTGTCAAAAGGCACAGATGGCACATTGTGCTGCTAGGATGTCACCTCTTCTGGCTGCAGAACATTCCCACCATCACTACAGATGGGAAGACCTGCTTTAAGGAAGTGGGTCGTGTTCCCTTATTCTTCTGTATCTCTCCTAAACTTTGGTCACAGGGTATAACCCCAAATGTCATATCAGTGACCAAATCTACTTAAACTTCTGCATCACTTGGATTCCTCTGAAATCTTTTCTCCCATAACAGGCTGAATTTCTGAGGCTGTCTTTAGGTTTTAAGTGTGACTTGTTTACCTTGGACAAAAGAGTGAAGCTTGAAGAGAGGTCCCGAGACCTGGCTGAAGAAAACTTGAAAAAGGAGATCACAAATGCTGTGAATATGTTAGAGGTATGGCCAGGGCTAGCAGGGTGGATGGGACAAGTAGATGTGAGTGTCTCTTAAAACAGCTCTTTAAAGTGGGAGTGTGTGCATGGGGGGTGCATGATGAGCAAATATGAATGAAGGTCTGGGGCAATGCAGTTGAATTATGAGAGATTATGAAGGGCTGTTGAATTATGAGAGATTACGAACGGCAACCCTGATCCAAGTGTATTGCATGCTCAGGCAGCAGGGAATTTTTCTGTTGCACAAACATCTGACCCCTGCTTTAGCTGCTTTTATGCTCCAGTCTCTGCCCACTGGAGCTCTCTATCCAAGTTACACCGATTAAGGATGTTGATGTGGGCCTGAATGCAGCTTCTCAGTGTCATCAGGTCAACCTTCATTCTCTGTTAATAATTCACACCAGTTTTCTTACCAATGTGTGCTCTTAGGCTTTAGTTCCTTTGTGTGAAGAAGATAACCAGGCACAGGAGATCATTAAGAAGCTGCAGAAAAGCCTGCAGTTCCTTAGCCAATACGCAGCTCGAGTTGCCAGCAGAGCAGAGATGTTGGGAGCTATTAATCAGGTAACACTTTCCATCTAAAAATACTGTGTACAAAGCTAAAAGCTTCTAGCTGCAAAGGGATAGCCACATCTTGCTGGGCTTATGGTTCCAGGATTGCATTTGGGAATCTGGTGTGTGTAGTGTAGACTGGTCAGAACAGCTTAGTCCTGGCCTTCTCTATGTGTCCTTATAAGGAATCCCAGGCACTGAGAGCAGCTATGCTGCACTAGAATTGTGCAAAAACCCACAGCAGAAATAAGGTTCTGGTTGAAAAAAACCAAACAATAAAGACTTTGCAGCAGTGAGATGTACAGAATACCAAGCAGTGTGGTAACAATGGCCTTGATGCTGCAAAGGTGGTTCTGTACCTTATGGAAAGGGCAGCTAATCAGCAAAATGACCAGGTCCTGCTCAAATGTGAGGTGTAGTTGTGTATAATACCCCAGAGCAGCATAATAATGACTTGGCAATACCAGCAAATGCATGGTGGCAGCTGAGACTGCAGATCAGAGGAAGTGATGATGATGAGTTGTAAGAGCTTGGCAAACTGAAGATTGATTGATGGATTTTACAACAAGAGTGATCCCCAGAGAAATGAAACCTGTGTACCATGTGCCAGGACAGGGGTTGTAGTGAAGCTTTGAAAAGGAGGATAAAAGTGAGATAGCAGAGGAGAGCAGATGCTTGAGGGGGAAATCTCCAAACATGAGGCAGTTCCTGAGAGCTGCTGCTTTGCCTGCTCCCTCAGGAGAGCCGGGTGAGCAAGGCTGTGGAGGTGATGATCCAGCACGTGGAGAACCTGAAGCGCATGTACGCCAAAGAGCACGCCGAGCTCGAGGAGCTCAAGCAGGTCCTGCTCCAGAATGAGAGGTCCTTCAGCTCCCTTGGAGACAGAGGTAACCAGGAAAAGCCTCTTTCCCCTCTCTAGCACCTGCCAGACAGGCCCTTATAGCTGCAGAATAGTCGTATAATCTATAATCCCTCCGCATCTTTGGTGACAGAATTATACAGTGGTTTTGTCACCTCTTCTAAAAATGGGGGGGGAACAGCCATCTATTAACACTATTAAAAGTAGCTCTCTGAAATTAAACTTGTACCTAAACTGTCATGGGTCTCAGGGTGTGTGTGGGACACCACTGCAAGCACACAGGAATGTCCTGGCTTTCAGCAAAGTGCATGGCATGTGCTGGTGATAATCTTATTCCTTGTGAGCAGTAAGTTTAGGTGCATGTTCACAGTAGCTATTTCTAGGTAGTTGAGCTTTGGCTGCTCTCTACAGCCTGCACCCTTTCTACATGGGAAATTACAAACCCCTTAGGTGCAGGAGGCCTCTATTTGTAAGCAGCCAGGTTTGCAGCCAGTGTTGTGCACTTGTAGCTTTGCCAGGGATGTATTAAACTCTTCTGAAAAATAGGGTGTGTTTTTTAAGTGCCAAAAGGGAAGTCTTCCACACCATAAAATCCTTGCAGGAGCCTTTTGGATTGCAGTCCTGACTGCAAAAGACAGTCCTGTAACAGGAAACTACCTCAATAATGGAATATATTTGATGATAGTGACAGAAGTTGATGCTTGCGGAGGATGGGTGATGTGTAAATGTTATGAACTTATTTAATGAAATAGGAAGCTTTTTTCTGAGACCTCATTTCTGCTTTCTGAGAGTGTTTTGCTAAACAAACACTGCAGAAAGTCAGACCTTAGGCTGCAAATTAAACTCACTGCACTCCTGTTAGCAGCAAAATCCTACTGTAAAGCTCTGATGTCTGATGTCTTCACAGATGAATCTATGAATAAGAAGCTACCAGGTCCTTTTAACTTTAAGGTAATGGTTCCAACATGAAATTTCTATTTTTTTTTTAAGTGTATGTGTGGGTTTTTTTTGTTTTATGTGCTGGTGCTCTGCTGCATGCTTGACTTAGTGCTTTTCTGTCACAAATATAGGCTGGTGTCATCAAACATGAGGATCTACTTTCAGGCACCCCACCAACCTTCTAAGTGGTCCCCCTTAGTAGATGGAAAAGTGGTTGGGCTCTCACTCACTGGTTAAGAAATATTGTTCATGTGTGGTTCTCTTGGAATTAAAGGAGGGTTTAGCACAAAAATATGGGAGCAGTTCAAACTGCTGAGTGTAGGAATTCCTGTCAGCCGGGTTAGGGGTATTTAGTTACCTTCAGTGTTGGTATTTTGCTAGAAGCTGTGCAGCCAGCCTCACTCAGATGGGCAGAAAGCACTTACTGTGGAAAGATGCTGCTTGAAAGAGCTGATTTGATCTGCACTTGAGATTGGATTCTTTGTGTTACTTCACGCTAGGTGTCAGCATCTCTTTTCAATATAGCCTGTACAAACCAGATGGTATTTTGTGTGCTCAGTGGGTAACCCAGTTGTGCCTTGCTAAGAGCCAGTAATGCCTCTTATTTGTGTAGCCCTCGTCAGCCCTGAGGAGAGTTAGCATTGCAACAGTGCCCAGGAGCGCTGGGATTGCAGGGATTGGGGTGCCACTGGTAAGTAGGGCTGCTGGAGGGATGCTGAGGTGCTTCACCTCCCCAAAACTGGCTGGGATGAAGCATCAGAATGCCAGTGCAGTAAATGTGGCAAATTTCTCCTCCAGGCACAGTTCCATGAACCTGATGGGGATGAACGGAGTGACAGATTCAGCAGGCGATCAAGCAGTTGGTAAAGTCACCTGGGCTTGTCTTTGAATGGAGCAAATATTTTTCAACTCTAGCTGTGCCTGTAGTAAGCAGTTTATGGAGCATCTTGGGTACAATAATGTTTAGGCTACACCTTTCACATTATTTTTATGTGCTATAATAGGTAAATGAGCCTTGTGAGCTCACCTTTTTTATTTATTGAGCATTGAGAGCTTTAAAAAAAAATCCCACAACTTTCTTACTTTAGAACTAAAATGTGAAATCTGAATATCTACAGCGGATGGATCTGTACTTTTGTTTGATTTCATTTGGGGTTTTTTTAAATGGTCCTAATTTTGAGGAATTAAATTTGTAAGTTATTTGTCTGTGGTTAACCAAATAAGTAGGCTGCTGCTAAATTTCTGATTTTCTGCTCTCTATCTGCTGGGGAAAATTGGACAAATGTGTTTAACACCTGGCAGGGGCAGGCTAGGAGTGAAGCAGAATGAGAAGCGCCCTTCACTGCAGAGGTTCCTCAGCACCTATTCCTGGGCAGAGTATGAAGAGGAGCCTTTTGAAACCAAGTAAGTTCAGCAGTAGCCTCCTCCCAGGTATGCTGGTTTAGTTTTTAATGAGCTTTTAATTCACCACCTGGTCAGGGCTATAAAGCCAAGCTGTTGTGAATTTGGCAAAGCTTTGGAGCTGTTGATTCTTGTTTACAGGAATGAGCAGTTGGAATCACCTGCTGAAGTACAGGAACAACCAACTAGGAAGGAAAGTGTCTCTGAAAAAGGAAAACACCCACCCAAATGGACCCTGGAGTCAATGTAAGTTTCTTTCACAAGTTAAAGGCATGTTTGGGAGGTGCACTTGAGAAGAGGGTTCAAACAAAAGGCCAGGACTTTCAGTGCTTTCTAGGAGCAAGATTTCTTGCTGCTCTTGCAAGGCAGCTTTTGTGAATCCTCTTCAGAACCACTGTGAGGAACAGGGAGCATGGATGGATGGTTGAGCTGGCCAGCTTATCAAGAATTTGCTTCCTTGACTGTATTTTAAACTCAGAACAGTTTAGCTCCCCCTGTACAGCTCCCAAAACAGTAACAACCTGTCACTCTTGATGTTTGTGAGATCTAGTTTACTCCAAGGCTGGGTGGGGTGGGAAGAGTTGCACGTTTTGGGGAAACCCTGAAGGGCTCTGTGCTTTCCTGCCCTGCCCAGGTACAATTCGATGTCAGCGCGGGCGTCCCACCTCAAGGCTTCCTTCTGCAACGCCAACAAAACCCTCTGGGCGTCCATGTCCATCCTGGTCCTGCTGGCTGCTCTCACCAGCTTCCTGGTGGGGCTGTCCCTGCAGAGGCCAGCAGATGCAGCCCCTGTGTGCAGTGGGAATGCCTGGAGGACGCTGCAGCAGCTGCTGTGGCCCTACATAAGACTGCGGCACTTCGGCCCTCCCCCGATGTAACCCCGGCTCTGCTGCCGGGGCTGTGCTCTGCAGGACAGGAGCTGAAGCTGGCCTTATTTAAGGTTACTTGTCTGGGTTTGTTTTGTTGGGTTGTGGGTATTTTTGGGGGGACAGATCAAGTTTTTTTCTTTAAAGCATGACTTGAAATGAAAAAAAAAAATTCCTATTCTGACAAAAGTCATCTTTAAAAGTAGCTAAAAGGATCTCAGCTCTACTGAGGTTTACAAAAGAACAGCAATTTTGAACGTAACTAACAATAAACATGTCTAGGTGGTCTGGCCACAATTGAATAAAGAATTTATTTTGCTTGAACAAAGATAAAATGTTTGCATTTCAGAACCTGTTTCAGTGTTTTGAATAGAAAAGGATTTAAGACTTGAAATGTAACTTTATTGAAAGCTTTTGATAATAAAGTTTTGAAGGAAAGCATGCAGTAGTATCTAAGAGTATGCTAAGACTCTGGTAGCGAGGAGCAGCTGATACACAGAATCAATGAACAGGCAGCCAGCTCTTTCCACTTTATCCATGGCTTCATTGCTGGCAGAATCCTTGACCATATGGTAGAGTGTGGAGTGAAATTCAGACTCTTCTTCCAGCTCTTCTGAAAAAGCTTCACTGGTTTCAGTGAGCTTGAGGTGTTGCACTTTCTCACCATTGAACATCAGCAGAGACCAGTGGTTGCCTTTGGCAGAACCTGCCGTGAGATGTTCACTCACCTATTGCAGGAAGAAAGGCACTGAGGTGAAGCCTGTGCCATTGTCAGAGCACAAATTCCAATATTTGTGTGTCCCATGCATTTAACCTGAGAGTGAGACAGCCACTGCAGCTCTCACAGTGGGCTGTGCTGCCTTTGTCCAGCCACACATGGGAGTGTTTGTCTGGCTGGGAGAAGTTTTAACCATGTGTTTTAGTTCACAGGTGGAGACAAACCAACAGAGAGGTTGCTCATTGCCTGCTTTGCAGCAGGGAGCAAGAGAAACCCTCCAGGCAGGAACAAAGTCCCAGCTGTTCTTTAAAAAGCTGGCAGAGCAGATAGCTGATTTTCAAGGGGCCTCTGGAGAGCATGAAGCTCTGTCACCCCAGCTCTGGCTAAAGCCTCCCTTGGGGACTTTTCAGTTCCATTTGCCTTAGCAAGTGTCTTTGTTGCTGAGCCTTGTGTCCCCTGAGAGCTCTCAGGTGCAGCCTGTGACACTGAACTGAGGCAGGGGCTGAAGCCACCACGGGTGAGTTAATTGTTTCTAACTGGGGATGGGGTCAGTGCCAGCCTGCCCTGGAAGTCTGGGACTCCACAAACCTTGAACACAACTTGCTCTGGCCCTGCTTCTCCATTCCACTTGCTGTGAGCAAAAGCAAAAGCAGCTGAGAGCAGAGCCATCTGTCCATAGGCCTTCCCTTCTGCCAGGGCAGCCTGCAGGGCACGATACAAATCAGACAAACACATCTCTCCATCTCCCTGTGCTGCAGCAGTGCCAGAGCCTGCTTTACTCAGCCCTGCCTCTGCTGGCAGCACAGCAGCTCCCAGGGCAGCAAAGGGTGACCTGAGGGAAAAACAGGGAAAAGCCACCAGGAACTCCTCTGTCACTCACCTTCCTGGGCACAGGGACATACTTGGGAGAGTACTCTGCTGGGAAAATGTTCACTCCAGCTCTTTTCAAAGCTGCTCTGAGGGCAAGAGGACTCATCCATTTCCCTGTGATGTGGGAAAGCACCTCCTCCTCTTCCACCACTACTGAAGACAACATACACTGATTATCCTGTTGTACAAACCAGTGAAAGCAACTTATGGTCATGGAAGCTCCTTTCTGGTTTAGGCTTCAAATATTGATATTTTTGCTCTGCTGGGTATTACCCACATCATCTGCTACTCTGGGCTGTGACCTTTCAGCCAGCCTTGTGTAGGAATCAGAAATTACACTGGTGTACTGATTTATACACCAATGAACAGATGGGTAATCATGAGTAGCTTGAACTTGGGGAAGAAACAAGGAGCATGAGTAGTGGGCTGCTAGAACTCCCTGTATTTCTCTTGGTAGAGCTGGGAGGAGAGGGGAACACTTTTCAGCTCTCTAACAGGTGCAACAGGCTTGAATGCAGCAAGGCAAAACCAGCAGCAAAGCACTGACTGAAACTTTCCAGAGCAAATGCACATTTCTGCTATGTGAAATGTACTATTTCTCATAGTAAATAACTGAAATTAAATAACCAGTGCAGTGCTTGGAAAGGAAGAGAGATTCAAATTACTCTTGTAGAAGCATCCCAAATTCTTAATCAGGGACAATAATTATGGGGCTTTTTATCTGCAAATGTTTGATTAAAAAATTACTGACAGTACCTTAATTTGTATCTGAATAGTTGCAAAGACTGCAGTAACTGTGAAGAGTCCTTCATCCACACCAGTAGGGTGCAATTCCCAGGCCTGATAGGGCAGGTTCAGGTGAGCATCCTGGAGAAGGGCTACTGTATAAAAGTCACCCATGCTAAAGGTGATGCTCTTTTCTTCTGCTTCATAGGTTATCTTGCTGATGCCATCAGTTCTCCACCATTGGCCTGGACAAAGAGGATGGAAAGATGTACATGGAAGGCTTCTGGCAGTAATGCTGAAGTAAAACAAACCAAAGAAGTAGTATAAAAAGAAAATGTAAAATCCCCAAATCAATTAACATTCAAATCCCCAAACTATTTCTGGGCTCCAAACTGGCCCTTATCTTTACAGCTGGATTGTAACAAGAGTCCAACTCAGGTATAAATTCCACTATTCAAATTTGAAATAAATTTTTGTTTTAAGTTCAGACCTGCAGGATCCCATCGGGCTACCACAGGCATTTTAAAATAAATCACATTATCAGGGAGCCTCAGGGTTATCTGTACTGCTTCCTGTGTGCCATCTTCAGCCTTTCCTGGGGAATATGGATACACCTCCAATCCAACATCCAGCAGCTTTGGCAAGAGAGGAAAAGGACAGATAAGGGGTTTATCAGAAAATGCAGGTTTTTTTCTTTGAGTTCATCTAATACTGCAAAGCTTTTTAACACCCATTGAAAATGGTTTGCTAATACTGCACCTTTCCAAGCTCAGCTTTGGAGGCAGGAGAAGAGCAGCTACCAGGAGGCCTTGGGCCCTTCCTGTGCTGCTGCAGGCACCCTCAGGGCAGGGCCCAGCGGGGCACAGCCATTCCTCACAGAGCCCAGCCTGGGAGCAGGGGAGGCAAAGGCAGCTGTAATCCCACTGTCCCCACAGTGCCAGAGGGAAGGGGAGGTCACAGGGGCTGGGAATGAACATCCTGGGCCTCTTCCCCTGCCCACAGTCCTGCTCTCTGGGTTTGGCTTTTTGGGAATTTTGCTTATTAAAGGTTTCCAGCTTCAGTGCCCTCTGTGGGGTAGGGCAGTGCTAGAGGAAACCAGAACCCAGTGCCCACAGTCCTCAACCAGCCTGCAGAGCCTGGAGCTGAACCAGCAGTGGTTTTTGGTACCACTGTGCTTCCACCTTTCACACGTGAAAAACTGATCATTTGTAAACCTTGCCTGGTCAGTTTGCGGTCAGGAACTCGCGTGCAGTGCATGTGACAGCAGTGACAAACCTCAGGAGCAGCTCCTCAGGGCCACCAGGGCTGCTCCCTGTCCTCCCTCACCTCCACCATGGTCCAGTCCCCGGCGTCCTGGGCCTGGGGTGGCAGCTGCAGGGCAGAGATGTGGAACACGCCCCCCACGGGCACCAGCTGCTCCAAATCCACAACCTGAGGCGCCTCTTCTCTGCCTCCCGGCTCCTCCTGCGGCGGGGCCTCCTCCTCTGGAAAGTGCAGCGGACAGCAGGAGTTCAGCGGGGGCTCAACCTCAGCGGCATCGCCCTGCGCCGAGGCTCGCTCAGCGCCGGGAGTGCCTCGCTCTGCAGCGCTCCGGCCCCATCTGCTGGCGCTGCTCGGCATCGCTGGAACCGGGGACAGCAGCGAGCCGGGCAATGGAAACACCCGGGACGGGGGCTGAGCTTTTGGATTTGGAGTTCCAAATGCTTTCCGTGGGAATAAGGTTTTACTGACAGAATGAGTCCATCGTTACCCACAGAAGAATTTCACAAGCACAATAATACCGTAGATTCTGGACAGGTTTAGTAAGATTCTATTGATATGAAAAGAAATTAAGCAAATCACATAATATGTCAAAATAAATAAAAATAAGGCACCAAAAGGTCATGGGCTGAAGGTGAAAAACATATGATAATTACGAGGAGCAAGAGGGATTTAACATGAAATACAATTTTCACATAACAAAGATAATTGTGCATAGGAAAAAAATACATATATATAATATAAAATAATAAATTTAAGGTTTCGTGAATTGGAAAATGTTACTGAAAGGCAGAAACACTGTGGACAAAAATGGCTGTAAATATTTTCTCTAGAAAAGCCAAACAACCCATAAACCATCACAAGGGATGGTACAGGAAAAGTTACTGTTGTCAGGAATCAAGAAAATAATGTTCAATACTGTAAAAACATCTACTGCAATTGTTATGAAATTTGCTCTGAGAGAATGAGACCAAATAAAAAAATGGCAACTCTAAAATACTGTGAAGTGGAGCTAAATTATGTCAGTATTTTACAGTTGTTTTATTTAAGTCAGTACTACAAGAAAACTCACTCTGTTAAACCAAAAAACGACACCACAACACTGGAGAAATTTGCAATTCATGTGGGACAGACAAACAGTTTTATTTCCTAGAATTAGGCCCGCTTTTAACAAGGTGCAAGAGCAGGTATCTCACTTACAGCACCCATTTAATAATACTCAGTACCACCCCATACTGCACCAATGCCTACCATGATACGCATTGGAATCATCATTTTCTGAAGAAGTCAATCTCCCCAGAGCCTGGCAGATTCATAAAGATTGTGTGTTTCACCCATAAATGTATGTATAATAATATACATATCTATAGAAACATGATAAACATGTACATAAGCATGTACATGTTTAAATAAATAAAAATGTTTAAATAAATGTTTAAATAATGTTAAATGTTAATGTTAAGTAAATGTAAATGTTAAATAATGTTAAATGTTAAAATAATGTTTAAATAAATAAAAATAAGTATAGGGACAAACTTCATTTTTCTATCTGTCCTGTTATCTCCCCTCATAATTTAACAATCATTAATAGAAATGTCAACAAAACCCAAGTGATATCAAAACATCCCTGTATTTATAAACTTTGCTCCATACACATGGAGATACTGCAGTGTTTCCATGGATCATGGAATGGCCTGGTTGGAAGGGACCTTGGAGCGCGGTGTCACTGTGCCAGGCTGGTGGCCGGCCCGGGGGCAGCGTGCCCGGGCTGGGGCCGCGGCTCCCACTCCCTTCCCGCTCTCGGCAGTGCTGGAGCTGCCTCCTCCCGTCCCTGCCGCTGCAGGCCCCCTGCTGCATCTGAACAGTCAGCCCAAAGCACATGAAAGATGCAGGCCTGGTTTTAGAAGAGGAGGTAATAACAGCTATTTTGTTATTCTCCAGTTGAAGGTACTGCCCTATATTGTAAATGAAGGCAACCCCGACGAGGGGAGAGAATGATGCATTGGACTCTATCTTATCAGAAGGCTAATTTATTACTTTATAATACTATATTATATTAAAGAATACCATACTATACTATACTAAAGAATACAGAAAAGATACTCACTAAATGCTAAAAAGATAATGAAAACTCATCACTCTTTCCAGAGTTCTGACACAGCTTGGCCCCAATTGGCCAATGAGTCAAAACAACTCACACCAGAGTCAAATCAGGCAATCACTTTTGGGTAAACAATCTCTAAACACATTTCACATGAGGACAACACAGGAGAAGCAAATGAGATAAGAATTGTTTTTCTTTTTTCTGGGGCTTCTTGCTGCCTTTCAGCTTCCCAGGAGAAAATCCTGGGCTAAGGAATCATGTTCAGGGAATGTGAATGCCACAGCCCTACTCTGGAAGAGCAGTACAAAATACAGGGCATAAAAAAACCCAAACCAAAACACAAACATGAGGTCATCCATATTACAGAATTCTGATGCTTGCTTAAACTTAAAAACTGTCAGGGAACATTTCTCCCACCTCTCCTGTCTGCTACCTGCTTTATGTTCCCCAGCATGGGGTTCATCACTGTTTCTCTGTCATTTGCAAAGGGCCACATCCCAAGGGCCCCAAACCCAATACCTCCTTCCCTCAACTGGACTTGATGATCCATATGGGTCCCTTCCAGCTAGGAATATTCTGTTCTGTGATTCCAGCACAGGTCCAGTGGACAAGAAGAGGCTGTGTTGAAGCAGGATTTCCTTCACTTCTGGGAATGATGAGATAAACCTCCAATGGGAAGGAAATACAGGATAAACCAGATGGTTGGTATCCTACACACTTCCTTTGGGAAGACAGACCTGAGCTGGGAAAGGTCAGCCACATGCTCTTCATTTTGTTTCCATGACCATAATAACATGGAGCCACACTAGGTGGTGCTGCAAAGGGAATTTTATCCATTAGTTTACAAACTGAGAGCCTGAAACCACTTTGGAGAAACAGATATGTACCTAACTTCCCATCTAAAGAAAATGTTTAATTTTCCATTAATAAATTTAGGAAACCTGTAATGAGAGCTGGCCTGAACTTGCTCAAGGGATTTTCCTTTCTAAAGGCAAAGGCAATATTTTGTTCAGTGGGTTGGATCCAAACAGTGAATAATAACCTGAACTGCTCAGTTTCACTTCTTGTGAGAAACTCCTTTGAAATTACCCTATTTTGTGTCAAAAATATACATCCTTTTGAGCATTACATGGTTTTATGGAGCAGATTTGGGCAAGGGACTTAGAGGGAGCTGGTCCTGTGTGGGACTGGTTCAACTGCTCCCACCTGCTCTCCAAAACTGGCTGAATTTGGAAGGATCATGGAATCATAGAATGATTTGGGTTGGAAGGGACTTAAAAGATCCCAGTTGGGCCTTCCTTGGGCAAAGCCAAGCACAGAGATGGGGGAGGAGACACTCCACTGCCTTGCAGCCTCCCTTATTTGTTCGGATTGTGACAAGATGATTTATTTTATCTATAAATATCCCTCTGGCACAGGGAATAAATAATGCACTGGATGATATTTTCCAGATGGTCTCATAGTCCTGGGTGAGGTGATCCCCTGGCATCATTTGGAGAGGGAAGAAAATGGGATCTGCAGGCCCACACATCATTGTGCAAGTGACCTTAAAATAATTCTCTGTCTCTCCCTGCTCTGAGGACAAAGCAGGAAGAGTCCATTCCATGCATCTCATGCATTGTGATTCTCAGGTTGAGACACAGCACCCCTCAAAATCCACATCCTGCAAAAAAACTCTCAGGCACACAGGTATCAGTGGCTTTTCTTTTCTGCTTTTTTGCCTCTCAGCCTTTCCTTGATTTTTCTTCACAAAAAATGTTTTTTCTTCTAAGTGGGGGAGGGATTTGAGGATTAAGAAAATGAAAACTTCGCTGCTGTTCCTTATTATGTTAGGGTTCTTTTTGGTTTTTGTTTGTAATTTCTCACACTTGTTTCACCATGAAGAGCTGTGCAAGGCAGGCATTTGAAGTCACCACTGCTGTTCCAAACACCTGGTGTTTTTCCAAGGCCTTTGGAAGGGGCAGCCTGACCAGGCAGCCACTGGACCATGCCATGATTAGCTGCCATTATATTGTGCAGGTGAAGTGATCTGCCTGCTGTGGCAGGACAGGCAGGATCACCTGGGGTGTTCCATGGAACTCCTTGGCTGCGTTCCCCAGGAGCCCCGTGACATTCCTGCAGGGTGGGACAGAGGGGACGGCTGGAGCTGCAGAGCTGGGAGCTCTAGGAAGGGCTGAGGGGCAGTGTCCCGTGCAGGACCAAGATGTGTGCAATGAGATGTCCTGTCCCTGCACCTGGGATACCCTCTGGACACGCAGGGATGCTGAGGAGGTGCTCTTGCAGGGGTCAGCAGGTACAGAGCAAGCAGATCAACTCCCTAGGCAGACTCCTGTGGGTGATGTTACCCCACAGAATCCTGTTGGAGCAGGGAGGACAGCTGGGTTCTGGAGTGGAAAAGAACAAGCAGAATTAGCCAGGTGCACTGTGCAGGTGTGCAGTAGCTTTGTGCTAACCACAGGAACTCAGAGTACACAGGCCAAACCCTGGCCAGATTATCCAAATGTGTTGTGCAAATCCAAACATATATTCTTTTGTACTGTAATAATCCTATTGATTGATTGATTCATTTGGGGGAAAAACAGAAGGTGAGCCAATAGAGGGAAAAAAATAAATGCCTCTGGGTGGCTCAGATCACACCTCTAGACCTCCAGCTGGGACACAAACCTGCATCCAGTACTGAGCCATCGGTGCCTGAGAGAAATCCTTAATGTCCAAAATTTGGAAGCTAACAGCTGGGAACTGAAGATGCCCCTGTGCCTGAAATGTCTTAGGTGTCCTCAGGGCCCCAGGAGGGCAGGAGGGGTCTCCACTGTTAGTTCTACAGATTAGTGGAGCACATAAGGGCACTCTGGCCTCAGTGACTGTGACAGCTGAGAGCACTGGCTCCTGCTCCTGACATGCTGGCAGCCACTCCAGGGAGAGCACTGGGAAGCCCCTTTGGAGCTGTCATGGTTCACAGCCTGGCATGTTGAGAGGCTGCCCCAGGTCAGCTCCTGTTTGCTTTAACTCCCTGCTCTTTTGGGAGCTGCTTCCCAGGGGTCTGCAGCTCCCTGCAGGGCAAAGAGAAGAGGCTGGCAGCAGGTAAGCTGTGTGTGAGGGCAGCTGCTGGGGGCAGCTCCTGGACCCTGCGCCCTCCCCTCAGCAAAGCCTCGCTCCCTGCAGGTCTCTGTGCCATTTTTTATCCCAGTGCTCCTGTGGTTACCTGTGCAGCAGCAGCACCGTGGTTTTTGGATGGTTCTTCCTCCCCAGGGGTGCT